GTGCCCCGGGGCCCTCAAGCTCAGGGGGCCCTCGAAGCTTACCAGAAAATCTCAATCGAACTCAACTTTTGAAATTTTCACCCATTTTCAAAATAAATATGACAGGTGAAAACTCGAGTTTAATCATGGCAACTCAGTTGTGAGAAATTCCAAAGTTATAAAAAGGGAATTCCCCTAAATTATTTGTGTGGGTTGACAGTGTTATTAATGTTTTCATCAATTAGTCAGATATCAATATCTGCATGTTATTATTTATCGATATGCGTTATTTTGATTCGCGATTGTGATCTTCGAGTCAAGATTTTTTTTCGAAAATGGTAAAAAGTTAATTTATCAGGAGTAAGTAAGCGTATGTCAATAAATTTTTTGTACTGGTCCATACAAAAATTCCAATTTAATTTGATTATGGTACATATATATAGTTACGTAAAGAAATCTTAAGATTTCGGCTACTCACTATATAACTTAAAATACCGTGAAAAATGCAAGTCACATGCGGTAGGGGCCATCCATTAATTACGTGATGTTTTTTTGTCAATTTTTTAAACCGTCAAATGTGATAACACTGACGGCGATATAATGTTTGCCGGGGATTCCCCAACGACGTCTTGTATCGTATCATTACGTTTCGTTTTAGTTTTACTACTTGAGTACAATATTACATAAATATTGCATAAATAAATTATAAAATTAATATTATGGACAAAAAAACCCAGTGGTGCATTTAAACGCAAACAACGCCTAGAAAGAGAAGAAAGTGGACAAAAATTGGCCAAAATTCACAAGTTTTTTAGTCAGCCTTCTTCAAGTACTTCTGGACAAAATATTTCAATTGAAAATTTACAATACCTACACCAAGTATAAAAATAATTGTAATTTATGTTGTTAGTGTTTAATAGTTTTACTACCTGCCTATGCACGAAAAAGAGCTGTTAATAAAGTTGCTTAGCATTTTTAAAGTATATGTATATTTAATGATTTTACTTCAAAAAACCTTAACAGTTTTGATAGCAGTGGGCCCCATTTTTTTGTTTGCCCCAGGGCCCTAGGTTACCTAGCTACGCCACTGGTACTGACCGACTTTTATAGACAAATAAAGCGATCAGACAGAAAGCGCTCGGTCTCGGGAGACACCTGAAAAACGCGAAGCGTATTTAACTGCCCATCGCGAGGCTCATGCACTATAAAGTTGAATCTAAAGCATTGACATACATGCAGTATGGTATGAGTATGAAATTACTTTTGATAGGGAAATGCGCTTGGTCTCTTAAAGAGCTCGCAGTTTGCACAATAGAGATCGAGAAAGTAGTTTCGATTATCGCCAACCCGTGTTGATTTCATACTCTACAGGCGTACCGCAAATAAGTTTTCACAGGGTATAATGAACTAGCTATTTTCCCACGAGTTTGCCGCAAAACTATAGCCTTTGACATGCGCGTCTGATGTAGCTTCCCGTAGGTCGGAATCGCTCTGCAACTATCGGTCCAGTAGTAATGGAGCAAATTCGATGCAAACAAACAACCAAATATTTCCTCTTTATAATATTAGTATAGCTTAGGTATAAGTGATCCGATGACGTAGTGGGTTAGCGCATTCGGTTTAAAATAGTAAATAAATACTGCATGACAAGGATATACATTAATACTTATTTTACATAAATAAGTACAAACGACAAACTCATCTCTGGCCAGCGATTTCTTCCAGGCAAACTAGTATTACATAAAAATAGAACAATAAATAGCCGATTGTGCATACAACTAGACAAATAATAATAATTTAAAAAGATCAAAAACAAAAGAAGGACTGTTTAAAGGTACGAATAAAATGCTCAGACACAAACGACAACCAGAGCGCGAGAAACGAGAAAAAATAGAAAAATAACATTCGTAAGGACCGTTTACAGGATGGGTGACCAAAACATTATTATCTTGAGCACTGTGCACAACACTGGCATAATGCACGTTAAGCCGTTAGTCCTGGCTGCATCAGCAACGTTAACACCCACCGATCCGCATTAAGCCGTAGTGGGTTATGGCCCATTGATCTTATTCGATTCGTCTGCATTCATAGGAAAAAAAGAATTCTACCAAAATACTTCCCACGCAGACGAAGTCGCGGGCACAGCTAGTTTGGAATAAATTTACCATTGCCTAAACTTAAAACCCATATTAAGAATTGTCTACTCAGTATAGGATGTTATATTGTTAACGAATATTTAACGGTAAAACTGCTTGATGATAAATAGGGCTTATTTTCATGTACATCTGATTCGATTGACGAAAATACTGTTTTACTTTTATATTTTGTAATGGAAAGTGATTTCATATTTAAATGATGTTATTTTTCAATCTTGATGCTCTGTATGAAATAAAACAGGGAGAAAAAAGCAGCTCTTGCAGAGTTTCTTGCTGGTTCTTTTCGGTGCGAGGTCTCCCGCCGTAGATTTACAAACCGATGGCGTAGCTCTCAACTTACACAAGTGCTCGTAACAGCCTAGACTGAATAAATAATTTTGTTTTGATTTAGACAACCGAAAGTTGTAGAAATACTGGGAAATTCACATAAAAGTGGTGAGCCATTCACTTTCACGCGCTAAATTCACGGAATGCTTTAGTTGTTTACAACCCACGTGCTATATTATTTCATTATTGATAATAATTTAATACCCGAGAGCTCGCTAAATCACAATTTTGTAGAAAATGTACAAAACCGTGACGTCATGCAATATTATAGCTCTTGTACATCCCCTTCCCATCCCATCGACTATGCTGATGTTTGTACTTCTGACATCAATCAAACCTTTCTTAATAGATTGGATCGTCTTCTGAACAATACTATTCGTTTTGTTTTCGGTCTGCGCAAATATGACCACATCTCCAATTTTCGTCAACATATTGAGTGGCTTCCTATTCGGGAGCGTAGGTGCTTAAGAATTGTTTGCACACTTTTCCAGATATTTTTCGATCCACGAGCACCTGAGTATTTGAAATCGCGGTTTGAAATCCTCGGTGCCTCTCACCTGAAAAATCTTCGTTCTAGTAGTAGACTGGTACTCCAAACCCCTTCTCATCATTCCTGTTTTGTATCTCATTCCTTCACTCTAACCGCCATCCGACTTTGGAATGCACTGCCTTTGAACGTCCGGAGTGCTCCTAACAAATTTGCATTAAGACAGCAGCTCGCAACTTCTATTATGCTTCAAACAAGATTTCTTGATCTGACACCTTTTTCGTACGATGTGTTACAGCTATATATTTGCATTCATTTATGTATGTATATTATTGTATGTATTTTATGTATATTTAGATATAGTTCTTATGCAGAGATATCAATAGCGTATTATCGCCATTCGCCACTTTAAGTATTGTACTAAATTTACTGGTTGACTGGTAGAGAATGCCTCTTTGGCATTAAGTCCGCCATTTGTCTATTTCACTAGGCAATTAAGATTAAATAAATAAATGTATTTAATGTAATGTATTTATAATTTAAACAAAAAATAAATTAATGTTCAACTACTACTTTAATGTAGATAAAAATAATCAATACCTCTGTCGTTTTTACAACTATTTGACTTGTAAACGTAAGCAAAGAAAAATATTAAAATTAGTTTAGAAAGAGAAAAATACGTATAATTCTTTTTTTTTAACATAAAGATTATGGAAACACAGGTACTCTAACCAACTACTAAATTAAACTATATGTATAAATATCTCATATTCTACAGTAAAACAACATGCAATAACTTAAACTGTTTGTAGGTACTTAGTTATTAACTATTATATGTCATTAAATTGAATTGTTCCAAATAATATTTTTTATTTAAAAACTCATGTACTTTGCATACGCGTTAGTTTCAGACAATATACTTTTTTTTCACTTTAATGTCTGTAATAAACAATGATAGAACGTATTGTATTGAATCGTATAATTGTACTGAATAAAACATTTATCAAGTTACCATGTTTTGTAACGTGATTTATATAATTTTTTTAGTGGCAAGAACTTTAGCTCATCCGGCACCTATGTTATTATTAAATATTTTTATTGACATTATATATGAGTTTCTCTTATAATTGTGGGTTCTAATAAATGGCAAATATAATTTATTAGGAAATCTTGTCTTAAAATTACAAATATATTTTTGTTACATAAGGTTCTAAGTCAAACAAACCACTTTTAAAAACATAGTAGCGTCATCTAGCGATAACATCTAATTGTAGCATTTTATTATTTCGCCAGATTAATAATTCCTCATGAAATCATTCTATTGGAAATACCGCAAAATTATAAACGAAAGCTACTTTGTTTGATAAAAATCCGAAAAACATAAAGACAACAAACATAACAAAAACCAAAATCCCGTTTTAATAGTACAGTAGCGTCATCTAGCGTTCAGTAGAGACAGCTATATGTTTTAGGCTTCAGCTTTAGTAGTAGTATATAGACATGATAGATTTAATAAAAATAGTATTTTTGTTTACAAATACTTTAATAAAATAAAACAAGGTTAGTCAGTTTACCATGAAATAAAATAATTACATACATTAATGTTTACAATATTGAAATAATTAAATGCATTAAACGTAACATAATATAAAACTTAAAACGCATCTGATTTATAAAAACAAATTGTTATAAATTAACAATTATGAATAATTTCGGTGCTTCAATAGTATATACTTAATATCCAGATACCGTGTTAATTGCTAGAGTTCCTTTCTGAATGACTTCTGACAGTACAAATATTATAGAAAAAACTATAGATATCATTAGTTATCAGTTTTCGAGATGAACTATCGATATTTGGATAACAGACAGATTCAAAGCGCAACAAACGAAAGCAATAATAGCATAAATTGCGTACGTAAAAAATCTGAAAAACAAAAAACTAGATAGTGTTGCTTTATTAGTATATAGCATGACCTCTTAATAATTTACCGCTTTCCATAATCATTTTTGTAGTAACATATTGCTGGATATATAATCCGCTACTAAACAGAATTCATAAAAAAATATATTAAAGAACTTTAAGCAAACTATGGTTTCTTGACTTGATTTGTGTGTAAACACGGTATCGGGACATAGTATAATCTAAGCTTCAGTACGTTAAATGTTACTGCTATCCAGTCAATCTACACTTACAATTTATACGTTTCAAAGAGGCAACTTATCGCTTGTTGGGCATCTTCAAAGTATCGTGGTTTATCAACTCTTACAATCCCATAGTCAGGTTCGAGAGCAGGATATATAATAGTACTGAAGTTACCACTTATACTGCAAAAGCTTTGGATCAATGACATATTGCTAGTGTGGGAAATCGTCTTTGAAGGTTGTGGCGTGTGAAATTTGTTCCTTGATGAATTGGATGCCATTCTTTTCATTCTACCCACATTACCTTTTATGGTCGTCAATATTTTATGATTCTCAGGCATGTGTAAGAATTCAGTAAGATCCTATGAAATAGTAAATAATATTGTTAGTACAAAATTAAAAAAAAAACAAGTATACATACACCCATGAAAAATAAATTACCTTCTTTACATCGTCGTATTTAGAAAACAACCAAATGTAAGTTGATAATATACAGAATAAGTGTGTCTCGCTATTACTGAACCTCCACATAAACTTCAGAATAGGAGGAATTCGATCTCTCTGAAATAAATTTAAATGAAATAAAACACATTGAAAAATACTTTTCGGAAAACCGCGTCAAAATCGGTTCAGCCAAACGCGATATAATCGCGCACAAGCAACATACAGACATACAGGGCAAACTGAGAACCTCCTTAAGTCGGTTAAAATATTGGGGTGCTTTTGAATAAAAACCCCTTAATAACATCATTGACGGGTCAACAGTGACTTAATAAAATATTAAAATAATAAGAATCTGTCAATACTCTCCTGCTTAATAAAAATCTAATGGCAAAAGGAGATAATAAAGTTTCTTTTGTTTTTGTTTTGTAAAAAACCGTTGCTTATGGCAGTACCATTGGTTATTGCGGCTTGCATGCGATTTCGTTGGCCAGACATTAGTTTATCGACTAAAGAAATTTAAGTCATAGAAATCATCCATAATCTGCATCGAAACTATTAATAATCTTATGATGTTAGAAATTGAGGCTTCAAACATTTAAGTTTGAGCTTATTTGGATTAAGCAGTAACTTGTGAACTAGGTGTATGCCAATTTGGACGTTTTTCGAAAATCATTTGGATACATTTTTAATAATTAATTTAAATTGTACCGTGAAATCTATCAGTCACGTGACATGTCGTCACGTCATAATAAAATAAACATGAGTGCTGGTTCTACTCTCAATAAAAATGTTGACATTTAGTTTATTGAAATGTGACGTCACACGATGCACCGTTATGGCAGCCCGCGTTTCGGTTCTTTTAATTCACATTATTTATTCATTATTTTAATACAAATAATTTTTTAAACAAAAATACTGCCTTTCCAAAATATTTCATAATTTATAGTTATAACTGTCTAGTTGCCTATTTGTAGGCGATATTGTATCCAGTGTCTTTAATCAAATGTTGAGACGTTTCCTTGATAGTTTATTTACGTACTAGTTTTCTAAATTAAAAATATTATAACATACCGCATATATTTTAGGGCCCGTAATCCTGTACCTGGTTAAATTAACAAGTACAGACGCTGCAGATTTGAGTACTTCAATGCTTGATATTGATCTGTTGGTGACTGACATATAGATGTAGACTCGAGTCACAATAGACGATGCATTGTCATGGTACATCATTGGAAATACCTCGGTCAATAATTCTGAAAATAAAATCAATGGCAAATTACTCAAACTAATCTGACAAGCGAGTACTTTGAATAAGCCGAGTACAGTTAATTTCACCTAATATGGCGCACGGTGAATCATCGTTTGCGCAGAGTAGACATACCAATAGGGTATTCTACTATGTTTGAAATAATACTTGTAACTGTTTATTTTAATTTTAAAAAGCCATCAAACAAATATTTCGTAAAAACAAACACGTTTAATTGCCTTAAGATTAAATCGAAGTTTAAACTTTTTTTTTATACCAGCGAAAACGCGTCCATCATATTCATGACGTCATTGTGATATGTACACATTACTACCCTATTCAGACGATGACACAACATACAATTAAAATTTATAATGAGTCTTGTTTGTATAACCATAAGGTATAAAATGGCATTAGGTTTCAGTCCCACTCACACTCAGCGTGCTCAGTGTATATTGGTGGATCGTGGCGTGATATAAGTATTACGCCAAATCATTCATTCAATCATTCTGATTGGCCTACATTTACTGCAAGGTACATGTACCTTGAAGGCTGAATTTAGAAGTGAACTGTACAATATCACTAATGTAGTAATCACTCATGAATGAGCTACAATTAGCTACATACTGTACAGTAAAAACTAACTAATATAATTACAAAGTTAGTACAATTGAAATGATGTAGGTACAATCGGCGGCCATATCGCTAAAAAGCAATTTTTTCCAGGTAACCGCAGGTTAGACTGGACTATTACTTAAGCAGATGGGTAGTAGATGGTATGGTAGATGGTGTTTTACATGGCGAGAAAAACATGTTTTTATATATAAACATACCTACATATAAAACTCATATTAATTGTTTTATTATACTTGATTTTACTTCAATTTAAAAAACAAATTTAATATAATGTTCTCACCCAAAGATCTAAATGCTCTGATCACCGTTTCTATATCGGATATATTACGAAGGACTTCCATAGCTTCTTCATTACGTTCCTTCATAGACTCCTGATTAGAATTCAAAGCTCCTTCACGCCATCTGCGTCGTAGTTCCGTCACACGCCTATCTCCCCTTACATTCATACGAGCTTTATGGCCGCGGAATAAAGCCTGGAAAACAAATAACCGATAAATGAACACATATGTAGTATGGTAGTGGAACATTTAAAAAAAAAACAAACAAGTCAAATTACTTGAATTTTCGAAGCCGCCCAGTACCGTTTCTTGGCTTCTTTAATTTTCGAAAGACTCTCCCTTTTTAGTTGAACTTGTTTTCTTATCAAATATCCTCTTATGATCGCTTGTAATTTTATTATTGAATTTCTCTTTTGCAAGAATTCACACCGCATCAGTCTTGTGAGTAGCTTATATCTCCATAATTTCTGCACATATATGATTCTCTTTCGGTATTGGTGATACCGAGACTGGACAAGATATTTGCGAACGTTCTTTTGGATACAAATTGCAGCTGTTTCTCTTCTGGCCTTAAGGATGTCATTATGCTTCTTTAATCTATATGCCGCTTGTATGGTCAACGCCGCATTTCTCACCCTTAAAAATCTTTTGTTTGCAATGCGACTCCGAATAAAAGCTTGCAACTTTATAATGGCTTTCACTGTATTAATATACTGTAGTCTAATAGTCGTAGTCAGTTTATATAATCTATAGAATCTTTGAATGGTTAAAGTAGCATGTTTTATAGCAATAAATCTCTTCCGTATAGTATACATGCGAAAAACAGATTGTATTTTAATAGCGCTAGTTCTTAAGCACAAAAAACTATTTCGATATTCAATCCGTTTTTGATTGGATCTATACCATATCTGTATTTTAGAAGCAGCTCGATTCCGTCGTGCCTCACGAGCGATTTTGTTAGCCCTAAATTTGTATTGAATAAACAGTGCAGTCTTTTTCAAAGCTAAATATCTGTTACGAATGGTCCTTGTCTCTTTTAGGCATCTGTAATATCTTTGTATACATATTGCGGCAGATTTCATTTCTTTATATTTCAGCATTTGTTTTCTACATGCAAGGGTTGATTTGTATGCATTTTGAATGACGATGCATGCTTTTAAAATTTTTAAGTATGTCGTTCTCTCTTGGACCATAAGACGGTGGGCTCTGAATCTTTGTTGTATAATCAGCGTCGCTTTTCGTAATTCCAAATAACGCTTTCGCTCTTTACGCATCATTAACAATGCTCTGTATCTCTGTTGCAATACAATACAAGATTGTTTCACTTGTAAGAATTTTTCTCTTTGAATCTTTCCTGCTCTATAAGATCGGTAATAGGTCTGTATAAGTGTGCATGCTTTCAAAGTTTCTAAATACCTATTTCTATCTTGTTTCATCAGCATGTGTGCTCTTACAGCCCTCTGAATAACTATAGAGGCCTGTCGCAACTTTTCAAAGAAATCCTTTTGCTTTTTCATTTCCCGTAACGCTCTAAATTTGTTCTGGATATAAATGATAGCTTTTCGCAATTCTATAAACTGTTCCCGGTCGCGTCTCATTAAACACTTACTTCGGTATCGCCGCTGTATAAACAATGTGCACTCGCGAAGTCGATAGTATTGTTGACAGATTCTTTGAGTTTCTTTATAACGTTTGTAATAATTTTCAATGAGACATACGGATGTTTTAATTTTCAAGTAAGACGACCTTTCTTTTTTCATTTCTATATAGGATTTATAGTACCTTTGAATTGTTACTGTAGCAGTTCTAAGTTGAAGATATTGTTGTCTAACAATTTTCATCTCGATATAACATCGGTAATATGTCTGAATGCGTAAAACTGATGTTCTTATTCGCAAGTATTCTTGTCTTTCTTTTCGCCCAATAAAATAGGCTCTATAAATTCTTTGAATAGTAATGCATGCATTCTTCGATTGCTGATATTGCTGCTTTACTTTTTTAGTTTCAAAGCTACTTCTGAACCAATTTTGGATTTTAATGGCAGCTTGTTTTTTGAGGACGAAATGTTCTCTCACTCGCCTACCAGCAAGTAGAGCTCTATATTTTTTCTGAATACCAATACAAGCTGATTTTAATTTTAAGAACCTTGATCTTTCTTTCCTCATTTCAAGAAGCGCTATAAATCTGCGTTGTATAGCAACAGTAGCAAAACGTAATTTCTGATAAGAAAGTTTACACTGTATAGTTAATACTCGAGCCCTGTAACGCCTTTGAATACATAGGACTGCACGCCTTAGCATCAAAAATGCAGCCCTTTGTTTTCGCATTAGTATAACGTTTCTATAATGCTTTTGTATCACCAATACGGAATTCCGAAGGTTGATATAATATTCTCTATGGGATTTTGCGCAAAGATATGCACGGAAGTAATTTTGAATAGTTCTGGTGGCGTTTCGTTTCATTATGTATGAGTTTCTTATTAATTTCATTCTTAAATAAGCTCTAAATCGTGACTGTATAATAGAGGCAGCAGTTTTCATTTTCAGAAAGTTTATTCTTTCTTTTTTCATAAGTTGACGCGCTCGAATTCTTCTTTGCAGTTTAACAATAATCTCTCTTTGCCTTGCATATTCTTTACAAGCTTTTCTACGTCGATATAAAGATTGAACAATAACAACGCTATTTTTCAAAACAGTGTAATAGATTCGATCTTGCCTCATTTTTATAAAAGCTCTATACTGTGTCTGAATTATGTTTACGGCTTGTTTATATTTTTTATAATTTCTATATTCTTTCAGCATTCTCCAGTATTTTTGAATTATTATAGCGCTTCTCTTTTTTTCTGCCAAACTATTCATCTCTAATTTCATCAACAACTTACTTCTGTATTTCTGTTGAATCAATATTGTATATTTTTTCAAAAGTAAGAATTCTTTCCTAACCAAAAATCTTCGCGATAATGACTGCATTAGTACTACTTTCTTCAAAGTGGACCTGAACCGTCTCATGCACAGCCATCGGCGTACATAGCTCTGAATAACTATTGCTGATCTCTGCCTTAGATTTTCGTGTTCCGTTTTTAATTCGTCGAGATATTTCTTTGCTTCTTCAATCATTTTCATTGATTTGTACCATACTTCAATCTTCAACACGCTCTTTTTCATGTTAAGATAATGTCTTCTAAATAACCATCTGCGTATATATTTCTGTATAACAATAGTTGCTTTTGTGACTTGTTGCATTTGCCATTCAACCAAGCGATCGTATTGAATTCGTCTCCACCACCGCTGTATAATAATTGCAGAAGTACTTAAACGTTCCCTTAACTGTTCCTCTACCTTCCGCTTCTCTATAATAACTTGGTATTTCTTTTTCCACCACATTTGGATCACACCAGCTGCTTTTTCAAACAGCGGTGCGCGGAATACGTGTATTAGTTGCCATAAAAGAGACAAAGTTTTCTCCCTGTGGCCATCTGCAATATCGTGAGCAGTAATATCACCTACTATCACAAAGTTAGCTTCTTTTAAAGCATTTAGCGCCACTTGTACGTTGTGAATTTTTTGTAGTCGCGAAATTGCAGGAGTTCGAAGTTGATGTAATAATCCATTTTTCATCAATATAATTTCCATTACTTTTGATAACCGCACTCCGTCTCTAAGATCAATAGCAATATTATTTACAGCATATTTATATTCATCTAGGTACGATTGTTTATGGCAAACTATGTAACCAAGTGGACGTAAGTGTTTTGTAATATCACCAATACCAGCAATCAGTTCCCGTGTAAATCGTATAAGTATGTCCCTACTCTCCTTACACACAGCATTCCTGCAGAACAAACAGGGATCGTGGGGTATTAATTTCCGTTGCTTAGCTTGATCCAAAAAAAAGACAAGCATCAAAAATTTCTTCAATGTAAACTTCTTAATAGCTTCCATATAAGCAGGTAAGAGCATATTTGGTACATTCGACTTTGAATGTTTATTTTTTAAAAATGGATTCTTAAACATTCTTTGGATGATAAAAGTTGTAATTCCTTCTATGTCACTGTTAGACTTTAAAGGTAAAATGATTCCATAAATTGCTTCTAATCCGATACGAAGCCAAAGCGGATTATAAGATAATAATAATTCCATAATTATTTTTTGAAGTCCCACATCTAAGTGCAGATTTCTGTCAATTCGAATAGCTATTAATTTCTTTTCTATTTGAGCATTTAACTTTAGAAAGACTAAAGAGATCTCTGGACTCATCAATAAAGCCCTTGCTGCTCGTCGCAGGCTTTTCAATCTATGACTGTTATGGTAGACACTGCATACTTGCTCCTTTGTAGGGGCCAAAGGAACTTCTTTATTTCGGTTTTCAAGCCAAGCTTTACCGACATCGACTTTTTGCTCGACATTACTTTCGAGATCGGCTGGAGGGGTCAGTATGCAATTTAGCCATCTTTTGAATTCTTTCTCAAACTTACATACTGCTTCTTCATCATAGAAATATGTTGTTGAAAGGAATGGGTCTAAGGTGAATGATTGAGAATAAACATTTCCAATGTGATTTGAGAGAGAAGTGTTTTGGTTGACGCTTTTATTGTTAACTTCAAAAGTACTCGATGCCCGACTACCAAATGAATCTCTTGCTTTTAGACTAGGCTTGGGTTTAAGTGCTTTTAGACTAGGCTTGGGTTTTTTTGCTAAACTTGCAGGTACTTTCCATAATTCCGGTTCTGCGCGAACTGATTTTTTAGACCACGATTGCCTGCTTGTTGCTGACATCGAAGGTCGTTCAGAGTAATCTCTATCAAATGTACGATTAATAGTAAAAGTTGACATTTTATCAGTTTTATCATGTAGCTGTGTATCGGTATTCTGTGTGCTTTCTTCGGGTATCGACTGAAGAGGCGTTGGTGAATTTGGCCGTGATAGTGATTTTGTATCATTTTGCCAATTTTGTAAATCGTTAGTTTGTATTTGATTCCGATCACGAATCTCTCTTTGTTGATAATATTCTTTGAATAATGCTTGTCTACACATTTTAGGCTGCTGTTCTCTCGTGAAATAATGAGGTGGTTTAGATTCCACGGTATACATTTGGAAATCTATTGGAGTATTTGGGGAGTATTTTGTGTATGTATCAGAGCTAAGTTTAATATTAGCTTCGTCAATATCATGTGTGTCATTGTTGAGTCTTGGTAGTCCTTTTCTTTCAGTAGAGAATCTTTGAGGAAAAAACGAGAGGTCACTTATCCGTGACAATTCCGTATTGATTGAGAAATTAGGGCTATTTAATTCTTTTGGTGACGATGTATTAGGAATCTTTTTAGTTTGGAGTGCACACATTTCAGTGTATTGTTTATCAATTTGAGTTTGATGATTTACAACCACCCATTTGTTAGGAGGTTGTGTTGACGTTATGCTAATAATGGAATGAGTTTCATTCTCCTTGTTAGAATTCTTTACGTTTAAGCTATCATCAAAATCACTATCAGAATTCATACTTATTATGATTTTAGGACCTTTATTCAAATTGTCATTTTTTGCTGGAATAGTTTTTAATGGTGTAAATGTCAGATTATCAAATAAATCAGTAGCCGATACATCAATCGACTGCTTATTACATGGTTTTAATACATTTTGCGTTTCAGTTACATTTGGGCATTTGTCATAAGTATTTTGCAAATACTTCTCAGATTTAAGTTGCCTCATGTTAGAAAAAATTTCAGATGTGTCAAAATTGAAGTCAATACTGGCTGGGGAGTCAAATGGACATTTATTGTATTGTGAATTTAATGAATAGTTACTGTTTGTTGAGATATTATCTTTGTTTGAAGGTTTAAGGATGTGTTGTGTTGTTTGGAAAGACTTTACTATCTTTTGATTCTTTGTGGAATTATAAATAGTTTCAGCTTTCTTTTTACATACACCAACAGGTGACCTTTTAAAAGATTTCTTTTCAATTTTTCCTGGTGATATCTTCGAAACTTTTGAATGTTTTCCTTTGCCTTTAACATTCTGTAACAAATCAAACAACATTTGCCACTAAAATAAAATAATGAAAACTAAAAGTAAATTACCAGTAAAATTTTCCAAAAAAATATTTTCCAAACTCAAAAAAAAGTCAGAAAAAACATTTAAATTCATCAAAAAATGACCAATAAATACTCTATAGATCGTGTTTTCCCGCGGTACATTTGTCGTATTCGACTCGTCTGTGTTGTCGACCTTACTCAAGAATGTCGTCTTACAAATCACTTTTTCATCATTATCATCAGCCTAATAATGTCCCAAATGCTGGGACTCTTCCTTACAGATGGAATTGAATCAAATCTAACACGGGGGATGGGCCATATGACCCACCACGCAGGCCCAGACCCAAGTGCAGATTGGTGGGTGTCAATGACTGCAGATGCAGCCGGGACCAACTTAAAGTTCCTTCCATAACACGAAGGAGATCGAGATAATAAATTTTCGGTCACCCATCTTATTCTATCCTTTGCGAAAGTTGCATAACAATCGTATTGCAGACCGTAAGCGCTAACCATTGCGCCATAGAGCTCTATTATTATTTTCGACCTATTGTGTGCCCTGGCGTTTCTTGTAATTATTTAAGAACATTAAATTTATTTTAATTTCATTAGTGTAAAAGACAAAAATAAATATATATATATATTTTGTAACCTATAATAGGCAAAGATATAACTTTTAATGCGCTTGTTTAAGAGCGAGTCGGCCTCACACACTGAGGGTTCTGTAGAAATATAAAATTTTAAGACCTAACTTTTAAGGTTTTAAATGAAAAATCCCAGGCCGAAAAAGTCATTTTAAATGTTTACTGTGGTTTTCACTGATGATGTAACATTTAAAGTATGGCATTGCCTGAGATTTCAGGTTCAAATTCCAAACAAATCAATTAATAATGTTATTAATGAATTAAAAATGTTGTTTCACATTTTTATATTATAGTCCAAGAGATTGTGACAAAAATGTGCAAGAGCTTTCTAGAGCTTGATATTTTAGAATACCTATACTAAGCACTAAGGATACCCAGTGTAGGACTGTAGGTAAAGTGCCTTCTATCAATGCTCTTTTAATGATAAATTTAAGTACAGTAAAAGCTCTTTATTCGCGCTTCCTTCATTCGCGTTTTCACTATTCGCGGATTGAAAAAATGCGACTCAAGTCCCATATTCGCGGCTTAAAATTTCCTTATTCGCGGATTGAATCGGTACATCGGTATATTCATATAATAATATGTCCCTAAATAAAAAGAATTCGGTATCATTTGTCAGCAAGTGGACTAATAAAGAGATAAATAAAATAGACCTTATTACAACTACGCCTAGATTGTGTTTTCAAAAGAAAAGACGGCTTTACGTCAACCTCCAACCAAGGAATATAAGGAATAATCCAACAAGGAATGAAGCCACGCACATTGAAATCAGGCTGGAAAAAACTATGGCCGGTTCTGACTGCTGAAAATGAGGAAGAAATTAAAACTTTAACTGTAAACATTGTCGAAATTGCGAGTGGAATAGGACGAGATGGATTCGAACAAATAGAATTAAGTGATATTCAGGAGTTGCTCGAATCATAAGATGAAGATTTGACTGAAACCGACTTGGAGGAAATGTTAAATTCACAACCCATTGAAGAAGAGGCGTCAACAGGCACTGGTAAAGTGACATTTAATCTGAAAAATCTTAGTGAAGGCATAAGAATGGCAAATGAGCTTTGTGATTTCTTTATGAAAATTGATCCATCAATGGAACGAAGTCTTATTTTTAAGAGGCAAATTGCTAGTCCCACCGCTGAATATCAGTGTGAACTGAGAGAGCTCTAAAATTCTGCCAAGCAAGAAAAAGTCACAAAATTTTTTAAACCATTGCCTAAACCTGAAGATATTATGTAACGTGTATATATGGTCAAAAACTTAAATTAAACTGATTTTTTATGTGTTTGCTTTTTTTATTTCGTCGTCAGGAACGTATCCCCTATAATTCTATACTAAATGCCATCCCGTATTCGCGTTTTCTGTATTCGCGGCCTATTTAAGGAACGTAACCCCCGCGAATAAGGAGCTTTTACTGTATACTTAAAAAAGGGTTTGGTACATTAGCAGTCCTGTGGGATCTTGTTAACTCGATCCCATAACAAGTAGTACTGGAAAATCATATGGTATTTGAAAAAAGGATTCCTAATGGGTATTGCAAGCCCTATATTATCATTATTTAATAAGTAAATATATGTATCAGATAACATCATACACATTACTCAGAACCCAGACAAGTAGATAAATAATTTTTATGTCGGAAAATCTAAAACAACAAAGGTAACTCAACATCCAATCCTGAGAAAATATATGAAAGTACATTTTTGAAAATTATGCAATGTACTGGGACTTCAGATATGGCGACACCATTAAACCAGCATGACAGCCACTCAGCCATAGAGGTAAAAAAATTAACAAAAAAGTAAGAATAAGTAAAGGTGTAAGATATTATTTTATTACTCTATGATATATAAAAGAAACTGTTGGAGGAGCTCACGAACTTAGATGTGTAAGGATATGTATGATGAGTGTGTGTATCAATGTTATGTTGATTTAAATTATAAATAATATTCCCAGTCCAGCTGTTTTAAGAACATACAATTGGTTTAATTCAGGAAAGCCTGTAATTAGTTTTACTCTTTGTTAATATTAAGTCTTAACTTTTCTAATTTTGTAAAAGCCGTTGGTTTCCTTATAATAAATTTTAAAAATATGGATTATTAAAATGAATAATTAAAATATACTTACAAATCCTGTTTTCAGTACCACTATAACATCATAGCGTCCACGATTTTCACTGACAAACCGTATCGTATCTCTAAGAGCAAGAGGTTGAATTGGTGTCCATAACAATGTCAAACAATAACATGTCTCTGGTTCCAACACCAACCATTCTTCTGGTAAATGTAAAATGAGTCCAGCAGGCAGAGCACGACCTAAGGTTATCTATAACACAATATGTACTCTAATCTTATTAACGAAATTAAACTTACATATTATATAAATTCAACATTAATTTATTTATTATATTTTATCAATTTTGCGTCTACACTATATATTTGAAAAATGCTTAAAAAGTGCCCAGAGTGAAAAGTTGTGGGCCGAGTCCCACTTAGGGGTAAGTGGGGCTGAGGGATTTTTTGCATTTTTCATAAAGAATATGAATTTATTTATTTAAATAAATTTAAAAAATATGATTGTAGAACGTTTTGACATTCAAACAGCAACATGAAAATCGTCAGAAATAGAGACTAACTGCCAAGACCTCCTAACTGACCTTTTTTGATATTATTATTTTTTTAAGCATTTGGGTTTAAAAATAAATATATTCGAAAAAAAAAGGTAATTTGTTGAAAAATTATAGTTATGTGGTATGGGCACTTTGATATCTATAACAATAATTTTCAAAGTGTAAAACTTTCATAAGTGGTATTAAATCAAAACCATAAAAAGTTCATACAGGTTCAATATTGTTAACAATCTTACCTGTTGTACTTGTTTGGATGGATTGAACACCTCTAAAGTTCTTTCACAAGAAGTTCCAATGGGAACATCCTCAAATACCACTTTTGCAGGTTTTGAAAATGGTGCTAAAATAAGTCGAGGGTGCTCTTCTTTTGGGGACTTCTTTATGACCGTTTCAGTCCGTCTAGATTTTCTAATATGTTCTGGGGTGTTTTCAATCTGAATAGATTTATAAAACAAGAAATAATAAAATCAAAATATTCTTTAATCAAATGAACATACTGAAAGCACTTATGATTTTATTATGGGTGCAAGTAACATATTATAACACGATACTGTAATGATACTGCCATTACAAGAAAAAGTTAATTTAGTGCATTATTAGTATAGAACAATGCAAAACCTATTGAGTCCATGTTTTACTATATTAAAACAATACTTTATTATAGTCATTATATACTAGACATCAGCTAAATCTAGATCCCTCAAAGTAAGAAATGGAATTGAAGTACGTTAGTACTATATCCATGAACGGAATATGTATTAGCTCGATTATATGTCTTAAAAGATGATTTCAGTATAATTCAAGTAAAAAAGTTTATATCTTACCTCAAAATACATTTTCAAGCTAAAACACACTAAAGATCCTTTTAAAACACAATAACGTTAAAACTTATCAATCAATCATGTTCAAAACAAACTTAATGCACAAATTGAAGTGAATAAATTAAATAATCACCAATGTAATGATGTAATGTATTTATATTAACGTAATTTTATAACAATAATTTTCAAATTATTTTCAACCGTTAACGCCGTCAACAAACGGTCACAGACTAGTAAGAAAATTGACCAACCGTCAACCGTCTCAGGCGTTTACTATAGCGTCTTATTGGTCTGTGTCTCACGCAGGGAGAGACGAGACCAAAGAGTAGTATAATAGGACGAGACACTTCTATATTAATAACAAAGGACATTTTTTAATATTTAATCATTTAATGCTTTATGCACTAATGTACAAAGGCGGACTTAATGCCTTAGGCATTCTCTGCCAGTCATTCTTTAGGTGATGTGAAGTCTAAACATAAAGTGTGTTCTCAAGGACTGTTCGATATAGAGATCTCAGTGCTTGAGAATGCCAGTTCTTTTGACCAGTAACTCCTATTCTGTCGATGTGAAAATTCGCCTCTTTCATTATAAATAAATGCAGAGGCGGTATGTTGAGCAGGGCATTCAGAGCGGCTTGTGGAACAGTAGACATGGCACCGGTTGAGGCATGCTGTTCTTTGCAATCTATTCAGTTTGTTAATTACTGTAGCTTGTGTGACTTTCTTCTACCATACAACGCTGGCATATGTCATCCATAGGGCTATTTTGGGATTTAGTCCCCATTTTGCTCCAGTTACTCGACAGCATATACCTAGGGCTGTTTTAGCCTATTGGATAATGTTGTTTATATGGCGCGTCCACGTGAGTTTTTAGTCGAATGTGACGTCCAAGTATTTGACTTCCATGGAGTTCAATATAGCGGTCTCTTTTAAATAAGCGTTTTAAGGTTTTCCAACTTTCGCTTCCTAGTAAAATTGACTATTGTTGTTTTATTCGGATTTACCGATAGGTTATTCTCTGTGCACCATTTGTCGATGATGTTTAGAGATCTCTGTATTATAGATGATACAGTGCTTTGACATGGACCAATAAAGCATGCCACCACGTCGTCCTCGTAGCCTTGTATATCTAGGCATTTTTCAGAGGCTTGTGAAAACAATTGATCAACCACTAATGACCATAATAGTGGCGATAGGATGCCGCCTTGAGGACAAACTCTTTGAACTCTTGTGGTTTTGAATAACGGTGTGTGGAAACGATTACCATTTATCGATTTTTAAAATAAACAATAATTATCGTTTATGATTTCCTAATTGAAAATTAACTGTCGATTATTTCTTAAAGCGTTAGTAATAGGAATAGTTTAAAACGTTAGTATTGTACCTACTAACTTTACTTCAATGGCTCGGCAACCCTTTGTGGATCGCGAGTGTGAATATTATTAGTAGATTTTATATTACTTATTATGGCAACCCTGGACTACTCGCACGAACCAGCACGAACACATAGGTAACTTTACTCTTTGGTCGGGGAACTTCCGATGTATGAATAAACGGATCTTACACTTTCATTTTAACAAATACAAATTAACCGTTTCATACTAAATGCACATATATGTATATACGGTACATACCTATACCAATATAATATTTTTTACATTTTTGTCTGTCTGTTTGTTCCGGCTAATCTCCGAAACGGCTGAACCGATTTTGATGGGACTTTCACTTATGTGATAATTCTGATTAATTGACTTATTCATTATAGCCAAACATAAACTGTTGAAGTTGGATCCGTGATCTTTGGTCAGCATTTTGTTATTTTGTGTAGATTATGTTTCGTTTACACTAAGAGAGGATTTTTATAAATTCAAACCTTAAAGGGGTGAAATAAATGTTGAAAGTTTATATGGAAATCGAACAGTTTTAAAGTTAGAAATATGGTTTTTTTTAGGTTACTATTATAATAAGTAGAATAAGTGTTGCAAATTTGTATAGGAGCCCGTCAATATTGAAATTAGAAACGTGAAACTTTATTTTTGAGCTACTGATTAAATTCATGGATGCTTTAGCAGTGATTGTGAAAATTCCTCCTTTAATGGGTTAAATAAGACATGAAGTTCAGTGAAGTCGTTTTTAAGTTGTTCTGTGTTTGCCTACATGAAGAATAACGATGGACTAGATTTCCTTTACTTTGTTTTTTTTTATACCTACTGAAAATAAAAATTGATATCCTATTATTTTCATCAATTGGGAGGTAGCTATTGGTAGATATATATTTTATTTTGATGATGGTTTTATAATGATAGGCTTTATTTTCAACTGACAAGACTGTTGCCGTGTGTGAAATAAAACAAATTATTTAGATTATTAATAATAATAATATATGCTTCATTTTACACTACACATTAAATTACAATTTGCGTAATATTGGGCAGGAAATTGAAAATATCAATTTGACCTTAGATAGAAGTTATTTAGCCATTCATAATCAGTAGACTTCCATGTAAAATTTCAACAGATCAAGAGTGGAATTTCCACAATCGCTAAAACGGGCATTTACTCTTTTTAATAGAAAGTCTAAAACTTAAAAATAATATTTCTAACTTTAAAAAACCTAAAAATAGAACCGGCTTCAAACTCAAAAAAAGTAAAAAATAATACTTATCTCAAAAGCGATTTATTCAAGAAAATTCTGTTGAAGACGATCGCCTATAAATTATTTAATAACCTACAGAAAACCTCGGCCCAATTTCAATTCTCAAAAGCGTGAAATAAGTATTACTTTTTTTTTAAGTATGAGTTTTTATTTCATGCTTTTTAATGATATTGATATTTTTATATAATAGGTAACACTAAAAATACTTTTCTAAGTTCTAGTTTCTTGTTAAAGTGCGAACCACCATTTTCTTGTTTGTTATTATAACTAAAACCTTCTCCAAAGTGTAACAAATACTTTTCAGAAAACCGCATCAAAATCGGTTAAAAACTGATACTTTCATACAAACTTTTAACTCTTAATCCACTCCCCCTAGGTATTGAATTTCCGTAAACCTTTCGTAGTGAGTGTTTTTTTCACAAATAACTCTACTGCTTTCCACAAATAAATAATATAAATGCCCAGTGGGCGGGAATATTGTGGACACTTATCGGGAAAAAATACAGTTCGCTCAAAACGCCCGGGCATTTTCCCGTTACTACACACCACCCGTTGTTACCATAGAGAACTTAAACGATCGAACTAAAGTACAACCAACTAGCAGCGATACGCAAGGTCATTACCCCGAAAAACTACTGTAGAGTTGACTATCTATTATATAATATTCCTCTTTTTATCTTATGTATTTGTCGCAATGTCTTTTTCTCCCGGCAAAAATGTGTCAAGGTCAAGACGGGTTCGCCAGGGTTCGCCAACATTCAGGCGACTATTTTAAATAATAGTGTTTCATTCATTTTCATTTTTGTCCTCACTGCTATAAACATTATTCTCGACATCAAATTACATTCTTGATATTTACATCAAAAAAATAATTCAAACTATACTTAATAAAAAATAGCAGGACCTAAGCTACAAGGTAAGTCAACACTTGACTTAAGCCAAGTCAACACAAGACTTGAGATACCTCCCTGTCATGCCTATAGCTTTGAGTATTATTATTCGAATTTCAACTCATTGCCTTTTTATTGTTAGATTTTTAGAATAACAATTACATAAAGTAACTTAATGGCAGATATTATTCAAAATATTATTGTCTGCTAATAAAATACATAGTTTTCAAAAAGTTACGTACCCCTGCATTTCCTAATGACATTGCATTGATTTTTATTTACATTTGGTATCGCTTCTCGTTGGCCGTACTTTAGAATACTATTCACGTTACAACACACGCATACGCGACATTTTTTTTTGGCTGTGCTTATGTAGTCTTATGCACTACATACTTAGTTTATTGCTATTTATAAAGATAAATATTCTCGAAAACGTATCATTCCCTCCGTTCAAATTATGTACGATAATGATTCAATTCCAGTCTTAAAAAGCTATAAGTATTTAGGAGTTATTTTAGATTCGAAGTTATCAGGCGCTCAACATTGTGAGCATATAGCTAACAAATGTGAACGCCTTTTGAATATCCTTAGATGTTTATCAGGTGTGTGGTGGGGTGCTCATCCGTTTAGCCTTAAGATACTATATAATTCCCTGATTCGTAGTATACTAGATTACGGTACCTTTTTGTTAGAACCCGGTAATAGTATCGCCTTAAGAAAACTTGACAGAATCCAATCCAAAGCACTCAGATTAATAGCAGGAGCTATGAAGTCGAGTCCCATCAATGCATTACAAGTAGAATGTTGTGAGGCGCCTTTACATTTACGTCGTCAATATTTATCTGACAGATTTGTTTTTCGCTCTATTCAATTATCTAATCATTCGCTCTTCCCCTTGCTTCAATCACTCGAAGAAGAAATTAACTCTTCCAGATATTGGTCTCACAAAACTCTTCCTTGTTTAATAAAAAGTTATAAAAAATATAAAAACCTGCACAACCCCACTCATCGTTCTAACTTGCTACCACTTTTTGATGTTAACTATCAATCTTTAATATTATGTCCGAATATTATCTTAAAGTCTATTAATAAAGATCCTACAGCCAGTTTTAATTTTAAATATACCATAGACTGTGAATATAAAGACCATCATCATATTTTTACTGATGCTTCAAAAAACAATAAGTCTGGCAATGTAGGCATAGGTGTTTATCATTCACAATACAATGTTGTTCAAAAAATTAAACTTCCACCCGAATCCTCAGTTTTCACAGGTGAATGTTATGGACTTTTAAAGGCCCTGGAATATGTTATTATTATGAAGCTTAAGAAAACAATTGTATTCTGTGACTCAATGAGCGCTCTTCAGGCTGTTGGTAAATTTCCCTTTCGAATGAAAACATATTATCCTGTTATTTCTGAAATAAGAAAATTACTTTATAAGTGTTACGTTAACAATTACTACGTACAATTTATGTGGATCCCAAGTCATTGCGGTATAGGTGGCAATGAGATAGCTGATAGATTAGCAAATGAGGCCGTGAACTGTGGTGACATGCATCCATATAAAAATTTTAGCCATGACCTCTTGTCTATAGCCAAGACTGATCTTCATAGTGCCTGGTGTAATATTTGGAAAAATAGCTCAAGTAAAAAAGGTAAATTTTATGCTTCTATTCAACCACACATTTCTCTTAAACCATGGTACCGGACTGCTGATTACGGAAGAAAGGCTATTTCAATAATAATTCGCATGCGACTTGGACATGTTTGCACTCCTGATCATCTCTCTAGACTTGGTATTATTAACAATAACATTTGTGACTGCGGTAAGGGTATTATTGGCGAACTAAATCACATCATTTTTGCTTGTTTAAAGTATGATCGCTCCTTCTTTTTAAATGACCTAATATCAATTAAAATTCCTTTCCCAACTTCCGTATCCTCCTTGCTGGCTATGAATAATCCATCTGTATATAAATCCCTAGCAAAATTTATTATTTTCAACAATATTAAACTGTAATATAATTTATATCTATCATTCCTTTACCTTATGTTATAATAATATCCTTCATCTTATCCTTATACCCTTCTAATCCTTATTATTCCAAATTCCCGTTAACCTTAAACTTTATCCCTTTCCTGACGTTTCCCTAACTTTACCCACAAAATAATGTCATTGGCTAAATGCACAAGCCGTGCGAAGCCAGAAAAAAAAAAAAAAAAAAAAAAAAAAAAAAGTTATCTATGACCACTGATTCCAAAACTGCAATCATCTGTCATTTCTGTCATTTCATTCAGTGCCGAGAAATTTTCGTCTTTTCTTTTTCTTTTGCGTGTACGTGCTTTATTTTGTACAATATTATTTTTAACTTTATAATTTGACAGATTCATAAACATTTCATATGTTTTTACAGAGCCCTGTGGCCAGAATATTAAGAAATCATGGCTGATAACCAGTCTAGCGATTACAATACTTGCGTAGTGTGTTTCAAGAACGTCTTATATTTCTCGATTGGAGAATGTGATCATCCCGTATGCTTTGAATGTTCTACCCGAATGAGAGTACTTTGCCTCCAAAATGAATGCCCAATATGTCGCCAAGACCTTAACAGGGTAAGTTTTTATACGGGTGTTCTTTGGTTTATTAAAATCTGCAAATTCTCTTAGCAAGTAGGAATGATCTTAAAACTTTTATTACATATTAAGGAAATATTAATAAACATGCACTACTTGCTTTGGTTTGAATTTTAAATATTAATAGTTGTTGGAAGTAAATGTTTATATTTTGATATAAATAAATTACTTTACATTATTACAACATGTTTATTCATACAATGTCTGTCTCATTTTATATTCTGTAGTATAAACTTAATTTAGGATTTGTTTACTAGATACTACTTCTGAAGTAATATAGTATGTCAATAGTTGATTATTTATTTAACTTATATCTTAATTATCTGTTTTACATATCAAATACACCAATAAAAATCAATTAAAGAGAAACTTATTATAGGTGTAAAAGTAATTTATTTGAATAAAGATGTTTTGACTTTGGTACTTAAAAACTAAGAAATAAAGATGGATGAATAATTAATGCCTGTATGCATTATTAATTTAAAAAGATTTTCTCAAGTTGCCAGAAATAAAGTTCAAAGTTTTTCGTTTTTCTTGTGTAGGGTTTGTTACCTCACAATCTTTAATGCATAGGTATAAATATGTGTTTGTACATAATGCAACATGAATGTTATTTGTTATATGTGTTCTTAATCATACTAAATATATAAAACTAAATATATGTTTCTACCATAACTATAAATAATATTTATGGTGTCAATATTATATCTAATTTTTCACGCACTTGTTACTTCTATGAAGCTACAGAGCCTGTTGCAAAATTCTCATAGCATTGTGACTGCATAATTGATCAAATTATATTTGATTGAACGAATTTTCATCTTTGTTGAAATTATTATATTTGATCAATTTCGCGTTCACAATGCTATACTGAAAAATATTCTTAATACAAAATTTTAATATTTGTAAAAATATTTCTTTTGGCTGTTTGCCTGAACATTGAGGAAAACACACTCTATAGTAGCGAAAACACAATAAGTGCTTGAAAAATTTGCCAGTCCTGTTAGCTCCTGGGTAGCTCAGTGCTATTTAGAGCAGTCATCTGGATTACGAAAAGTCATGGGTTTGAGACCCATCTCTGAGTGCCAGGGACAAAGTGGAGTTTTTAAATATTTTTCATAAAGAATAAGAACATAAGTATTGTAATTTTACTTGTTTCTAAAAACATTCATGTACCCAATTGCACCTTTGATAATGCGTATAGTCAAAATACAAGGGTGATTTGAAAAGTTTTCGGCTTGACCAAGATTTGAGGGTAGTATGTAAACTAATTTATTGTCATTTGACAGCTTGATTCTTTATTTAATCATATGTCAAGTGCCATTGTATTGAGACAAGGGCAGAATATGTAGAAAAATAAAACATGTTGAGAAATTTTCAAACTGGGTGGTTCATACATAATGAGTTAGAAACTTATCTTGATAGTTTAGGGAAACCCTCTATACAATTCTATATTTCTTGAAAACTTTCCAAGTTTACTGCAGCCAAATTCGATGAAGAATATTTACTAACAAAGCTTTGCTTAACAACCAGTGACAGGCAGATATTAATAACCTTTCTAAATTAGACAACATTATATTTTTATTTTAAATTTAGAGATACCTCTTCATGAAATATTCTAAGCATGGAGTCGGCTTACATCAGATGTGATCAATAATTAGATGTAGTCAATCTAAAGGAACATGTTTTATAATAATTGGCAACTTTATTTGGAAAGTTAGTTTAAAACTGCAAACATGTTTCTAATATCTGAATTCTCTAAGTTATAGGGTTGTCAAATAAAAATAATTTCAGCTTTATTACTTCTATTTTCTATTTTTTTGACAAAATATTGCAGTTTTATGATTTTTGACAGTAAAAAATATTACTCATAAAATCATAAAATATCCTGGTGAGAAATGTTTTATGTTTTTTATTTGTCATCTAAGTTGTGATACCCTTATTTGCTATGTTTACATTTATTTTTCATCAAATTTGACTGGAGTATAGTGTATGTTTTTCTGAGAAGCTTTACATTTAATTTTACAGTGTTTGTAAACAAACTCTTTTTGTTACAGGTTGTTTTTACTGATTCTATTCAGCCTTATAAAGAACTACGTAATAAAGTGTTCACGGATCGATTGTTTGAGAGACAGTTCAAAATAGGGTTTTGTAGTCAAGATATAAAGAATGCCTATGACAAATTACTGGAAAATCGCTGTAAACTATGCGATAACATACCACCATTCCGGACATTCAGTATGTTAAATGACCACATGAGAAAAGTTCACGAAAGATATTTCTGTGATCTTTGTGTTAAGCATTTGAAGGTGCATATGTTAACTGATATAAATTTGATTTTCATCCATAAATAAGGCTCTGCTTTCCATGCTTTTATATTAAATATATTTTTTGTTATAGATATTTACTGGTGAAAGAAAATGTTACACACGCCAAGAGCTAGCTCATCATAGACGCAAAGGCGATTTAGATGACACATCTCATAGGTACATCCTAATAAATATAAATGCTAAAATAACTTGTGTCTGTTTTGGTGTGGGTTAGGATTATTTTTATTTTTGGTATTATAAAATTCAGATTTTTATTTTGGAACTCTATTTTTATAGAGAAAATTTGGTATGAAGATTGATGAGCACATTTTACAAAATAATATTTCAGGGGCCATCCTTTATGTGAATTCTGTGAAGAACGCTTTATGGATGCCGATGAACTCTACCGACATCTTAGGAAGGAACATCTATATTGTCACCTGTGTGATGCGGATGGTCGTAATTTGTATTACGCGTCGCACTCTGCGCTTGCGCAACATTTTCGGACAGATCATTACCTCTGCGAGGAAGGTGAATGTGCAGGACAGCACCTTACTGCTGTATTCAGGAGTGAGATTGATCTTAAAGGTATGTTTGTAGTTAATAAATACTCAAGACTATTTTTATATATGGTCAACAGCATATCAGTATATAAACATTTATTACTCCACTTTAAAATACTAATTCCTAACATTGATGGTTCACAATTAATTTTTTGTTACCTTATGTGCTGGTTTTGTTACCTTAAGTGTATACACTATTCTTAAAGATTTGTTGTTACTGAAGATATAAATTATTCAACTGCAACATAAAATGTACAGAGAAATGAAGAAAACTATTCGAAAAAAATAAATCATTATCTTTATCTATTTATTCATTAGCAATGAGATGCATTTGAGCATTTGAGGAAGTGAATAAACTGAACTAAATCTACATATTTTGCTTTGTTGCATGGAAGTGTATAAAATTTTTGTTTCTTTTGCCTATGAGTCTAGTACTTTACATAGCTTTATTGTTGCGTTCTTAGCACGACTAAAGCATCGAGAGTATTTAATCCTCCTTCTAATAGGGATGATGATAAATTTTTGTTTGTTTGTCCGTCAGTTAGTGTTAAAAAATATTAAACACGTATTTTTTTATTTTTTTCGTAATCATAAAATTACGGCATTACATTAAGTTGACGTCACGTTAGAGTACGTTTTCTACTCAACTGTGACGTAGCGAGCCCCCACTCCTCAACTTTAATGCCTGTTATCAAAGCTATTTCTTGTTAAATTGAAGTAAAAAAAATACGTATCTAATATGTTTCTATTATCTGACTGACGGATTAAATAGAATTGCATTTTTTTTACCCAGTCATCATCCCTATTCTGACAAGAAGATTGTTTCCAGCGAAGCAGTAAATGTGATAAGAGAGCCAACAATAACATACTGTTAATGTTCAAATATTTTTTTTCTTATTAGCCCATAAGGCGACAGTGCACGGTCGAGGCATGAACCGGGGAGCTGCTCGTCAAGCACGTACACTGGAATTGCAGTTTAATATCACACCTCATCCTGTTGCTCAGAGAACTCCGAGGTGTGTTTTATGTTTACAATTTTATTATCATAATGTGATTAGGGAATCTCGCGAGATCGGGACTCGGGCGAGATCTCGCGAGTTTATAAATATCAATACCGCGAGGTCTCGCCAATTGCGAGATCGCGCGGGATTGGCACTTTTGTGTGTTTACTGTTTAACTGTAATATTTATTCAAGTCACAATATTTGAATAAATTTGGAAAAAAATATAGGAATTATAGGTATTATGAAATGAACATTTATTTTTAGGGGTATTTTCAATAAAGTTTTATGTATTTAACACTGTTTGACGCAATAATATATTTTTATTTTAAAACCTTTAAAAGAGCAATTACTGTATTATAATATCGTAATTGGTTCCAACAATTTTCATGGCATTAAATATGTAGGGGGTTTCAAAGGCGATAAATCGATTGATTTAGGTTTAATTTTTTTATTTTAAAAAGTGCCGAAGAAAGCTTCGCTCTCCAGGTACTAATATTTTAAGAAACTTAACTTTGACTAATCAAATACAAAATGAAATAAACAACCAGTCTTCTCTGATAATGTCAAACAAAATTTTAATTATAATACACAGTTTTTTATAACAAAAATACAAAACTAAAATAAAATACACTTAGTTAAATCGTATTTTATTATTATTTTATAGTACAGTTTACTTTACTCACACAGCTTTTTGAGAAGTAAATTTATTTATAAATTGATATTCCTCTTATTATTGTGCTGGCCAGACAACCAGCCACTGAGAAGATCTTTTTGTAAAACTTCGCCACTTAATCGACCGCACTCACATAAATTCGCGCTGCCGCACTTAGAATAAATCGTTTTTATGCTCGACTGCAATCTCGTTAAACTCGCGAGATCTCGCCCATTTTTCGACCGAGATCTATCTTCGCTAAAAAAGGCCGAAATCTCGCGAGAACAAGATTGCAGTCCCTATATGTGATCATATTAAACCTTAAAAGTGTTATTAAATAAAGGAAAAAAATGTATTAATTTAATTGTCCTGCAAAAACTATCAGTCACGTGACATTTCGAGCTGTGATTTCACATTTCAATAATCATTAATACTACTGATTATACTCTAACTGAACGACGATAATGGCGATGTGAACTCACACCAAGCTGTGCCATGGCATTTCGGTTCTTGTAATCCACAGATTATAAATAGCAAGTTTATTTTGCAAAAATAAAATATTATATTTTGATTAATTTTGCATTCACAATGCCACACTGAAAATTATTCTTAATACAAAATGCTTAAAAAATCCACTTGGTCCCTGGCACCCTGAGATGGGAATCGAACCCACGACCTTTCGCAATCCGGGCGACTGCTCCAACCGCTGTATGTGTCCATCGCACTCCGCACTCCGAAACCATCCATTCTTCGTTTTTCGTTAAAACGATTCTGTTGTAGAATGAACTTCCGTTTTATATAAATAAAATAAATAAATAAATATTTAACAACATCACATACATTGCTCAGATTCCAAGATGAGTAGCTAAAGCGCCCGTATTATGGAGTATCTGAGACAACGAAGGTACCACAACACCCAGACTCGAGTCAATATAGAAAAGTTCATTTTCTACATTGACCCGACCGGGAATCGAACCCGGGACCTCAGAGATGGCGACACCTTCAAACCGTCGTACGAACCACTCGGCTGCGGAGGTCGTCGGAACCATAGAATGTCCACCAGCAAAGGGTTTAGCCGGATACGTATGACGAGTCGGCCCCCAAATGGGAATCGATATTGAAACTTATGTTTTAATATCGACTTGATGTTCAAACACGATTTATGTACTTTTCGCGACCGACTTCCGCTTTGACCTTGAGATAGAGAGCAAAATATCCGTATGCTTGACTATTACTAAATGTGATATATCTCTGAAGCTAATTAAGATAAAGAAGTGAAACTAACGCGAGGTGTTAGGTTACATTACAGAGTATATCACATATATATTTTTATAATTTTTAGAATAAAAAATTACATTAAAAAAATAAAAATAAAAAATATAATGTTTTTTTTTTCTGACTTCTCTGTGACTTACAATCACGAAATTAATATATGTTATGCTCCTTTGTGTGCTCTATCACCCATAAAAATTGCGTGAAAAAAAAGTTGGTGCAACACAACGGAAAAAAATTATATGTGATTCGCGCCTTGTAGTGTGAGTGTATAAACAAACAAGTTCGAACTTGTTATCGAGCTGTTTACTGCATCGTTTGTTTAGCTAAAGTAGCAGTCATTTGTATTACACAAGAAGGCAGTTTGGGACTCAAATTCTGTCATAGGTATTTTGTATCAGCATTTTGAAATTATTAACTATTGAACCAAATCATTATCAAGTAATAATGTCGAGAAAGTGTAAAAATTGTAACAAGTACCTGTGTAAGATTCCAGGAGACCAGGATAACCAAGATAACCAGGAGGTTATAAAAAAATTATAAAGAATGAAGAAGAAGCTAAAGTGTTTAGTGACTGTTTGAATAAAATCGTTATAGTTAATGATATTTTTTGTAAGAAGTGTCGACTTATCCCATATATTAACAAAAAAGCTTCTACTTCTAAATGTGTAGCATTTAACTTGGCCGAAATAATGGACGATCTAATAATCTCTCAGTACAATATGTGAAATCAGCACCTAATATCATCAAAGCAGAAGTAAAATCAAGACATAAATAGAAAAGTCTATCGAATTTACATTCACTATATTTCCGAAGGTAATGACTACAATAGTATTCTTCGTTATTGCTGTGATTGCCCCAATGGCAAACGTACAGTGGGATGCTGTTCTCATGTAGCAGCTATTATTTATTATCTATCATATCGATGATATTTGTCCAAAATCGTACGTCCTGCTGAGGTCCTAACTAAGTTATTTGCGACTCAAAGTGTTCCGATTGTAATTAATTACAACAGTGACGATGATTAATATTTTGTTTCTTGTATTTTGATAGACACGAAAAAGTAATAATAATGAGTATTGAACACTGGCTGTTTTTTTTTTTCATTTCTTTTTTAACTATTATCCCATCTCTTAAGACTAGTTACTTATGTTTTAAAACAAGCTGAAGTGAAATTTCGAATAAAACATAAGTTTCAATATCGATTCCCATTAGGGGGCCGACTCGTCATACGTATCCGGCTAAACCCTTTATATTTAAAAACAAGCTGTGTAGCTTTCTATTGGAACAGGCTAATTCATTACCCAGTTAGTCGTCTACATTATATTATATATACATATATAGGTACATTATATATTATATTATTGTATGTAGTTATGAAAGTATATATGTATGTATTTTTTATGTAAGTTTATCTATTTTGTTATAGGTTTTATTTCCCTTATTTATATCTCCACTACAATTGTGCACACTACCACCTTTTATCTCCACATCACCCATCTGGTTGTCTAGTAGAAAATGCCTAAGGCATTAATTCCGCCAATGTAATATGTACATGAAGTGTTAAATAAAAAAATATGTCTTTCAATAATTAATAAATATTTTATCAGTTGTATTTTGAGCTTTATATACTTTCTATTTTTAAATGACGTCACGCGGGTGTTATTAGACAATTAGCAATTTACGGGTCTTTTACCAAGTTTACACATTGATGTAGGGACCGTGAACGTGAGCGTACCGAAGCCCCGAGCCCGCCCCCAGTAGTGGCCACACCGAACATTGATACGCGAAGCGACGAACAGTTCCCGCGTCTATCTTCCACACCCGCTGCCCCGAATCTTGTGCTCACTGCGCCCTCTCGCGCTTACAAAGGTATGTTAAGTTAAACATTCAACATTGTCCTTATTTAATGCTATAAGTATTCATATTTATCTTATTGAAAATGTTGTCGCAGCCCTACGATTCTGAAAAAATCCAGACCCGAATTCGAATTCACGTCATTTAGTGTAGAAATAGTGATTGATTTCATTAATTGTATAATAATACAAAACATACAGCCAGTTGCACAAACATCAATTAAAATTTTCATTACTTTAAAGCGTCATTACCCATACAAATTTGACATTAATTAAAGCTTAAAGGCGTCATTAAACCTTAATTGACGTTTGTGCAACTGACCGATAATTGACTAAATATACATGTCACAGATATTCTATTCCTATGTATTTCGGAACTCACTTCACTTATGCCACGGTTGAGCGGATGCCGCTTTTTCGAAGTATATATGGACATCTGAGCGAATTTGAATTCGGGTTTGGATTATTACAGAATCACAAGGCTGCGACTACATTTTCAATAAGATAAATATGAACACTTACAGCATTGAATTATCTTTCTATTTTTCTATTCCACTGATATATTTTAAATGACCTTGTGGATTTATAATAATTTTACAAGAATATATTGGCGTGTAACTGATCAAACGTCAAAGTCAAAATGACGCCTTTAAGCCCTAATGAACGTTTGTATGAGTAATATGTATGATTTGTATGAGTAATCTCGCTTTAAACTAATGAGAATTTTAATGGAAGTTTGTGCAACTAGCTGTTAGTCAGCTAACTTAGTGCTGCCATTAGTCATCATCATCATCATCACCAGCCCTTTTACGTCCCAACTGCAGGGGCTCAGGCCTTCCTTATCGATGGTTAAGGAGGATGAGCTATGACCCTCCACGCTGGCCCAATGCGGATTGGAGGGTATTAACGACTGCAAATGCAGCCGGGACCAACGGCTTAACGTGCCTTCCAAAGCACGGAGTAGCTCGAGATAATAATTTTTTGGTCACCCATCCATCCCGTGACCGACCCTTGCGAAAGTTGCTTAACGACTACGATCGCGGGCCGCGGCGCTTATCCACTACGCCACCGAGCTACTCACTGCTGGCTGCCATTAGTAGTCGATGTTTTTCCCGCTAACAGTACTGAGCTAACAGGGGCTCATAGTTAATTGTTATGACTTTAATCTGAATATTGGTCAGGTTCTGGTGGTTTAGCGCGCAACGATAAGAACTTTCCGGCTCTCGACGGTTCGGGACCATCTCGACCGCCGCCGCAACGCGTCCCGCCGCCACAGACCGTGGCCGCCACACTACTGAGAAACTGTAAGGAATTAGTGGCAATGGCCGTGCCGATTCAGTAAAATTAGAAACTGTTCTATGTCATTCAGGATTCGGAGTGATAATTATGCCGATAATTATGTTGATAAATATACGTTAATGATTATCTTGATTATTATAAAACACTACACACACTCTTTTGTACTTTAGGACTTGCTTTTAAAGGGTAATGTGGTTCTTCTGATAGAGACCCCTTTTTATTTTTTTATTTTTTTTTATGGAATGTGATTTCACAGACATTTATTTATTATGTTTATTTCGTTTGTATATTTTAAAACAAGTAAAATAAAAAATATACAATTTTGAATGCCTTTCTGTATTTTAAAAATTGTGGCCTGTAACCAAGGATATGGGTAATATTGGAGGGTATTAACTGCAAATGCAGCCGAGAGCAACGACTTGACGTGCCTTCCGAAGCACGGGAGTAGCTCGAGATAATAATTTTTCGGCCACCCATCTCGACCTTTGCGAAAGTTGCTTAACAACAACTCTTATCCACTACGCCACCGAGCTACTTACTATATTTTTGTCCAAAGAATGCTTCTCTGTGACTTGTATTCTGTTGTGTGCAATACAGTGTATTATTATTATATATTAATTGCTTTCTTGTAGCGAAACCTAGCGTTTCTATACAACTGCACAGTCAGCCGGCAAGCGCTAGCAACTTTCGTCTGACGCACACTAGCGGTAATCGTATATCGATACCGGCGGCGCGACGCCCACTATCCGACGATGACTTCCCATCACTAGGACTCGCGAAAGACGACCATCCCAGTATCGGTGCAGGCTCTCTGCAGCCGCCTAAGGTACACTATGTCATAATTATGCTGGGGGATGTAATAATTTGAAATCTTCATAAGCCTAGCATTTTCTTAAGGTTTTCTTCCCTTCCCATGTTGGAAATGTTAACTTATATGTAAATAATGAATGTGTTGTATTTTTTGTTTTCAAATAAATTGTAAGTTGAATATATTTTTGCGATGTTAACTTGTTATTTATAATAATGTAAATTAAAAGAACCGAAACGCGGGCTGCTATGACGATGCATCGTGTGACGTCACATTTCAATAAACTAAACGCAAACGTCTTTGTTGGGTGTGCTACCAGTACCCATGTTTATTGAAACGTCAGTACTTAAAATTACTGATTATTTTCGTGGGACAATATAAATTTAATTTTTGGGGAAATATAAATCTGATAGTTTTTTAACATGATCATAAAAGTTTCAAAATATTTTACTCAAGTAGCCAATCGATTCCCGATTAATGTCTAAATTGGCATATACCTAGTTCTCAAGTTACTGCTTAATCAAAATGAACTCTAACTTAATTATTTTACGCCTCAAATACTAGCGTTTTGTGTCATTCAGCTGTTCAACGCAATATAGATAACTTGAAGATTTTTATGTAATTTATATTTAATTCTTCTTAATCATATAATACGGGATCGGACTACTTTAAAAAACTTAAAGGCGTAGACAGGAAACGAAAATAAATTAATTTTGTTTAATATATTATTACCGATAATCTCACTTTTATGCTTATTATATCCATAATATTGCTTAAACTAATATTTTATGCTCATTGTCACGTGACCGCAAACAGCGTGTGACGTCACGCCTTTCTTACTCATATAAGAACTTAGAGAATTAAACCTTACATACATACATATAACGATATTCGTTTCAGAGTGCTGTGACGTGAGTGGCGTTATCGCGGGAAATTTTGAAAATTACATTTATTTTTAGATTTTAACTTATAACGATATTTACTAAATAATAAGGGATTAAAAGGGATTTTCAGTGAAAATAATATATATATTTTTAAATAATATATAATATATATATTTGTGATGTGTGATGTGATAAAAATATTAAACAACATCACATACATTGTTCAGATTCCAAGATGAGTACCTAAAGCCCCGTATTTTGGTGTATCTGAGACAACGAAGGTACCACAATGCTCAGATCTGAGACAATAAAGAAACGTTCATTTTCTACATTGACCCGATCGGCAATCGAACCCGGGACCTCAGACGTTTTGAAACTGGCGTGCGAAACACTTTTCAATTCAGTTGCTAACCTATTCAATGTTGAGTGATTGATTGTCATCATAATTGATTTGTTTCATTTTTAGAACAAAAATTATGTTAAAAAAAACAATGTTCGCAGGTAGCGTCAATTAACAGCCAAGAAATGAATGCGCTCAGTCGATCTCAACAAAATTCCTCACATTCACAACCTAAGAAAGTTCCACTTAGCTCTGAAGCGTTTCCAGCTCTATCGTCCACGTCCACACCTGCCGCTCCACCACAATGGATCACTGTATCAAAGTCAAAAGAGAAACCTAAACCTTCAAAACAGGAACCACCTCCACAACCAAGAGAACCAGCCTTCAATCCTGTCGCAGACTTCCCTACTCTGCCCGCTAATACAAAAGCGAAACCCAAGAAAACCCAACCCCAACCAACTCCAACCCCTGTTCAGAACGAAAACGCAAAGCCTAGTAAAAAGGAGAAGAAGAAGAATAACGCCAAAAAGGAGAATATCTCTGAGGTGCCTTACGTGAACGGCGTGATCGATAAGAAAATCGCTAAAGAGCTTTCGTATGGTGCCAGCGTTATAAATAATCAAACAACCGATAGTAAAAAAATTAAGACTGCGGAAACTTCGTCCAATCTCACTGTTAATATTGAGAAAAACAAAAACGGTGGCAATGGCGACTTCAAAATGACCGCGAAAGATTATCCTCCTTTGAATCCGAAGAGCGATAACACAGTTCTTTATGTACCTAAAGAAAAGCAGATGAACGGAAGCATCCCGCCTGGGTTTAAAGCGCGGCCTACATGTGATGGAATGACATTTACTAATTCATCCGGGCAGACGTTCTCAGCTCCGGTACATACGTACATACCTCCTCCGGATTTCGAGCAAAGAAATAGAGATTTGGTTAAGAAATTCACTGTGGCACTAGGTGGCGCCGCTGCAGTCGAAGATTTCAAAGTAGCGTCTCGCGCATTCAGAGACAGCATAATTGGTGCAGACGAGTTCTATCAACATTGTCGCAACGCTGTCGGGAGTCAATTTGATACTTTGTTCCCTGAAATGGTCGCTTTATTGCCGGATATAGCAAAGCAGCAGGAACTAGTGGTGGGAAGGAATTCTCAATTGGAAGTGTGTTCCACTTGTGGTCAGCTGTTGGCCGCATCGGATAGAATCGCTCACGATTCCGCACATTGGCCCCCTCTAGCGGCTCGTTAGCTCAAATTTCATGTGTCGTGATACTGCCACATTTTAAGTGTACATCAGCACATTTAGAAGAATGATTGTGCTATATATTTATTTAATGTTAATAAAGACTACCTAGTATGTTAGAAGTTAAATAACTTCAGTATATTGAAAAAAAAAATGTAATTGCTCTGTGGGTTTTCCCATTTGAATATAGTTTTATCTCGTTTACGAAATCTAAAGAGCTTTTAATGTACGGGAATATTTGAAATAGATACCTAACTTTAGTTCAGCCTCTACATTTTATCAATGTCTATGACTTAATATATATTATTACTATACGTATATCAAACGCTATCAATTTCTCTATGTTGTTAACATAAAATAAGCATATTGTGTTCACAATAAGTAATAGCCTATAATTTATAGAAATCGCATATTGTATCATATAGATAATGTATAGAAAACTCATCTAAACTTATTCCGAAACCGTTAATATCTGTATGTGAAATGATGTTATCCTACTACATACATATATGTTATTGTATTTATTACATGTTTGTAGATGACAATATATTTTTCTTAATTTTTCTTGTAAATGTTAAATTCTTCACTTTTCTTGCAACAAAAAGCTCTAATTTAGAGCTTATCTATGAAACTACAGCTATTGTAGGAACGGTGTTAAAAATGACCAAACAAAAATCTTGACTTGAAAGCAGATATTTTTTTATTACATTTTATTTTTCGAAAAACTTGCCCATTATTAATTTAATATTGATACTTATTGTATATTTCAACATCTCATTGTTATTATAATTCAATAAAGTATTGCAATTATAAGTGAAAAGTGATGTTTAAAATTAAACAAATTTTATAATATTTTTGTACTTTGAAATGGACAAACTAATTTTCTTTGTGTAAAATATTTTTTGTTAAATACCTGTTATTGGTTTGATCATAAAATTGGTGTACATATATATAACTAGCAGTTTTTTTAACCGACTCCAAAAAAGGAGGAGGTTCTCAAATCGGACTGTATTTTTTTTTCGTTTGTTACGTCATAACTTTTTATTGGGTGGACCGATTTTAATGATTCTTTTTTTATTTGGAAGCTAGTGCTTGTTCCATTCAATTTGGTTCAGATCTGGCAATGGCATCTATGAGAAAATCATATAACTCTTAAATTTGCGTTAAGTATGCGAGATATTAGTTATCTCACAACTTTTTACAGGGTGAAATTGATTGATTATTTTTTTTTTTTTGAAAGCTGGTGTTTCCGGATTCCATTTTCAGCATAGTATTTGACAGACTTAGGGGAAGGTTTTAGGTATATTAACAGACTAAAAAAAAAGCATTTTTAGTGTTACCTATTATATACAAATATCAATGTCACTAAAAAGCATAAAATAAAAAAGGAACCGACCTACAAACTTAAAAAAGTGAAAACATACTCATCTTAAATGGGACTTATTCAAGAAAATGTTGTTGAAGTCGGGCGCCTATAAATTAATTAATAACCAACAGAAAACCACTTCAGACTTTAATAGCTTTTTTTTATCTGATCTCTAGGGTCAACGAACAATGTAGGTTGAAGCGGAATAAGGGTCAGTTCCAATCTGACGGAAGAATTGTCAAGAGTCTTACGTCATAGTGAGTCTTGTTTCAATATCTATAAGGTGCAAGATATATTGTATTGGGTGTCCCTCTCATTCACAGTCAGTGGGGGTCAGGTGCGTGGATATTAGTGTATACGCGCACTACGATCTTTTATTGAGCGATAATTTTGTCACAGAAATGCAATGCATTGATATATAGAATTAGTGTGCAGATATGCGACAAAAAAATCGCTGCGATTTTTAAATTGTGATTTTTTACATTTTGTCGCGATTGCGACTATCGCAAAACTAACTTGTAGCTTAAAAATAACTAGAAAATTTGATTATCGAAATTCACACCAGATCACTGTTGTGTGATAGATAATTTATTTATTTAAAAACATCCTACAAAACATACACCACAATCGTGTAACAGTAAAGCTTACATCAATTGCCTTTTAGCTGTGAAAGTATGAATCCAGTATTGACTTCATTTTCTTGTTCCTTTTCCGAAGTAAAAAGACAAAACAGCTTTTAAAAATTCCATGCGCGTAGAGAATATTATTACGAGGGTCAAACTGAAAGTTCTTAGAAAATCAAAAACTGATTACATTAGCCAGTTATTAGTTTTATTATATCTTTTCAAAATATTGTCCATTCACGTCAATACACCGCTGCATGCGATGGAACCACTGGGAAAAGCACTTTGCCCACTCGTCCTTAGGGGTCTCTTCAATGGCATCGCGATACGCAGCCACCGCTTCTTCAGCATTCATAAACCGATTTCCTTTAAGTTTTTCTTTAATTTTTGGAAATAAATAAAAATCACAAGGCGCGAGGTCGGGGCTATACGGCGGGTGACCCAGTAATTCAACGTTTGATGTCGCCAAATAGTCGATCGTTCGCTTGGCGGTGTGCGACGAGGCGTTGTCGTGGTGAAGGAGGATCCTACTGCGAGGTCGTTTCTCTCGAACTTTTTCCAAGACAAGTGGCAAACAATTGGTAGTGTACCATTCTGCAGAAACTGTTTTTTGATCCTCTAACACAATTGTTGCAAAATGACCTATCCTTCCAAAGAACGAGGCCAATATTTTTTTTCCCGCACTTCGATCTCTCTTCACTTTAATTGGCAACTCCTCGAAAGGAAACACCCACTGAGCAGATTGTCTTTTGGTTTTAGGATCATAACAGTAAATCCAGCTTTCGTCACCTGTTAGTATGTCGAACACAGCATTTGAGTCACCTCCGTTAAATCTTTCAATCATTTTACGACACCAATCCACACGATGGAGTTTTTGAGCCTCAGTCAAATTATGAGGTATCCACCGGGCGCAAAGCTTCCTGACCGCTAAATGTTCGTGGAGGATTTTGTGCACTTGACTCATACCATTGTAATCTTTGGTCGCACGAGATGGGGCTTCATCGTGAAAGGCCAATCTTCTTCTTCTTCTTTTTAATTAATGGCGATGCCCTTATGGATTTCGCCAGAATCCAGTGTTTCGCTCAGATTAATTCATATTTAGATATTTTATAAACTCTGCTTTTTGTAATACAGAAGTGAAATCTCAAGTTAAATTTAGAATTTTGTTGTATTTAGATTATAGACGAATGTTATTACTCTTAATATAATTACATAAGACGATTATAAAAGGAGAGTTAAGATATCTTAAGACGGATTTAAAATTTGTGGGTTTGGGAATAAATGAGGGAATGTCATCATACAAGGAAGAAGGGTATTTAGGGCAATTGAAAAAAATATGATCGACTGTTCCTACGTCCAGCCCGCATTCACAAATAGAGCTGTCTTTGATCCTAATTTTTGCTAAGAAAGCGGGAGTGTTTGCGTGCCCTAACCGTAGACGACATATGGTGGATGTACATGCCTTAGATATATTTTTAAACTTAAAAAACCACGGTTTAGGAGGGATGGTGTCTTGAATATCGGCGTAATATTTTCCTACATTTTTACTTGATGATTTCCATTGAGCATTCCATGAACATAAACTCCGTTTAACTGCCAAGGAAATTAGATCGTAGGAGAATACTTCGTAATGGGACGGGATACCAATGTTAGCTGCTTCTTTTGCAATTAAGTCAACTGTCTCATTACCCCCCACACCGGAGTGGCCAGGAATCCAGGCTATGAGGACTCTTATTTTTTTAATATGGCATTTATATAGGACGTCTCTTATTTTTAGAACATAAGGGTAGTTGCATTTACTGCGAAAAGGATTTGCTAAAATAGTCTGAAGGCAACTTTTAGAGTCTGTGAAAATTATTGTCTTATCCAGATTATGCGACTCAATATACATAATCGCCTCAAGAATAGCGATAGCCTCTCCCGTGAAAACAGATGAGTCAGAAGGACATTTGAAACTGAGAATTATTTTGAATTTGGGGATCCATACAGCAGAACCTACATATTCTCCATCAGAGAGTTTTGAAGCATCAGTATAAACCACGAGCCAATCGCTCCAATTTTTAATGATCAAATCTTGTAGCAGATCTTCCGCATTTGGGGAATCTTTGAAAATGCCTACATCTAACAAGATGTTAGGACGAAATATGAGAGAGTTGAATGAATTATTAAATAATGGGAGAATCGAACATTGGAATACTGGGGAGGGGAGTCTGATATAGCAAAGGAAGCTACGAAATAGATAAGGTATGGTTTTATGTTTCCAGAACATGTCATGAGATATAAATTCTGAAAGTAAATGTAATTTGTTAATAAGGAGGTGATTCGATTTCTGAATAATTTTGAAAAAGTATCTATCTGATAGGTATTGTCTTCGGATTTCTAATGGGGATTCAGAACATTCCACTTGCATAGCGTTGATAGGAGAAGATTTTTTAGCTCCCAAAATAATACGGAGACACTTGTACTGAATCTTATCAAGCGCTTTTAGAGATGACTTCAAACAAGGTTCCAAAAGAAATGAGGCATAGTCTAAATGGCTTCGAATTAAAGCATTGTACAATAGCTTTTGACAAAAAGGATGGGCTCCCCACCAAACGCCTGACAGTGATCGTATGATATTTAAATTTTTTTCACATTTTTTGATTATATGAGCGATGTGGTGGAATCCTGTCATTTTAGAGTCTAGGACAACTCCAAGAAATTTCACCTGATTTTTCAAAGGGATGAGTCGGTTTAGATATTTTATTTGGACATGAGGGGTATTCCTAGAACGTGTAAATATAACAATATTACTTTTATCAACCGATAATGATAGACCATGATTAGTTAACCAGTCATGTAGATACGATATAGCCGTATTTAGGCGAGTCGATAAGGTATCAATATTTGAGTCTGAAATATATAAACATAAGTCATCGGCATATTGTAGGACATTACAGAAAGAGTTTAAAGCTAGCTCAAGATCATATGTGTACAAGCTGTAGAGTATGGGGCTTAAAACTGAACCTTGCGGAAGTCCTTTCCAAATAGTTCGGGGTGGTAATAGAGAGTCTCTCACACAAACTTGGATACATCGTGCGGTCAAGAGGTTAAATATTATGTTTATAAGTCTCAAGGGGATACTTAGCTTGAACAATTTTTGCCTGAGAATAGGAAGCAAAACATTGTCATAAGCAGACGAAACGTCTAAGAAAACTCCTACAATGTTTTCCCGTTTCGATAGACCGATCCAAATATCAGTGGTGAAAATGCTCAGACTATCCATCGTACTCATACCTTTCCTGAAACCAAACTGACTTTTAGCAAGAAGATCCCTACTTTCGACAAACCACTCAAGTCGATTTTTGATTAGGTGTTCAAGTATTTTGACCATTGTACATGAAAGGGCGATAGGTCTATATCCATTTGGATCATTGCCAAGTTTACCAGGTTTCAGTATGGGAATAATAATTTGCATTTTCCATTCATCTGGAGGGATGCCTGATAAAAAAATTTTATTAAGTATATTAAGGAGAAGCTCCCTAGTTGGAATATTACTATTTACGATAAGAGAGTAAGGGATTCCATCAATACCGGGCGAAGAGTCTTTTAAGCCATCTAATACAGCTGAGAGTTCGTTAAGAGAAAATGGCTCATCGAATTCAGTTAACAGAGACGGTAATGAGATGATAGAATAAATAACTTCACTACTTGATGGAACTGATGGAGGTGCTAATTTACATTGAAATGAGTCAAGCCACTGTGAAGTATCATTTGTAGTGAAATTGCTAGTGTCAACCATAGCACAACGGAATTTTTTAACATTCTTCCACACCAAAGATGGAGGTGTTCTGGGAGAGAGGGATTCACAGAACCTCTGCCAGCCAATTCTTTTTTTTTCTAAAAGGGTTTTCACTGCTTTTGCAGCAACTGATCGATATTTTATGTAATTATACTCTGTCATGGATTTTGCATATATTTTTTCGTACATCTTTCTCTCTTTGCAGACCCTAGTACAATCAGAATCCCACCAGGGAGGAGACCGGGGTTTACCTTTAAAACTATTTTTGGTAGGGATAGATTTATCTGCAGCTGCCAAAATACAACTTTTAAAGTCATTATAGGAAGAGAGATAGTTATTATCGTTAATTGGGGGCAAATTTTGTGTTTCTAATTCTAAATTACTTTTGTATACTGTCCAATCTGCTTTTGCCAAATTATATTTAAGATGGGTACGAGGGATAGTCAGAGTGTTTGGCCGTTCGTTTCGAGAATTGGGAAATAAAATTACTATTGGGAAGTGATCACTTCCATGGGTAGAAGGAAGTATGGTCCAAGTAAGAAGGGAAGCTAAGGATGGGGAGCATAGAGACAAATCAACAGCACTAGCAATATTTTGTATTGGCGATACCCTACGTGTAGGTGATCCATCATTTAATACACAAAGGTCAAATTTATCGCAAATGTCCAAAAAATGAGAAGATAAACGGTCACAGTAATATGAGCCCCATGATGTGTGATGAATGTTAAAGTCACCCAAAATAACTAAGGGATGGGTAAGTGTAGAGACGATATTTGATAATTCAGCTAGGTATTCAAGATTTGGATATGGGATATAAACTGAAAGGTAAACAACATCTAAAGCTTTTAATGCCACTACATTAATGTGTTCACTATGCGATGGAAGTGGAATAAGAGAAAATGTGACAGATCTTGAAACTAGTAAGGCAGTGCCTCCATATCCATCATTTCTGTCATCCCGGAAACAAGCAAAACCTGGAATGCGGAGTTTTGCACCAGGCTTAAGTCTAGTTTCCTGGACAGCAAAGATGACAGGTGAGTAAATATTAATGAGGTACAGAATTTCATTAATTTTATTTCTACTGCTGCGGCAGTTCCATTGAAGTATTGGAGCCATTGGAACACGAAAGTAAAAGAAGCTGAGACAGTTGATCTTTGACGTTGTTCGGTAAGCCGATATCACTAAAACGGCCGAGGAGATTGATAATTGTTGATAGGAGAAGAGATAATAGGTTATCATTGGGAACAGGAGGATCATTTGGGAATGCACAACCATTAGAAAGCTGGGATTTAGGGGTCTCAGTGATATTTCTATGAGTCTGATGATTATAACCTGGACTTGATGCAGGAATGGGATGGTGTTTAGGGAGAGAAACACTTTTACGATAAGAAGTTATAGGTTGGGGTCTGGGGGACGAGAGAGGAGATAGATAGGGAGTGGAGGGAGAAGTAACACGACTGTTTAATTCATATCTAGTTGAGTCAGCAAAAGACCTCCTGACCTGCGCAAATCTTGATGATGCTTCAGAATATGATACATTTTCTTGTGACATAACTAATTTAATTTGTTTTTGACGAGATTGCTCAGGGCAAGAGGGATCAGTCGCTTTATGTTGGCCGGAGCAAAATAAACAAGTAGGAATATCTTTTTTACACGAAAATCCTTCGTGAGATTGTGCACAGATGAAACAGCGTGCCTGAGACCTGCAATGTGATTGGATATGGCCGAACCTACAGCATTTGTTGCATTGGATTGTAGGAAGAACATATGTCTCTACTGGAAGTGAGGTATAAAAGCAGTAGATATGTGAAGGAAGTTTTTGTCCAGAAAAAGTTAATACTATAGTTTGGGTGGGAATCCATTCTGGCGAATTGTTTATAAATGATTTCCTACAGAGTCGTCTTGCCTTTATAATTTGACCAAATCCTGTGGGAATTTCCAGGGCCTTGACTAGTTCTTCTAGGGTCCAATCTACAGGAACTTGACGTACTATGCCCATTCTAGTAATACTATAACGGGGGATGATAGCTTGATACTTGGCGGGAGTAAGTGAAGTATGATCAAGGAAAGCATTGGCATCATTAAAAGATTTAAATTCCACGGAAATTCTGTTTCTACCAATACGTTTGACACCATCCTTCACTATATTTTTAATTTTGTTGATATATAAAAAATGTCCAAATTTAATAGGTCTAAAAACAGAACCAGAGCTGGGATCTGATATTATCTTGCTAACATGAACGACGAAAGGAGCAGAATCATGCTCTGTATATTTCATTTTATTGTCAGCAAAAAGCGGATTAATAAAAGTGATCTGATTTGAGGGGTTTGTCGGAGAAACAATTGATTTTTTGACAGGTAATGACGTAGACTGATCAGTTGTTGCCCGTTTCCTAGATGATTTATTGTTTACATCAGTCTCCATCTGCGAGAATAGAGGAGATGGATGAGCACAAGGCTCGTTCACACCCCCTCCTGGGTCCGGAGGTTCAGACATTTACACTACAAAGAAAAAAAGGAAAAAAAGGATTTCTTACGATTCCTTAAATTGTTATACCACCAATAAATTAAATTTGCACTTATTGTAGCACAACAGGCACGAAAAAAGAGAAATAAATTCGCAAAAAACTCGAAAATAATTCCAACGGTTGTAGCTGACACCAAAGGCCAATCGTAGTCTATCATAACTTTCTTGTTGACTTAAATGACATCGAAAGTCATAAAAAATCATTGCACGAAAATTTTCTCGTGTTAAATTCATGATGACGTGACACAGACAATTTTCAATTTGCCGCCAAATCGTAAAACAAATGACAAATGAATGAAATATATACTCAGTAATATTGGCAAAGAGTTATATTTTCAAATTTTAGAATTATTTTTTTATTATATTGTTTATAAGTGGCCAGTTCTAAGAACTTTCAGTTTGACCCTCGTACAGCACGATAATAAAATCGCATCGCAAAAAAAAACCGTAGTACGCGCTATTTCTTATCTTAAAGTGGCTACTTAGCGCCAACTACAATTCTACCAGAATCATTCGGATTGACCTACACTGACCGTATTTTGAAAATTAACTTTCTATATAGAATCGGTGAGTTTTATCTAACCACTGTAGGGCAGGTGAGCATAAATAATAAACATGTTTGCATGATATTTATGTATTTGCACTCATATCTATACAAAAACTTTTTACCCAGACATACATATAGAAGAACCGAAAAAGGACAGTAAATACAAAATCTATATAAGAGAAAATTTATATTCATAAAGTTGTTTTATTTGGAAATGTCAATGACGTGCACGACATGACACTATTCTTGTTCATTTCTCTTAAAATTAATAAATATATAATTCCATCTCAAAGATGAATCTATTTAAAAGAGAGAAAAAACAAATACATTTATTTATCGCCTTTGCCCCAACCCAAAAAGCCTTTTACCAAACCAGTAAGACCAGCACCCTGTTTCTTGCTATCAGCGGCACCGGTTTTGTCGTCCAGATTCGGGAATTCAACAAAATTACACGCTAAATCGAAGAACAACGGTTTACAAGGTATCGCTTCCATCGCTGGTGGCATCTTGTATATATTAGGATTTTTCGTTAGAGCCTGTGTGTCCTCTCGATATTCATCCAATCTGTCGACGAGAGGTTTCTTTTCCTTATAAGATTTTCCACTAGAAGTGTACTTGTTTTCTTCGTCTTGTTCATCATCATCTTCCAATACAGAGTCTGCGTGAACCTCGAACTTGCAGCTTTCTATATCTTTCTTCAACACTTGCAGCTTGTCTGATAGTTGTTGATCGTTCAATTTACTGTTGAGGGACTCGTTGGTATAATTGTTGCTTCTCTCGAGCATAGCTAAAGCCTCCCTGAAACGTCTGAGTCCAGTCAACACTTGAGCTATATAGAAACATCTGAATGCACGGTACGCCTTCATTTGCGTCTCTATCTCGAGCTGGTACGCCGAATCGTTTTCAAAACCTGGCAGCTGTTGGAGTTCCGTGAAGTTCTGCAATATAATCTCATAGAGTCTTGTCAAATCGTGGGGTCGCACTTTCTTCCCGTCGATCTGGGTGTTGTTTTTGCGAGCCTCTTCAGCTTGCTGCACTAAAAGGTTGTTCCTCTCGATGGTCCGTAGGAGACGTAAATACATTAAGTAGGATAGCAAGTAGTTGATGCCGGACAGCTGGGCTTCTTGGGTGGAAGCGGTCTTTAATTTTGGATCGTTCTTCATCTCATCTTTGATAGCAGATATGGCATCCTTGCAGTCCATTAGAATGTTCTCGAGGATATCGATCTTGGCTTGGACATTTTGAGTGTTGGCGACAGATTTGTCGAGATCCTGGAGCGCTATAAGGAAAAGACGCACTTTCTCGGGACGAACAGTGACGCGGCGCCCGCGCCATTCTACTTCATGCATCACTCCCGAACGGGACTCCCTGGAAAATATATCGATTTATTGGTAACAGAAAAAGTATTAGTATAGTAAATTACAAGTAATATGGCGCAAGGTGTTCTGTAACTAGCAACTTCTGAGGACAACAGAAATAAATCTTTCACCGAACACTGTACCCAGCAACCAGTCACCCATTAAAATCAAGAAATCACTCATTAAAATTCACTTTCATGGTCACTAATTCTTACGGAATGCGAAATAACAGTTTGTCGGTACAATATCAAGTGTCACAATGGAGTTTTTTTTCTTGTCGCTATGATATACCATGTCGCTATATATCTTGATTTAATCTTAGTAATTTTAATGGGAAGTGAAGTAGGGCAGATAAAAGTACGCCTCCTACAGAGCGTCCGCCTAACTCTCTAGCCATAGGGTGCGACATCTTAGCAAAGTTATGACGATATTTCATTTCATGTTACTGCTTTGATATGTGGTTTGGTGGATAAAATTGAGATAAATTACTAAATTAGTAACACTGCTCAAATACATAAGCATCATTCTTTATCGTTCGTTTGACGTTACGGAAGTACATGTCAAAGTAGTAAAATTAAACGAAATATCGGAGACTAGAATCATTGCTAGAGAATTAGGCGGTCGCATCCCCGCTCTGGGGCTAATAGGGAATATTAAAGAAAGCTCGGCGTAGATTAGGCAACATTAGTACATGTAGTAAAGAAACAAACTATTGGATATTTTGTCTATTGGAAATAAATGCCCTTTTTAATATCAACAATGTGTTTATGGATAATATTATACACTTCCTAATTATAAATTAAAAAAATATTTAATATCTATTATGCACATAATTATGGATTCTTAAGTAGGATGGGCCATGACCCTCCACGCTGGACTAATGCAGATTAGAAGGTGCAGGTTAACGACTGTAAATACAGCTGGGATCACCGGCATCACGTGCCTTACGGAGCGCGGAGCAGCTCCAGATAATGATTTTTTGGTCACCCATCGCGTGACCGACCCTAGCGAAAGTTTGATGTTCATTGAAAATTTACTCCATATGTTAGTGCTACAATCAGGCGACAGAATGTTGCTATTGAGAAAAATAAAAGCCACTCACTTGGCTTGAGCCATAAGAGCATCCAGATTTTCGATGAGTCCTTGCCCGCGCATGGCGACCAGATCCCCTGCAGCCGACTCATCACCTATATTGTAAGCGCAATACCGGAGGCTCGGTTTGAGTTCTTCGGACTGGAAATATTGTTAAAAATAACATTATTTATTTATAATTGAAAAACCAGCATGCTTACTCTGGAAAGCAATCACGATTGAGCGACATAGCAAATGTAATGTTTTGTACTCTTCGATTTTGTACACGAGCGCCAATTGGTTCAAAATTGCTTGGTTGATTATTGAATAACCTAACTGACATACAGCCAGTTGCATAAACGTCCATTAAAATTATCATTCGTTTAAAGCGTCATTACCGATACAAATTTGACATCCATTAGAGCATAAGAGCGTCATTAAACCTTAATGAACATTTGTGCAACTCACCGATAGTCTATGTTTCAAGAGTATGAGCTAAAATTTGATAAAATTGAGATTGTTATTGGATTGGATTGAAATTAATGTTGAGATTGCATTCAAAAGTAAGTCTGCAGGCCTGAGTACAATTTGCATGATGAGGAATATTCTATTTTAAAACTATGTTACACTTTGGGCTTCATTTTCGTTTCGGAAACATTTATTGTTTCTCGCATTTAAAAATACATATCGATTAGATTCGATCGAGCGATTCTGTTCAACCAAAAACTACAAATGCACAGAGTTGAGCCATTGTAATGTCAATAGGTGGATAAACGCCGCGGTCCGCGATCGTTGGTAAGCAACTTTCGCAAGGGTCGTTCAGGGGATGGGTGACCAAAAAATTATTACCTTGAAATACGCCGTGCTTCGGAAAATCAGAAGGCATGTTAAGCCGTTGGTCCAGGCTGCATTTGTAGTCGGTAATACCCAATAATCCGCATTGAACATGCGTGGAGGGTCATGGCCAATCACCTTTAACCATAAGGGGAGAGCCCTGCACTGGGGATGTAAAGGGGCTAACGATGACGATGGTGAATATCAATAACGTCGGTGAGACGCACGCGTGTTACCTTTTGTCTGTAGACCTGCCGCTCGTCTTCTGGCAGCGTTGCGGTACTCACCTTCTGCCTGTAGACCTGCCGCTCGTCCTCTGGCAGCGTTGCGGGACTCACCTTCTGCCTGTAACCTGCCGCTCGTCCTCTGGCAGCGTTGCGGAACTCGCCTTCTGCCTGTAGACCTGCCGCTCGTCCTCTGGCAGCGTTGCGGGACTCACCTTCTGCCTGTAGACCTGCCGCTCGTCCTCTGGCAGCGTTGCGGGACTCACCTTCTGTCTGTAGACCTGCCGCTCGTCCTCTGGCAGCGTTGCGGGACTCACCTTCTGCCTGTAAACCTGCTACTCGTTCTCTGGCAGCGTTGCGGGACTCACCTTCTGCCTGTAGACCTGCCGCTCGTCCTCTGGCAGCGTTGCGAGACTCACCTTCTGCCTGTAGACCTGCCGCTCGTCCTCTGGCAGCGTTGCGGGACTCACCTTCTGCCTGTAGTCCTGCCGCTCGTCCTCTGGCAGCGTTGCGGGACTCACCTTCTGCCTGTAGACCTGCCGCTCGTCCTCTGGCAGCGTTGCGGGACTCACCTTCTGCCTGTAGACCTGCCGCTCGTCCTCTGGCAGCGTTGCGGGACTCACCTTCTGCCTGTAGACCTGCCGCTCGTCCTCTGGCAGCGTTGCGGAACTCACCTTCTGCCTGTAGACCTGCCGCTCGTCCTCTGGCAGCGTTGCGGGACTCACCTTCTACCTGTAGACCTGCCGCTCGTCCTCTGGCAGCGTTGCGGGACTCACCTTCTGCCTGTAGACCTGCCGCTCGTTCTCTGGCAGCGTTGCGGGACTCACCTTCTACCTGTAGACCTGCCGCTCGTCCTCTGGCAGCGTTGCGGGACTCACCTTCTGCCTGTAGACCTGCCGCTCGTTCTCTGGCAGCGTTGCGGGACTCACCTTCTGCCTGTAGACCTGCCGCTCGTTCTCTGGCAGCGTTGCGGGACTCACCTTCTACCTGTAGACCTGCCGCTCGTCCTCTGGCAGCGTTGCGGGACTCACCTTCTGCCTGTAGACCTGCCGCTCGTCCTCTGGCAGCGCGGCGCATAGCTTGTCCAGCACTAGGTGCGCGCGCTGCAGACTGTCGGCGGCGGCGCGCCACTGCTGCAGCTCCACCAGCAGTACGCCGCCCAACCACGCCGCGTACGCGCCCGCCTCCAGCTGAGTGCGGGCGTCGCACACGCCGCTTTGCTGACAACAAAAAAGGCCGCTACCTCAATACGACGTTATCATGCATGGCCCATTTACGCAAAGCCAGCAAGCCAAGTATTCTATTCTCTTTGAAATAATACATGTAAATGTTTATTTTAATTTAAAAAAAGCTTTATAACAAATATTTCGGAAAAATAAACAATATTAAGGCCTTAAAATTAAATCATAATTTGAACTTTTTTTTTACTATTAGTGATATATCTTCCTCAAAAAATAATAAGAAACATTGTAATTTATTATTCCAAGAATACATCATTGCTTATAAGAATGAAGGTGAATCATTCATTTCCAAAAGAAAAAGGTTTAAATTTCATATGTACCAGTCTGGCTTACTTCTCTTATTTATGAAGTTCTTTATAAAATCAAGTGTTGCAATTTCCTATAACACTCAATAAAAGTCAAATAGCATATTACAAATTATAAAATAAGTTGTACAATATTGTAATTACCTCAGAAAGCTGTAACAAAGTTTGGGCATGGGAAGACGCCTTCTTTAAACGGGCAATTAGATGAAACTTCTTGCGGGGCTCTGTGTTTGCCTCTTGCCGCAACTGCATGGCATGAGCCCAAGCGCGCTCAGCTTGCAATAATGGTATGCAGAGCAATCGATTCTCTGCACTTGTCGCTGTCAAATGCGTAGTTGTGACGTCACGACGGCGATAATGCCGTCTGTCTCCCTATTTTGGTATAAAATATATTTTTGAAAGAATTAATTACATGCAATATAATAATTTTCAGCTCCTCTGTGGTTTGAAGCCATTCCCCCTATTCAATTCCATCGATAGGGTAAGCCTGTGCAGCAGCAGTGAGGATATTAAAAGGCTGATGATGATATACTACTTGATCCATTAATGTTAAAAATACCTTGAAACTAAAGTTGTTTTTTATAACCAACTTCTTTTGTTTGTATAATCTTAGATTACAAAAATATAATTTTAATCTCATTATAAGTGAACATGTCAGTTCTTATAAGAATAAACGTCTTTAAACCTAATTAAGTATGTAATAATTACTCAGAAGAAAACAACCAGAAAAAGGCATATTATTTGACAAAAAAAAATATTTCAAAAGCAACCTGTGGTATTTTGAGCACTTTACGTAGACGCCTAATTCTTCGGGAACAATAGCCCCGATAGCGCTGATAATCGCCATGGCGCAAACCGTGCTGTTGCTGGGCATCCTTTGTTAATCTAAAAACTGAATCAATCTTAAGGTATATTATCATTTGATTGAGAGAACAATTATTGGTAATTAACACTTCTTTTGGTAGTCACACTCTATTAAAAATTTCTGTAGTGGTGTAGTGTGTGTTGGGCCATTGTGTTTTCTAAAATATGGTTGGGTGAAACAATGGCTGGCTCATGTATCATGGTTGTGAACAGATGCTGCCAGTGGGAATGAGTCTGCCAATGATTTGTCAATGAGACTCAGCAACCGGCATATTAATCAGTAATTGAAAAATATCTGTTCAGTTATTTCTGATTTTGTAATGGAAAGTGACTTAGTCTAATGAGGTCACATCAACAAAACTCTCTCTCTCTTCTCTGTGTGATATAAAACAGGCAGCCCTTGTTGAGTTCCTTGCTGGTTTTTCTCAGTAAAAAGTATAGCCATAGATATGAGAACCAATAGCATAATTTTTGACTTTCACAACTTGGTAACAGCCTAGACTGAATAAACAATACTGAATTTGAATGTTGAATTCTTATCTACCATGGCACACAAACAATAGACAATTTATTGATGGAAATAGTTAAAAAATGTTAACAGCAATAGAAATATAAACAACACATACTTATTAATATTTTCAACCCTGCAATAAATATGTGTCTTATTAGGCATTGGTTTTTTAATGAGTTTCAAATAAGGAATAAATCTAGTAGGACAATATAGTATATTAGTTACTGAAGTCAACACCTCTCTTTTATTAGTATATAGTGCTGTAAAAAAGACTTCCCTTTTCATTTAATGTAGTAACAGTTTCTGACAGACACTATAATATCTACCCATACCTAATTACCCAGTTAGCCGTATTATATGTGTAGTTTTTTGTTTATAAATGTTTTAATATAAACAAGAATCACCATTGTCCACTAGAAGAACGATATAGAGGCTGGCTGTCAGTGAGAAAACTTAATTAATACATATTATGATTTATCACGATCAAAGATGTAGGTTTATAGTTTGATCAATGTGAACTATAATTATGTATTTATGTAAGTGTGATAAATAATACTATTGGTAAGAAATAATTCACAGCAGAAGCCGTGGCATCAGCTAGTAAATTTAATTCATTTTTTCTCTATCAGCCTTCTGTAACTGATGGTTAATGTAGGCGATTATTTTAACAGGTTATAATTTGATGATAATTTATTATTTTATATTAAGAATCTTGATTAATTTACTCAATATTGATAACAAATAAATATTTAAGTTTTTAATTTGTAAAGGATACTTTCTAAAGTCAATAAAGAAGAAGATTTAACTTGTCCCTTTTCGCTCTCCTCACTGATCATGGCTTTCGCATCACCAGCCTCTCCTTCGAACACAACCATGATCGATAAATTATAACAACTGATATTAAATGTGCATACACTTATAAAAAACTTAAATTTAAAAAATATTTTACACGAACCATCCACGAAACACGACACGAAACTTTTTAGTTAATGACAGATGGTGATTTATTTGTGACAGTGACAGATGACAATTTACTCTATGGTGACAGAAATAACCCATTCATTAACGCAAAGTGCCATTAAAGTTAAGAAGAAGAAGAAGAAGCTTTATGTCGAACGGTTGACGATAAAGCTAGGTGCCAACTAGAGACATGGCGAGTATAGTCCAATCCTATCGAAGCCATTCCTCTATTCCTCTTCGCTCGGCTTGTTCGACCTTCGTTGCTAGTTCATAGTAAATGTATAAGAGGCAAATTATCGCAATTCGATTTGATCCTTTGCAATCTCTTAGTAGGTCTTCTTCGCTCTTTTTGACAGCCTATAATATACTGTTAACAAATGTAGTTACTGATGCATATTAATACTGTATCAGCGGATGCTGCTGCTGATATTAATATATTACTTAAATAAAATATATTAAACTAAAATTTTTGCCAAATGTGGTATGTTTTTTTGAATAAAAACAAGATATAAATACTTATATTATAAAGACGAAAGAATTGATCATTTATTTTTTTTGTATACTAGACCTATTTTAGAAGTTCTTTCACCTACGGTACCGACGCGAAGCTACTACATACGCAGGTAACATTAGCTATGTAGTATTTTTTGCTTTAAAATTAATGAGGAAGTATTTAAAAAACGAGAAAGCACTACAAAAGCACCTCCACTAGATGGCGACTCTAGCAGAAGTTGATTTTTGCAGGAAACGAATGGCCAAAGACAGTTATTTCCGTTCCTTCCTTTTAATATTTTTAATTGGTGATAGTAGTATGCTACGATATTGGTTTCTATATAGATTTATAATTAAAAAATATCAGTCAAGATTCATTATTTTTGAAGAATAATAATGTCGGATGTATCAAATCAAAAGTTGTATAATTCCGAAGAAACACCCAGATGCTGATGCTGCTATTCGATTTTACCACACAACAAAACTGACTTTAGATAACAACACTGATCTAAATGTAGCCATTGCTATAACTTTAATGATTAAAAAAAAAATAGCTCTTTTTGACAGTTTACTCTGAAAGCTAGGTTGGTGTATTTGTTGATAATACAAAAATCTGTTTTTATTTCTGAAATCTTCACTTGATTTAAATATTTTGTGGTTCTGAAAGTGAGCATATTTGTGTGTCGTTTTAGTATACGGTGTATTTCTTTTCCAGGTTGAAAATTTTAACGACATGGCCAAGTCCAAGAATCATACAAATCATAACCAAAGTAAGCAAAACCCTTTGCAACTTACTCGCATATATTTGCAAATAATTATTGAAACTGTGACATTTATTGCAGTTACTTAACGTTATTTTCTTGTGTTCATTACTTCTACATACGAACCTTTTATTTGATTTTGATAATAAAATAATAAACATCTTTCTGTATTCCAGACCGCAAGGCTCATAGGAATGGAATTAAAAAACCGAAGAAGTTCAGGCATGAATCCAGTCTTGGTGTAAGGACCCATATATTATCTAACACATATTAAATAAGTAAAAGATCCATTCAAACCATAAATCTGCGCCAGATTATCTGAATTCACCATCTTAAGTTATACCTCAATGCCCTTTCATGAGAGCATAGCTGGCTAGTGATGTCTTCAACAGTACTACTTGAATGAAAAAAATCTGGTAGTTTAGTTTCGTCGTTCCTTGCTAGTTTTAAATGTAACATATGTCAAATATTTTTGATCTCGGAGATGTGTGTCAAAATATTTTCAGTATCCTTCTTATATTGAAAAAAAAACCATATGGGTTTCCTACAATTTATAATCTGTTAAACCATTAAAGATTCAATGTAATTCATGTCATACATCCTTAGGTTTTTAAATCTAATCTTTTTCTCCAGTGTCTCATCAGATATAGTATTTGTTATCAAGAGCAAAAGTACTATACACTAGAAAGTACTGCCTTACTTTCTAGTGTATAGTACTTCTGAAGATGACTCTCATATAGTGCTCAAGTAGCATAAACTAGTCGGACAGTATTTCCATGGTATCCAATTGTTGAATCTGAATTTTACTGAATTCCATATTTCCCAGCAAAAATTATAGTCTCTTCTAGAGGGATAGCCACTTACAGGTCTGAATTTAATGAAAAAAGCTTTTCAAACAACCAAAACAAAAAATCATAATTTTTTTTAACAATATCAAGACATCAAAGTACTAAATTATAAACTTTTATTCTAGATTATGAAATTTAGGTCTGTTTGGTTTTGAAATGAACAGCATGTGCTGCTGCTAAGTTCCAAAATTTGCAGCATTTCCAAAGTTGAATATCAAAGATCATCTAATGTATGAAAAACCAGACTTTTGGTAGCAGTCATTTTGATATTAATGAACTGATATTTAAAAACTGATTCTTAATTTTGAAATTATATAATTTTGATTTATTTATTTTAGTGTGTAGTTTATTATGCAAGTTATATATTTTTGGAATGAACTCTTGAAGACCTTGAATTTGATATCAAAATTGCTGTAATAAACAAATTTTTACTTTTTCATACTTTTAAATTTAACTATACATCCACCATATTTAATATAAAAAAATAAACATATAACCATAGTCACTTAGGTTGATGTAACATTTCTAATGATACCCTATAGTATAGGGCCTATACATTTATATTTGTAGTCTTTAAAAGTTATAGTGTAATAAAGTAACTCGTATTTATACATTATACCTGAAGTTCAATATTAATGCAATGATGTCTTCCTCGTAAATTAATGGTGACATGACAGATGTATTTTTGATGCAATCAAGTAACAAGAAATATGTAATAAAGGGTTGTAGTTGAAGCACTAGTGAATTTCCATAATTATGTTACGATAAGCAAATTCAGTGTGATTTTGGTCCCTTCCAACTAAATAAATAGTTTTATATTGAACAAGGCAAATTTTTGTAACCGAATTCATCTATATAAACTTTATTATTAATATCTCATATTTGTTTCTTTGGTAGATGGATCCCAAATTCCTGAGAAACCAGCGGTTTTGCAAGAAAGGTAACCTTAAACCTGCCAAACAATTAGCTAAAGCTGCAGAGAGGAAAGCGACGCGAGAAGCTAAAGCTAAGAAATGAATAATCTAGTTTTAAGACAATAAAAAATCAAAAGCCTTATGTTTTGTTTATTTATTTTTTATAAATCTGCACAACACTCAGTCTGTACAGAGACCAGCACATGTTGTTTACATATGTAATACTTTTTCCATTGGAGTTTGAAATCATTTATGTTCAAGTTTTATATTTTAAAGTAACTTCATGTGCTGATCTGTGTATTATAGGTGGAAAAAAAAAACATTGGTGACTATATCTAAGAATCTGACCAACTAGAAATGTTAGGTTTTAAGATGCCGTTGGATGGTTAGACTTATTTGACTGATTGTACAATCACTCAAATAAATCTGTCAGGAATGCCGAAAAATATTTCTAGATTTATGCTAATTATATTTCCGATTTATATTCGCTTAAAGCATGTCTTTAATCATGTTCCACATTGAGAAAAAATTATTTTTCACTTATAAAATTTTTCACCCCTAAGAAACCACAATAGTTTAAAGCATAATATACATTTTCGAAAATTAACAACTGCAACAATAATAAATTTATATAGAAATACTCTCGGAATATTATTGATGTTATTCTGAGGTAATACTATCCTCTGATTACCATTATTGGGGTACAAGCTCAGCACAACCTTTCCTATGTATACATAGAGAAATATTAGTCCCTTAGAATTCACAGAGAAAGGAATAATTTCTCCAAAATGAAATCACATAAAAACGGGTCTTACTAATTAAGAACTGTTTAATTCGAGATGTCACCGATAACGGGATTTTCTTCCATAGCGCTCTGGGGTGCGACCGCTTAGCTCTTAGCCATAAGATACAACATTTTATCGATGTGACGGCGATATTTCATTTCATATTACTACTTTGACATATAATTTGGTAAGAAATTACTCTTTAAGTTTTGGATATAGACGCAATCTTTCATGCATTTCATTTTACATGTAGGTACATTTTTTCATTGCAGAATGAGTGAAATACGCAGATAAGCCATTAATAAAAAAAGAAGAAGATTTTAGTTTCCAATATTGCTGTCAAATCAATAATCATTCTATAAATTTGTTTGTCGTTAATAAAGTAAATGTCGAAGTAGTAAAATGAAACGAAATTTAAACGATTTAGGAGGTCGCACCCCCCTCCGCACGTATAGCATGATAAACTCAAGAAAATTGTGTACACATGGTCTACACCTACATTACACCCAAATGCCACTTCTCGGGTGCGTCCTTAAGATACCAAAGTTACTCTCAACCCGAAAAAGTGACATTTGGTGTGAAACGCATTTCTCAAATTTGTCTTGATAAGCGTGTTGAAACTCTTTGATCGCCGTTTGTGATGTTAAAAACCCACCCAGTGAAAACAACTATTACATAGTTATTAGGTGTGTAATGAATATTCGGTCGAGCAAACAGTATCTAAATATAGGTATAATTGTGCCAACAGTAAACTACATAAGTACTTATACAGGTTCTTGGTTACATTGTGTATGTAAGTTCATAATTAAAGTTATAATAATTTCACTCTCTTTTTCTGTTGCTTTTTGAATACATGACATTGCCAGTGGCGCTATAGATGCTTTCTAGAGTAGAGCGAGGGTCCAACTAGAGTTGCCAACCATACTAAAATAGAATATAGTGTATTTTATATCATGTAGGCGTCATCAATGCATAGGTATAATAGAACAAAGTAGCTTTCCGTCTGTCTGTCCCTATATACGCTTAGATCTGTAATATTGTTGATATTGTTGCAGTTTTTTAATAGATAGGGTGATTCAAAAGGACTTTTTTGCTGGTTAAGAGGTACAGGACCACACTGGCGAAGCCACTGGCAGAAAGCTAGTAATCCATAACATTAAAAGATGACGCTAAAATATTTTTTTTTCATAGTATATTTATGATACTAATGCTGGTCACGCATGCATACCTATTATCGTAACCAAAAGTACCAAAATACCTTTTTGAAAATGTTACATGATACTTGTTTTTATAACTCTGTACTCTTTACTAACCTCTTATACTATATGTGTTGCAAAAAAACGTTATTCCTAAAACGGTATAGAGTAAACATAATAGAAATAATGGACGCTGTCCCTAATATTGCAGCTCACGCGGTGTATACCTACCTACCTACACTATTTCTTATAATAAAAGTTGACAATCCTAGGTCTATCATACACAGTACAGCCAGTGGCATATTGCCGCTGTCAACAGTCGCCTGTGTTATACATATATGTATCTAATAATTATGTAAACTATATACTTCAAAAGTACCTACAATAGTAAGTATTTTAGTAATAAACATAATTGATAACGAAATATAGAAAACCCACTTGCTACAGTACAAGCGATCTAAGACGTTCCATCGAAACTCATTAACGGAACGTCTTAGATCGTCGATGAACAATAAACGACTTTTTGTCTTTAAACGTGAAATTTAAAAGTCAGAATTTCACATTTCCTTAATGTCGCGGCAACAAGTCGCGCGTGTTTGAGTTTTTTTTCAATTTACCTAGATACATTTATCGAAGAATTAAAATTGCTCAAAATGAAAAATAATGGCACTGCCAACTCATGGATCGTACATAGCAGTGAAACAAATTGCCACTGTAATTTATCATTTATCATTCATTGCGATAAACGATAAGGCCGATACCAAGGATAGATGTTATAGTGATTTTCATCAGAAAGACGCATCTGCGATGAAAGATGAAAAGTCATATTTAGATAGGTACTTCATTTCAAGTCTTAATCGACGAAACAACGAAAATGAAACATCTTATTCACGCCACTGGTCATTGTCGTTAATTCATAAAATAATACACCTGCCCTATTATAACAAAATAACAATACGCGTCTGTTAAATTGTTTGTGAAGGTAACAAAATCGTCGACGAGGGCGAATATGCCAATATAGATAACTCGTCAGACGAATTGATGCAACATAATGAGAAAACGAAACCTTTAATTTAACTACATAGTACAAAATAACCACGAACATTTAGGTACGCGAGACAAATCAAGTCTTACTCTTAACCAAGCTTAAACTTTTCAACGCCGGTATCAATCCGAGATAATATTTTTAACTAAGAATATCTTATTATACAGTTAGTTACTATTATAATTACAATAACTTTTTAGATACAATTAATTATTATAGTTAACGATGCAAGAATGAATCTAACACCCATGTAGGTATTATGTGACAATAGCTGGCTATACTCATATTTGACAATAAAGCCATATTTATAAAGCCGATCGACAGATTCATTTACAGTAAGTGTGACATCTCATTCTACGACGAGTGTCATATATTGCATATAGAGGTGTAACCTCGGAAAATAAAAAGAAATATATCCTAACCTATACGGCTTGTACAATGTACACGCCTTTCTATACTGTATTACACACTAATTATGTAACTAGAATATGTAGGAATGAAATACCTACTGCTACAGTTGTTTTAAGATGAATTAATTGATTTAAGCATGAGCTTTGTGCTGTTTCTTGGGTCCTGGTCCCTTAGCGCCAGGTCCTTTAGGCCATGGGCCTTTAACTCCGGCACCTTTCGGCCCTTGTTGAGTACCACTGTTCGGTCCTGGCCCACGAGGTGGTCCCGTAAACTTTTCATTGGCGCCATCTTTATTAGTATTGTTTTCTTTCTTCCAATCACCTTTTTTATCTTTGTTTGCTTGTGGTATTCTTTTGATGAAGAATCTGAACGACAGCTTCTTATTGTTTATAAAATGTTTTAAGGATTCAAGAGGAAGCACAGCACATTGATTTTGACGGAATACTTCGTCCGCTTTAATGGCATCATTGAAGCAGTGTTCAATAAACACGACTTTCTTTCTGTTGTCCTGTTTACTATTAACGTGTATCTCGTATATATGCTGTTGTGCTGTTTTCTTCCCTCCAATAAGCTGAATAGCCCAGTACGCCATCTTTTGTAATGTATCAATCTTCATTGTTATTATAAAATGGATCTTTCCTTGCGTAACTAAATATACTAACCGTTCGTCCATGTTAATGTTGACATTATTCAGTTCCACGTCAGTATCACTGCTGATGTTGCAATTGGTAGGATGGCGTTCTTTGAAGTGGTCCATCATATCATTTAAGCGTCCTGTCAAAGAAATTTCGTGGTAAATATAGTCATTTTCAAAATCAAACACGTAATGAAACCGTTTTAATGAAGGTATGTACCACTTTCACACATATATCATTAAAAAACTTATAGTGTGCGTTCGACTTCGCCGTCTGTCTGCCTGTCTGCCTGAGATTTTTATAAATATAGAAGTGACTATTATCTAAAATATTTACGTTACAAATGAAATTATAGACTTAGAACTAAAACTAAAGTAAATTCATAAAAAAAAAAGAAAAACTTGCATTTAAAAAGTAAAAAATAATTAAAATATGAAACAAAGAGATTGTTGCTGGCGTTCGAGATGGCTCTGGTAATGAGTTGATGCCAGCGACAAGCAGGGTGCCAGGAGTCGTAGGTGTCGGAAGTGGATGCAGCCGGGAGCTGTTCGATGACCTATGTTGGTATAACGATGACAAAGTATGGACAAGATCACGAAGAACGATGTTGCTATCACTTCAGTCTAGCTCACGGTTTAACATACTTTAATTTACACCCTAAAATTATGTTAGTACACATGAATTAAAAGAAGTAAACTTCATATAAGTGTAACGAAAATTAAAATTTTGAACTAAATAATTAAAATAATTGACACCTTCAGTGTAACATTTTTAAATGTAATTTAGCAAAAAATTACATAAAGACGATATTATTTAGAAGAGGTTATTTTTGATTTATTAGAATAGAATATGTTATTGATTCTTTCTTTTTTATATATTTAGTAAATTAAAACTGTTGTTGACGATAAGCTTTTTTAACCTTTTAGAATTAGTCACATGAAGTCATTTTGAATTTAAAAAGTCATTGTTTTTTTTTTTTTGCAAAACTTGAAGGTTATTTGTAATATTTTTTTTTGTAAAAATTTCACACTTAATTATTTAGTGATTCTTTTAATACATCTAAAAATATATTTAATAATTAGATTGCACTGGAAAAAATGTCATAGTTGGATTTTGGAATTAATAAAGTACTACGATTTTCTTTGTTTTCATGGTGTAACTGCTTATTTTTTTCTTAGGTATTATAATTGACTTTTATGTTTAAAAATCATGAATTTTGTGTGACGTAATTTATGGACGGCCCCTTACTGGTTAACGTTTAATTCTGCATGATTTTTTAAATTATCAAAGTTACCACGTAATAAAAAAGATAATTTAATAATAATTACATATCTACTTATTATATTATTGCATATAGTATTGTAGTTATAGTAATATTTGCTCTTGTGTTCCTTTTTTTTTGTAGAGAAAGAACAATCTCAAGGAAGAATTGATTAATTACTGTACATATATAATTATAACTACCGTTCAGTCTCTTGAATCACGTATCTCTCTCACTACGGGATGTTGGCAAAATTTCCGTGTATAACGGAACAAGTCCATATTGAAAAAAAAATAACGCTTTTTTTTTAACTAAAGGGATAATTTTCAATTGTGTTTTACGATATTTTATAAAACGTTGTATTTTATTGTTTATATCTTGTTATAATAATGAATGTAAAAGTAAAGTTTAATAATTAAAAAAATAATAATAATAAAGTAATAATGTCGTATACAATATTAATTCATTTTACGTAACTGTATAAGTATTTATTTCTGTAACAAAATGTTAGTTTTAGCATTACATCCAAGTTGGGTATACTCTCTTTTCATATAAAACTCTGTAACATTAAAATAAAACAATAAAAATTGTTTGTGCAAATGTATAATTATAAAAAAAAAATCTTGATTTTTTTATTTTTTTTTAGGAGGGGAGGTGTAGTGTTTGTACACACATTCATCACTACTCATTATATATAAGCCAATTTAGTACGTAATTAAACACATTATTATAATCTCAGTCGAGCATCAGTCAGAGCATCATTTATACACCCGAACCGTCAACACTGCAGGATTTTCGCAGATTTCTGTTGCCGCTATAACAACAAATTATATAACAAAAAATACAACAAACGTTTTTTTAAATTGTTTTTTGTACGGAACGCTCGTGCGACTCATACTTGGCTCGTATTTTTAATGATGTGGATGTCTGTTCCTAGGAACTTTTCATACAAAATCACATCAAAATATAGTAGATAGAAACTTACCACTCCAGGAGCATTTACCGAAAACAGCACCAAGCGGACAGTCCATCTCGCGGAAAATGCACTCCTTGAGGTGATCTTCAACGTCAACTGTTACCATAATGTAAACACAACCCGCAGATTTGTTGGGACAGGGCACCTTTGCCTATTGAAATAAATGGAAATTCTTAATATTACGTCAAAGTGTTACTGCGTAACCAGAATTTGAGTTGTTCTTACGTAGGTATAATAATATTAGAGGACATACACCCAGTTGCCCATTCAAATTTAGAAAAGCGACATTACCGATGCAAATTTTCAAATTTAGAACATACGCAGACCATAAATATATACTTACCTTTTGAACGATTTCTTCTAGCTGCCAGTTTCTCATTTGAGTCATTTGCTGGCGGCAGATAGGACAGATAGGGGGGCATAAAATTTTGGTGCAGTTATGGCACAGGCTATGGCCTCCACTGCACTGATATATCGGCGCCATCATAGTCTCTAAGCAAACCGGGCATTCTGGCAGGTCGACAGCAGCCGACGCAACTCTGGTATGAAAATAGAAATGTAATATTGTTCATGATTATGTATTTATTTAAATTCAATAAAACAATACTAATGATTATTAGTCAAATATCTTTCCTTGCGTATTCTAACAGTATCAGGTAGGAAAACATGTACGAGGGTCAAACTGAAAGTTCTTAGAAAATCAAAAACTGATTACATTAGCCAGTTATTAGTTTTATTATATCTTTTCAAAATATTGTCCATTCACGTCAATACACCGCTGCATGCGATGGAACCACTGGGAAAAGCACTTTGCCCACTCGTCCTTAGGGGTCTCTTCAATGGCATCGCGATACGCAGCCACCGCTTCTTCAGCATTCATAAACCGCTTTCCTTTAAGTTTTTCTATAATTTTTGGAAATAAATAAAAATCACAAGGCGCGAGGTCGGGGCTATACGGCAGGTGACCCAGTAATTCAACGTTTGATGTCGCCAAATAGTCGATCGTTCGCTTGGCGGTGTGCGACGAGGCGTTGTCGTGGTGAAGGAGGATCCTACTGCGAGGTCGTTTCTCTCGAACTTTTTCCAAGACAAGTGGCAAACAATTGGTAGTGTACCATTCTGCAGAAACTGTTTTTTGATCCTCTAACACAATTGTTGCAAAATGACCTATCCTTCCAAAGAACGAGGCCACCATTTTTTTTCCCGCACTTCGATCTCTCTTCACTTTAGTTGGCAACTCCTCGAAAGGAAACACCCACTGAGCAGATTGTCTTTTGGTTTTAGGATCATAACAGTAAATCCAGCTTTCGTCACCTGTTAGTATGTCGAACACAGCATTTGAGTCACCTCCGTTAAATCTTTCAATCATTTTACGACACCAATCCACACGATGGAGTTTTTGAGCCTCAGTCAAATTATGAGGTATCCACCGGGCGCAAAGCTTCCTGACCGCTAAATGTTCGTGGAGGATTTTGTGCACTTGACTCATACCGATGCCTAAGCTTGTCCGAATCTGTTGATAGGTCACTCTTTTGTCAGTCTCTATCATACGCCGCACAACACAGATGTTATCTTCAGTCGTCGCCGTAGAAGGCCGTCCCTCACGTAAATCATCAGTGAGATTAGTGCGACCACGTTTAAACTCATTAAACCAGTTGTAAACAGTCGCACGAGATGGGGCTTCATCGTGAAAGGCCAATCGTAGTCTATCATAACTTTCTTGTTGACTTAAATGACATCGAAAGTCATAAAAAAACATTGCACGAAAATTTTCTCGTGTTAAATTCATGATGACGTGACACAGACAATTTTCAATTTGCCGCCAAATCGTAAAACAAATGACAAATGAATGAAATATATACTCAGTAATATTGGCAAAGAGTTATATTTTCAAATTTTAGAATTATTTTTTTATTATATTGTTTATAAGTGGCCAGTTCTAAGAACTTTCAGTTTGACCCTCGTATACAAGAGCATGCATCAGGCTCGTCTTTACCCATGGTGCAGGAGGTGCAATGCACCCGGGCTCAGCACGCTGAGGGGCGCTGCACCGATTAAGCTTCGGGAAATTCCCTGTAGGGGGGGGGAGGGGCAGAGCACTGATTGCATCCGAGCGCCTGTTGTGGTTAAGATGGGCCTGGCATGCACACTCTTATAATACTTACACTAATAGATAGTCAAATGAAGAATAATTCTCGAGGTGTATAAACTTTTTCGGTACCTTAAAAATGTAGCATTTATTTTCAGACATTTTCATCGAGAGGTTAGTGGTAATTTTTGATAAAATAAAGAAGATCATAGCTAAATAAATCATAATCATTATCGTCGCTGTTTTTAAACATTATACGGACTGTTCGACCTGCTCGCGTAGCATGACCAATTCGAGAAATGTTTTATCAACCAAATGTCTTTTTATCGCGGGTGCGCCCAAGAAGATTGTAAGTTTATCTCTAAAATCTCTCTTTCCATAACATTCTTTATAATTTTATATTGTATTTGTTATTGACGACTCTAGGATGGGCGGAATATTGTAGGTATGATCATCGTCGCTCCCTCCCGGGTTCGATTCTCGGTCAGGTCAATGTAGAAAATATTGTCTGAATGTTTTGGTACCTTCGTTGTGTAAAACTACTATAATACAAGTGCTAAAAACTACATCAATTTAATACTTAATAATGTAGATTGGAATCTGAACCATGTAACTAGGTATATGATCTTGTTATGTTTTACCAGACAATACTATTCGCACTAGATTTTAATCTAAGCAATCTCAGACTTCATTTCTATAACTATATAATAACCGGTTCCGTGAGTAATATTAGTTTTCTTATATGAAAAAAACTGAATATTTCTATAGCTCATCCAATAGTTAGAACAAAGACGTAATAGCATAAAAAAGGCAAAACTCATCTTTGGATATGGTACCTATTATATTGTGTGCATGCATAACTTCAGTCGTATAATTTGTTATCTATTGTTAAATATGTAGTAACCTACTGTGGTACAATAAAACCAATGTAGAAGGCTTTGGCTGCTGTATGTACATATTATTAAATAGCGTAAAAGAATATTGTTCTATTTCTCCGAAACCGAAATTTCGTTTATTTTCGAAATGCTGATATGATAGGACTCCCAATTATTAACACATTATTCGGATGCAATGGAGGTAGTATCTGACACTCTCTGATGCATAGATAATTTTCACAAAATTATAAAAACTAAGCCGGTGATAGGTAAGAGCCCAAGTAACATCGGTAGTATTATCGGTTGATGATGTCAGAAGTTATAAAAACCAGCGAGCATATGTATCTAAATACGCTCTAAATATAAGTAGTAGGTATAAAAAAATAATGACATGTTTTCCCTCGAGTTTGCTCGCGTAAATTATAGTCAATATCACCTGCGTATGATGTAGTTTATCGTAGATTAAAGAATTTTAAAAATAGATACAGTTATTTTGGCGACTTTTCATTGTAATCGAACATTATCTGTTTTTAATTATCTTAAATATTTCCTCCTTTTGATTGAAGTAATGAGCCGAGGCACATTTAAAATTATATTAAAACCTTTGAAAGATTCTCTTGAAAATATTGGGTACGTCATTGTTTTTGCTATTGGATGTTGGATGGCACTATCTTATCTTTTTAGGTAGGTATCTATTGATATTTATTATTAGTACTCACTTTTTGTTGGCTTTAGCTGATGCCATCGTTTGTATTGATCCCCGAGATAATCTAAAAAAAAAGAGTCTCTATTACCTTCATTGTTTTGGTAGATATTAGAGTAAGTATAATGTTGTTTCTTTAATGCATCATATACATACATTTATGTACATCATATATGTACATTTTATATTTTTGTGGTGTATTAGGTATTAATACAAGGTTATTAAAATTTAGTTACTACCGACGACGTCGGTTACATCGTTTATTTTAAGGCCGGTATATAACTATGAAGCCGCGACCCTAAACTTTTATACTAACAATATTAATAAAAAATGAGAGAAAAGAACTAAATATCTCACATTGAAGTTATTATAAAATTACGTTTAGAGAGAATTGGTTTTTTGAAAACAATTTTTTTGTTCAAAAAATTGTTTGTTCATGTCAGTTCTTAATCTCATTGTTAGTTCTTCCCAAAATAGCACCGGCATTATCTTGAATTGGTTATATATACCTAAACAATAAGTCGTAGGTTAACGATCTTTGGAATACCTCTGTTAGTTGTAGTTTGTTGATATTATACTTGCGGATTACGGTGTTTTGCGTTTATTAACAATTCCCTCGATCCACACAATACCTATCTGCGTCCCATGATTAAAAAACACTGGCTTGTAGCATCAAATAAGATTTTAAAAGTAGTAGTAACAAGAACCGGTCTCGGATAATTAAATGAAAGGAACCGGCGATGCATCGTTTTCAACATATGATTCCCGCTTTTATTCACAAAATCAACAATGATATTGACGACCTTGATAAATACTTTTTTAATATTAGCCATTTTGAAGGCCTTAGTAAAACGTACCTATTTGTGCTCTGGAAAAAAAATTACCTATCTGAATAGATAATTTGGAATCACTATAGAATCGGCGACTACGTCAACGTGCGCCTAGGGGAGAAGAGGGAATGGGGAGTGGGGTCACACCCTTCCCACCACACATCGAAGCGCGGAGTAGCATATTTAGGAAGAAAAAGAAAATTTTAGATATCATCCAGATAATTAAAATTTAAACCTATTATTTATTAATATTTTATAAAAATTGAAGTTTCTAAAGCTTAGCTGGTTAGATCGTTGATAATATTAGTTCATTACCTAACTAATTACGTTTGTTTTCACCGTCCTATAGGTATTTGATGATTAAAATAAATCACAGTATGACTGCAGCCTGCCGTTCTGTAACAAGATCCTCCCATTGCACCTTTCGGATACTACAGAATTTCAAAACCTATTTTTTGGTGTACAAAAATAGATACATCCGTTGTTTTGTGTTCTTTTATCACAACTATTCATAACGGTAGATAGGCAACAGTTTTTTACACAAAGAAAAGTTAAAACAAAGAAGCCACGCGTTATTATAAAAATCTATACACACAAATGTCAAAGCACGATAAAACAAAACATGTTACGATGTTACCTACATCTATTCTCATATTCAATATCATTTACCTTAGTCACTTAATGATTGAACAGCAATGCACAATGGATATATAGGCAATGCACAATGGATATGTAGGAAAAATGTTAGTCGTATATTTACTGATAATCGACACGTGACACCATCACACACCACATATATGACCACGAAAACGCAAAACACAGATGAAGAATGAACGAGTTGCATGCCTGCATAACCTATTTATATGAATTCTACTGGCTTACTCATTTGAACGAAGTCATATTTAATCTTGCTGCTATAGAAATAAGGAACTCACTTCACATTGAAATAAAAAGTAAGGCGTGGTCAGGTATTCCGGTATTCCCGGATGTAATCTCACGGTATTACCATATAAAATATTAAGTGCATGATTGATATTTTCATTCAATATTTTACGTTTGTGTAAAATCCAGATTATATAATAACCAGTATAATTACTTAAAGGGAATTAATTCCTAAGCTCGGAAATATGAAATAAAGAGTTATTTAATCTAGTTTTCGTAAAATAATAAGTCGTCACAATTTTAGAGCAAAAGTAAATAAATAAATGTCTATGCCGAAATTTTAAATGTAATGATCTCATAATAAAAAGGAGTTTACTAGGACTTTTTATCTTTGTTCACAAGCCGGCCTGCGTCCTCCATATTAGAATTATAAAAATGAAAGATAACGTTCACCATCTTCGGTGGTCCGCCATATTGGATTTAGAATGAAGGTTTTTTTTTCTTAGCATTCTAACCATTTGATATTCATGTGGTGTTATAAAAGTGTACAATTTTTTTTTAGTATAGTCTCATGATTGCATTTAGCTAACTAGACTAAATACGTGTGAAGATTCAGCTTAACCGATTAAGGATAACTGCTTTTAAATTCAGTTGCAAGATTTGACGAGATACATTGTCATAAAATTAAAACACTTACCACTCTTTCAAATGGAATCTGTTTATATTAACGTAATCTTGAAACAAAATCAGGAATTGGTATTGGAGACTAAAGAACAATGGCCATCTGCCTAACATGCTTGGACTAGTAAAATCGAATAAAACGTAACTTGATGAAACATATGTTATTTTGTTTGCCTATGCAACTAGAACAAAGAAAGACATTAAATATATTTTTAAAAGCTGGGAGTATCGAGTAATTGTGTAATATGTTTTTGAGGTTATGTCGTATTATTTAAATTGTATCATTTTCAGTTAGAGGTATTACAGTTGAAATATGTAAAGCACACGTCAGATAATGCCTAATCGTAGTCCAAGAAGTGTATACTTTCACATAATACTTCAAACTTGCTCCATATCTGATAACTTATTTTTATTAACTGTAAGAAATAAAATCATTTTTTGTGAACCAATGAACATAAAAAAAAACTAGAATTTTTAAGATTGCTCTCAATAACTCTACTTTTCTATCTTACACTATAGCTTATATAAAGTAGTATTGAAAATACTAATTTCAAAAGGATAAAGCAAAACAACATGTTGATTTTTCTTTTCTTTATTACAACTCTAATGAATACCTCATCATGAAATGCTGCAGCAGTAGCTCACGAAATGCTGCATTCTGTTCGTGTCTGGCCCATACAAGATACCAAACTATGGTCATTATATGAGCACAGCACCCCAGTGTACATCGACCAATAAGACAATTACAGCAGTGTTCTCTTATGCCATCTAACCCGGATGTGTCATTATTCTTTAAAATGTACACATAATATTGTTTCCTCCCAATGTCTCGACTTAATTCTACCCCTTATAATTAGGACTTTATTTATATTGAAGTCTTATTCTAATAAATCCAGAAAATCCGATATTCCTCTCCAGACCTCAATTCTATATTGCCCATGGAACCTCCCCATAATACAGAAGATAATACAAAATCACCGCCAAAGTTACAAAACAGTCTGCGTAGAAACACGTCTACACATATTTGTCTAAAAAAGGGAGGTCGCAATCGATTGAATACTGTAATATCGATTCTTATGAATAGGTAATCATTTGTTTTTAATTTCATTATAAATAAACTATTTTCCTATAAGTAACATCCAATTATATTAGTAATCTAATCTAAGTTTTATAATTTTCACGGATTTATATGGTTAGTAAATAATATAAGAGTTGTATCAAATTCGATTAGTCAGAAATAAAATCGATCTTGTTCTTTGAAAAGAGAGGGACTTCTCTAAGAATGACATTATTAATAAGATGCGTTCAAAAATAATATAATTTAAACTGCGTTCTAAAAAATAAAGACATATTTTAGAGAGGATTATCTTTCTATTCCCATCTTTTAAAAATAAATTGTTGGTATATAATAATTACATTCAACTTATACTACATTTTGGTGATAGTTCCATCTTGGTACAAGAACTTTTTTTTCGTAGTCCATTTTGACCATTGTTCTTTATGCATCCATAATTTTAACCAGTTTTATTTCTAGGCCTTCTAATATAAATGATTAGGAAGTCGAAATGGTAAAAGACAGCGAACGACTATTTTCTCGAGTTCAAATTAAAGAAATTTTCAAAGTTAGTGCTTAACTAATTAATACATATATCTACATTACTCGTTCATTCATTCATTTGTTCATCATAAGGGGTAAAATTTTCGACAGCTAGCAATACAGTATCAATGAGGAAGTATTAAAAAAACATTAGTACCCGCAATCAAACTAGATGTCGCTACGGTACGTTCTTGATTTCTCCATGACAACCTTTCCGGTTTTCTTTCATGTTTAAAAGTAAATTCGTTTTCAAAACTCAATAAACAACTCATATTCTATTTGTACTTTTTCGTATTTGTATTGTTATCGAAGTTTCGAAATTTTCAAATTTCAGTTTTTTAATATGTTAGTCAAAAGGAACAGAAATAACTGTCTTTGGTCCATTCGTTTCCTGCAAAAATCTACTTTTGCTAGAGGCCCTATCTAGTGGAGGTGCTCTTTTAGTGCTTTTTTTTAAATACTTCCTCATTTCTATTTTTTTCGTTCACTCTGTAGTTAGCACATACCTATTCTGTCTTTGTTTAATTTAAAGTTTAATTGTAGATTTGAGGAAGACGAATATACTAAGCCTATTTATATATACCAGCGGCTTCGCCCGCGTGGTCCCTACGGAAATGCTAAGTGGGATAAAAGTATCTTATTATCTAAGTCAGCTAATACTCTATGCATTTAGTAAGAAACGGTTAATTTGTATTTGTTAAAATAAAACTGTAAGATCCGTTCATTCATTCATCGCGAGTACCCCGACCAAAGAGTAAAGTTAGTGGGAGTATTCCAGGGCTGCCATAATAAGTAATAGAATATCTACTAATAATATTCACACTCGCGATCCGCTTTGGGTTGCTGAACCATCAACGTAAAGTACGTAGGTACTATACTAGCGTTTTAAACTATTCCTATTGCTAACGTTTTAAGAAATAATGAATGGTTAATCGTCGATTAGGAAATCATAATCGATAGCAACTGATTATTTGAAACATCTATTAATGGTAATCAATTACGCACACATTACTTCAAACTCCTTGTTTGGTTGCCTGGCTAATCGCTATAGGCGATTCAGTTAACAGGGTTCACCGTTGGATGGCGTTAGTAAAAATACCGTCTGTCACTTGTATTTATTTTTATTTATTTATTTTGGGAAGACCAACAGCTATAACAAGTACATAGCGATTAAATGGACTATAGGAAGCCATTTACAGGTCCACACAGATGGTGAACAGGACCACAGGACATGTATGAGAGTATCCACCCCTAGGTCAGTATAGAAGTGTTGAAATTAGCGCTAATCGTGCTTAACGCTGTTAAGTACAACTTACACGTTAAGGTGTTAAAACTTAGCTTGTTAACGCGCAACGATCATTAGCGCCTGAGACCGAACGTGCAGTATTCACATAGGTGCGAACGCTAACGGACGTATTAACTATTTAGTCTCGCAGTACGTTTTAACGTAGCATAGCAAAACGCGCGAATGTTTATGGACGCGTTAACGTTTTATTCTAGTAGCATGTTAAATACGATCGTGTATTATTAAGATAGTTTAATAAGTTGATATTTTTAATTATTCGGTTTAAATTGCGATTATGTCAGTAAAATGAAAAAAGATGTTAGATATAAAATTTTAAAGTTTTAATTGTAAAAATATATTTTTTGACATGATTAATTATGATAAGTACGTGTTTATAATAAAGATGAATGCTAATAAATATAAGGACAATTTTTAGTGAAGGGATGTAAAATTGTATTACGTGTAGATAACAAATGTACATAGTTCATGTACTTTTATTTCATATGTATTAGAATAAAATATTTATAAATTATTGTTTACTATAGGATGCGCTCAATTCAAAGAACAAGATGTAATAAATAACGTGCTACGAGATTTAGTTTTCAGCTTGATTGAATGCGTTTGTCGCGCATCCTTTTTATTATGTACTTAGCGCGTTAATTTACGCATTAATTAGCACGCTAATTTTTCTTAGTCTTAGTCTCAGTGTGTTAATGTATTTTAGTCTTTTTGAACAACTTTAGTTAGTCAGAGACATGTCAATAATCAGAGGCTGGCCGGCTGGCCGCTAGCATTGTTTTTATTTATTTTCTTTTGATGACGGCAAGATGGAAATAAATAATGCACACTCGTCTGTTGAAGGAAATTATTGCAAAATAACAGAAGACCCTGACGTTATGTTACAATATGTTAATAAATATGTAAATGTTCGTCTTATTAAAAAATCTTCCTTCACAGGTTTTGTACATTCCATTGACCCTGTATCGTTCAGGTAGGTAAAAACATTTTTAAATTAAAAAGTATATAGGTATATATATTAGTGGGTTTCTTGATAGTTTCTAAAGAAATGTTATCATAGAAAAAGTATTTAATAATAAGATTGGTCATGTTTAGACAAATAATAACATTTGTTGTTATTTCAGTATTATTATATCAGTACCACAAGAAAATAAATATCAGACTATATTGATACCAGGTCATGCTATTTTTGACTTAACAGAAATAGAATCAGATACAAATACAAAGCCTCCACCAAGGAAAACAACATTCAAAATCTGTACAGAAAGTTCAAGAAAAGAAAATCTTATTAAATGGCTTAAATGGAATTTATTGCCAGTCACCGAAGATGGCGAGAAAATAGTTTTTGGTAATGCCAGCATATTACCTCCATATAGTGTTATGGACATATGTACGGATAATCCAATGGTTGCTATGCAAATGAGAAAAATTATTGAGAAAATGCCAGCACACTTTGAATCAATGTAATACTTTTATTGTATATTATTGTACTTTTTAATAATAAACTGCATATTTATTAAAGTATGTAAGTAGTTTAAATTAATAATAACAAACTATTACAAAATACTTAAAAATTTAAGTAGTAATAAAATACAATACCATCAATATAATATTAATAATAATATACTTGATTGCATACTACACAGGACAAGTTCACTGGAAATAGTATACAAAAAGGTGGCCTTATATCTTATAGGCGTCATAGCAATATCTTCCAGGCAACATATGAAGCAACATAAATATTGAAACGTAATATGGGGGAGTGGGTGCAACAAGTAATAGAAAGAGTAGATATATTTTAAATAATATAAAGAAAGTATAATAAATTTATTAAACAAGAATGATTCAGAATCTGGAAAGAAAATTATTTTTAACTTGATCACCAAGTGTTTTCAGTGTGATCTTTCCTGATATTTTCTTGTAGAGAGTTCCACAGACAGACAGTGTGTACAGAGAGGGAATAAGAAAAGACATCAGACATTATAAAGAAAATGTTAGAGTTATTTCTGCTGTATCTGTGCTGCTGTAAAATTTATGAATCATTCACTCTTTATAGAGAAATGTTGTGTATGTTTGTCATGACTTACATATGAGTCTGCCTGTTTCAAAAAAATTTCTTATATAAAGACATCAAAAATAAATAAAATCCAAATGAAAGTTAATAGCAATAAGGATGGAATCTGTGTGTTGAGCACTTATTTTTGATATGGCATTTGCTTTTTTGATGTTATAATTATTTAAACTAGCTTGTGAAAGCATGTTGCATTACTATGTCTCTACTTTTGTATGGACCATAGGTTCGTTCACTCTGTCATTGGTCTGGATATTAAAACTAAGCAAAGTCAACGCAGACGTGCGCGACAAGGCGAGTCGAGCGATATCAATATTCTGTGAACGTAACATTGTCACAAAATGTCATATTTATACAAAATATTTTGAACTCTCTGTCCAAAAAAATAAGGTGTTAAATCAACTGCAGAATCTTTGTTTTAAGATAATCTGATGGCTTTTAACTGCCTACCTACTAACATCGTAGTTGTTGCGTTGAATCATCATTCAAGATAAGAATATGTAAGAATCAGACATTCATTGATTAAAGTTGCATACATTTTTATATATAATTGTGATTTATTTACGTTTTCGGATATTGTGCAAAATGACAATAGAGATAAATAGGAAAGTGCAGTATTTTGCAGGCCTTTCCGGTAAGTTTTGATGCGGGAGATTTAAATGTAGTATTTATTAAATTCTTATGTAGAGAAAATTTATTTCCTTTGTAATTATGTATCTATAATAAGCTCACTAGTAGCGATAGTAGGTAATAACTTCTTAAGAAATTCATCAGTTCTGTTGGGTCTCAGGCAGCTCAATGGGCTGAGCAGTCACAATTGTGGGTTCGAGTCCCATCTCGGGATGCCTGGCGCTGGTGAATGTTTTAAGCATTTTTCATTTGTAATGTTTGAATTTATTCTTTTGAGCTTAGCGGCGTTCACGTTTATGTTTACTGGGGCATCTCTTTCGTGGCCATCACCTGCTATTCCCAAATTCCAAAATGGAGACGCTAATTTGCAAATAACAGATGTGAGTACTATGATTTCAATATTTTCTAGGTCGAAGAAAAAGTTTATGCGCATTTTATTCGAGGGATTTTCAGACTATATTAAAATCCTGTTCAATATTTTTTTGCAACCTTGTTCTTTTAGTACTTCTGATAAAAAAATTCGTGATAAGTAGTTTGAAGATTTCTCTCTTGGTGGTAAAGTTAATCTGACACTGCCTAGATTAAACTACTCTGGAGCAGGGTTGCCAAATTTTGAGTAACAAAATTTGGGACATTCGAACGGTTTCAGAAGTAATTTGACTTTTCAAAATATGTTATAGAAAAAAAAATACTACTAGGATTCCTAGTGTGGTTCCATTTACGTCTAGGTATCCAGACGCAAATGGAGCGATTGTCGAGCAAGAAATCGGGACAAAATTAATAAGAAATTGGGACGTGAGACGACATAATTGAAATCTGAATTGTCTCGGAAAATTCGAAACAGGTGGCAAGCGTGCTCTGGACTTACATTATCAGTAATATTATAAGCAATAAAATAAGTAGGTACCTATTTCAGTGTCACTAGATTTTTGTTAAAACTTTAGGAACAGACGTCTTGGGTGGTATCGTTATTGTCTGCGGGTGCGTTGTTGGGATGCCTCGTGGGACAGGTTTCGAGCGAGCGTATAGGTCGCAAACGGACTTTTCTGCTTTCCGCAGTGCCTGGCGTAGTAGGTGCGGTATGTCAGCATAGTCATAATATCTATTATGTTAATGAACTGAAAATTGTTACGTTATCATCATCACCAGCCTATTTATGTCGCCATTGCTGGGATTCAGGCCTTCCCTATGGATGGAATCGAATAGGGAGACCTATCACGCGGGCCCATTGCGGATTAATGGGTATTAACGACCGCAGATGCAGCTTCAACGTGGCTTCCGAAGCACGGAGGATTTCTAGATAATAATATTTTTGGTTTGGACTGGTCATTGCGAAAGTTGCATAACAACCGTACTGCAGGCCGAGTGCGATAGCCACTGTGTCATCCAGCTCGATAGTTATTTATCTATCCTACACATATTATAAATGTTTAAGTTTCTTTGTTTGGATGTTATTCCATCAATTACGCCGAAACTACTGAACGGATTTTGATGAAATTTGGTATACAGATAGGATATTAGCTGACTTAAATAATAGGGTTCTTTTTATCCCACTAAACAGTTCTCTAGGGACTACGCGGGCGAAGCCGCTGGCGAAAACTAGTAATTAGTAATTATCGGCCAACAGCATAGGCATAATTAATTAAAAAGTAATTATTATAATTTACGAGTATGTAGGTATAATTTGCAAAAGTAATTATTATAATTTACGAGTATGTAGCAGTTGCTCGGATTGTGATGGGATGTGGATTCAAATCCCATCTGGGGCACTTAGGGCTGCTGAATATTTTAAAGCATTTTTCTTTATGATAAAATAATGTTCATTCAAAACTAGTTTTAAAACTCCTTCAAAATATCACTAGATACCTTGATCCAAACGCTGTTTTTAGACTCGAATAGCACCATATTACAAATAGACTCGAATAGCAATACAGATAGGTATTTAGACACGTAGTTTTGTAGCTATGAAGACCAAAAGATCTTTAATACTGTTCGTTTTTTATCCTTTGTAGACAATAATACTGTTCACAAAGTCGCCATTGTTAATGTGCGGCGCCAGATTCTTGATGGGAATAACTACGGGAACCGTGGCTGTGGTGAGTAATTACATGATCCGTTAGAGAAATGCGACAGAGTTGCAACTCCATTCATCCTTGTAAAGGACAACAAGCTGAGGGTAATTGTCTAATTTAAAAACCTATCGAAATTCAATTTAACTTGACATTTGTAAGCTATTGACGAACTTCACGCTAAAACTATTTGGACATGTGATATCGAAGGCAAGTTACTAAGATTTTATGTTTCTAGTTCATTCAAATTATCACGTTACATAAGACCATAAATCACTATAGCAATCATTATACTTTTGAAGAGGATTGCAATAGATTTTGAAATTAGATAATTAGTCTACAATTTGTGGCATATACAATGAAAATATCATGGGAAAAGTATGATTTATGAGTGACTCCTTATAATTAAACGGAAGCAATATTACAGGTAACTATGGTATACATAACAGAAATAGCGGATAAAGAGATAAGAGGAGCTTTGGGTATGACAGTACAAGTGATGAACAATATGGGCGGCCTTATCATCTATGGTGTGGGACCGTTTGTATCCTACGCCGTGCTTAATTCCATCATAGTGATCATTCCAGTGATGTACTTGTTGTTTTGCCTGTGGATACCAGAGTCACCGTACTATTTTTTGAAGGACGGCAGAGTACATCTAGCTAGAAAGGAATTCGTCTTTATAAAAGGACGTAAAGATGAGAAGGTATTTTATTATGTATACGTAATACGTTCCTGTTTGAACAAATAATTTTATGTCTCACTAATCTTCTAAACGGGAAATATTTTTCGGCAAATATGCCCGGCAAGATATCTTTTGGTGGGCTTTGGGATAAATGACTAAGTTGGAAACATTGCTGTCAAATTCATATTCATCATTTTTTATAACAATAATAATCTTTATTTGACCATAAAGTAAAGACGTTACATACAAAGTTTATCAAAAATATTCATATAATAACTATTTCAAATACACCTTGCTTATAGGTAGCATCCATAACCGAACTAGGTTGTGGACCTGAAACATCGGTATATGGCGTTTACAACATGTTTGTTTTGTTTAAAATGTTTAATTTTAACAACAATAAACTTCAGGGTAACTTATGGAATAACAAACTAATCTTCAACAACAAAACCTATGCGATTTTGAAAATAAATTATACTAATAATTCGTAATAACGAAGTACATGTCGAAGTAGTAAAATGAAACGAAATGGAGCTATAACATCGCTTGGATGTCATTTCCTGTGGCTAGAGTTAGATATAGCCAAAGGAATTATTCTGGCGACTCGACCACGGCATCTCAGGTGTCATCCCCGTAGGAGTTTTGGTGGGTAGGCCTCTGGTGATGGATGACAGTTCCACACGCATCTGCCGCCATGCGGCAGATACTGTGCTTAAAGCATTACTCCTACGCATAAAAAAGGCGGTCGCTCTGCTGACTGGCACTTCATGTAATGTTGCCAGGTCCCTGTGTTGCATTGCAGCCACCAATTATAGACAAAATATTGCCCGTTTAGAAGCCTCCTAATAATATATAATAATTTTAATTGCAAATTATATTGTTTTAGTGGATAGATGAACAGTTAGGAATAATTAACGTTCACGTGAAAGAAAATATGGAGAACGCGACAACGGTAAAAGAATTGTTCACGAATATCAAGTATAGAAAATGTTTGTACATTGTTGGTGGTAAGAGCTATGCGAGAGATGCATTGTAAAATATACAATAAATAGACGGAGAGCTTGTGACAAAAATGTGCAAGAGATGCCTAAAGCTTGATATTTCAGTATATTGAAGTACTAAAGGTATACACACATCACATCACACATCACCAGCCCTTTTACGTCCCCACTGCAGGGGCTCAGGCCTTCCTTATGGATGGTTAAGGAGGATGGGCCATGACCCTCCACGCTGGCCCAATGCGGATTGGAGGGTATTAACGACTGCAAATGCAGCCGGGACTAACGGCTTAACGTGCCTTCCGAAGCACGGAGTAGCTCGAGATAATAATATTTTGGTCACCCATCCCGTGACCGACCCTTGCGAAAGTTGCTTAACGACTACGATCGCGGGCCGCGGCGCTTATCCACTACGCCACCGAGCTACTCGGTATACACAACGTGATCAATAGGCATCTGTCAGTGTGCGGTTTTCCGGAATTTCGGGATACCGAGTCAGACACCTAAAAAACGGAACAGTCACGTTCTAAACGGTAGGTTTGGTCACTTTGTGTATACCCTTAGTACTGGAACATGTTTAAATAGGTATTAAGCTTGAGCTCTTGCACATTTTCGTTAAGATATCTTAAATTGAAAGTAATGTTGGTGCGTATGGCGCAAGATTCTCGTACCTACTCACATAAATTTTCTTTATCTATGATAAAATTAACAACAAATTAAAAATCAATAATAGATTAAGTACTACTTTTAGTTCAATTATTGCTTTATATTTACAGGATTAAAACTTCTTCAATACATGACAGGCATTTTAGTGATCCAATCTTATTTAGAAGAGATATTTAGACAAAGCAGTTCTATATCAGGACCACGTGCTAGTATTATCTATGGCTTCGTGCAATTGGGGGCTGGTAATTATAAAAAAATGTGTTGTATTATGACCAGAGGTCGGAATTAGGTAGAGTTATTTATGTACTTGCATCGAAATGTTGATATGAATGTGGACCTTCCCGGGTTTTCTTTATTTCTTTCTTTCATTGGTGTAAGTTTGGCAACGTCGTGCGTGCAGTAGTTTAAATTGTGTAAAAGTAAATAACTTTTTATTTAAAAAAATCACAGGATTTTTTCTGTTCTTTAAAATTAATCTCGGGATTTGAGGCATATCCACTTTATTCTTTCGCTGTATGAAATCAGTGTAAGTACACGAATAACTCTACCTAATTCCGACCACTGATTATGACATAACGACTATTTGATTTTAAGTTTCCTTGGTGTATTTAAAGCGTAGCAACGTTATTTAGAATTTGATTAGGTATACAAGCTGTTGCGTTGTCTATTTTTAAAATCTATCGTAATGCCTTCAAAGTTATAGTGATTTTGGAGTTATTTAACTTTTAAAGTCGCAATTGCTTTTGGAACAAATGATCATTTGAATGATCAAGAGATATAATAAAATCTTGGTATATAACTTAAAGTAACATTTACGTCTAACGCGTAGATTCATTATCTTTCAAATAAAGTCACGAGCGCGATCGCTATATGACAAAGAGTTGTAACGTAAAGATTTGCTAATGTCTTTCAAATATCAAATTGAAAGGTATTACGGTCGATTTTAGAATAGGGATGATGACTAATTTTTGTTTGTTTGTCCGTCAGGTAGTGTTAAAAAATATTAAACACGTACTTTTTTATTTTTTTCGTAATCATAAAATAACGGCGTTACATTGAGTTGCAATTTCGCATGACGTCACGTTAGGGTACGTTTTCTACTCAACTGTGACATAGCGAGCCCCCACTCCTCAACTTTAATGCCTGTTATCTAAGCTATTTCTTGTTAAATTGAAGTAAAAAAAATACGTATCTAATATTTTTCTATTATCTGGCTGACGGACTAAATAGAATTGCATTTTTTTTACCCAGTCATCATCCCTATTAGACATTTTAGGCCTCTGTTTTTCTTATCTCTGTGGTATGTAGTTGTCACATTTTGCCGAAATGAGTTAGATGTTTGTTTGGTTTATTTTATTATTGAAGACAAAATAAAAGTAAAAAGAGTAAATTTGTAACTCTCATATCTCGAGTATCGCAGTATCCTTACTGAATTATTATATCTCTGACGCGAAGGAAATTTGCTGGGTTATCTAATATCGTGTTATTTAATTAAACAAATGCTATGAGAATCTGTGTCTAGGACAATGTATTTTATATAGTTGTGACCGTCATCATACATATCGACGCTGGAATGCAAACACATAGTAACCCGAATAACCAAAATGGATAATTAAAGTGTAAAATCTTTATATTTTTTCCAAAAAAAAAATATCTTACTTCCGTATAAATTGACTAAGGAACACCCTATTTGTTACTATGGACGTTTATAAGAAATATTTATCGAAAAAATAAAAACAATTTTGGTTTTGCGGGTTACTGCGCGTTTGTTTTCCAGCGTCGATATGTATGTTGTACAGTTAACAGGTATACAGCAGAGCAATTCCGTAAAATTTACGGATTCACTTCGTAAACGAATCCGCTTAACTTATAGGTATTAGTGTAGAAATACTTTTATGTTAATTTTTGGTATAAAAATACAAATAAGATTGATCGATTCATCTCAGATATTTGATCTCTTTCATTTATAAACTCATTTCTCTTATGCCACGAAACGTTAACATCAATTTGAATTCGGATTTTTTACGGAATCGCTCAATTTTCCCGTATCGACTTTAAATTTATTGGACATTGAGTTGAAATAGATATGTGAATATGATATTCTATAGTAACCTGATGCATTCCGTACATAATAATCTGTATTTCCAGGTATAGGAGCGACGTTCCTTAGCAGATGGTGTCGAAGAAGATTCCTCTTACTACTATCTTGCGTAGGAGTATCAATCGCAATGACCATAGTCGGAATCTACTTTTACCTTCAAGATGTAGTTAAATTAACACCAGAAGTATTAGCATCCTATTCCATGTTGCCGTTATTAGGTTTAATGGGTTTCAATGTATTATACGCTTTTGGTGTTGGTAATTTACCGTATGTATTACAAGCAGAACTATTTCCAGTCAACGTGAAGTCAGTGGCGTCCAGTGTAGCTACTCAATTAGCTTGCGTACTGAGTTTCTTAGTGACAAAATTTTATTTAAGTTTTAGAAATGTATTCGGCAATCACTCGGTATTCTGGTCTTTTGCTTGTATAGGTTATCTGGGAGTGTTCTTCATATACTTTTATGTGCCAGAAACTGGAGATAAAACATTAGAGGAGGTGCAAGATAATCTCAAAGCTAACACGTCGGAAGGTCAATCTTTACGCGATTACAAAGCAGACGACGATTAGAAACGAAGAGAAAAGTGAGAGTATTTTTCTGCCAGGTCTGAAATAATCCTTAAAACATTATTTTAATATGCAAAATATGTATATTATATTCATTATACACACTTTGAACTTATATTTAGGTAAATATTTTAATATCGTTTATTTTGTAGCTTAAAAAAATACAAAAACCTAATTCGAGTTACGGTAGAAGCTAGTCAGATTCCCATTTGAGATTAAAATACAATATTTTAACTACAGTGAAACCAAACTTAATTTACCGTTTCCCTGAATACTCGTTTACACATGCATGTCCTACCAATATCAATGATAAATGGACGTATGTCTCAAATCAATAATCAATTTTGTTTTAATAGCCATAAGGTGTAAAATACAACTCACTTAACTTCCTTCTCTCTCGGCGATGTCAGGCGAGTGGATCACTCAATGGTGCGGTACTACAATATTCATTAAAATAAACTTATTAAAATATTATATGAATCGTCCAAAACCTTTTTACTTTCACTCATTCAGTGTTTATTGGCTGATAGAAGAACGAGCAAAAACAACTCACTAACTCTTATAAGAATCAGATCACTATTACCAATATGAATAAAAAGTTACTTGATAATTTTGAAATAAATAAGTTCAAAAGAAATCACATATCAAAATGGACGATAAAAACAAAAACAGGATTTGCAGCGCTTCAAAATCTAACCTTACGACAAGCCCTATTAAATATATTTTACTGTATATTTGTATTAAAACTGGAGCTGAAAATAATAAACACAACATGTGACGGTAATATTGTATTCCACTGAATAAAAACATGAAACACATCGATTATATTATTTACTGACAGTTCAACGCTTATCTGGTTCTTTACAATGTCTAATTTCAACGTTATCAAATTGTACAAAAAATAGTACGTATGAAAACTAAATTCTCTTGGCGTTCCCGTATGAGTACAATGGTACGAATGGCGTGTCCGCGGGTTCATCCCCGCTCTCCTCAGATGCGTCAGACTCGAAAGTATTATCCGGTATGTCGTATAAACGGATCAAGGGCTTGTTGGGATCCTTCATTATCAGATATTTACCTGCAATCACAAAATAAAATATACTCATGGGAATAGCTTTTCAAAACTTACATAAGAACATATTAAAACACTCTTTATACATACTTTTCTATTATTATTTATAGATTTCTCAAATGTTATGAAATAAAGGTAAAACATATTTTAATTCATTAAATTTAAAGCGTAGCGAAAACTGTTGGTCACGTGACATTGTGGGGTGTGACATCACATTTTAATAAATATGGTTGCACTCGCAACAAAGACGTTTAGTTTATTGAAATGTGACATCACACGATGTTCCATCATGGCCGCCCACGTGCAAGATGAAAATTATCTTTTTTTACAGTAACTATAATAATAATATCTTGACGGTGCATTAGTAAGCGCGTGTGACCAAAAGGTTATGCTAATCTTAGGATGGGTGACTAGAATTTTATTTCAAGCTTTTCCCTTTGGTAAGGTTTATCATCAAGTCGTCATACTATTTATAGGTACTATACTACTATTGTAATGTCAATCCAGCTTGACAATAATACAGACCGTCCTTCTGCTTCATGCAGATGTCTATGATGCAGCGCAGGATGCCCCAAGCGTTGTCCATAGACAAATTGATTTGTGCCGCGAACTCGTGCGGCTTGAACTGTTGCGTGCCGAGGATCACGTGACGAGAGTTATCGCGTACTTGAGCACGGGATACATAACCGAACTTGATCTGATCCGATCCGGCGAGAAGTGCCTAAACAATATATATACGTATATATTAACATGTAAATCCAAACCAGTAAGCACTTCGATCGATATGATACCGATCTTTATGAAAAATTACCGCCGATATCGTAGATAGCAAAGATCCAAAGTAAGAAGGTAGGGTATAAAATTTAAAGATAACTAAGAGAAACACAATTATTACACACAAAAAATAACAAACAACTAATGAAAAATAACATAGAGAGAAATTCAAAATGTGTCGGTATATCGATTAATGTCGTTGATTCCGATATATCGGAAAACTCGCAGTGCCGATATATCGGTACCGGATGCATCCCTAAATTTATGAAAATAACTTGGAACGGAGCTGTATGAAATTTAACAGAGAAAGTTTATACATAGAAGATTTTTTTTTTATAATAATGCATTGAATTAGCTCGGTGGCGTAATGGACAAGTGTCTCGGCCTGCGGTCGTGATTGCTTAGCAACTTTCTCAAGGGTCAGTCACGGGATGGTTGACAAAAAAATTATTATCTTGGGCTTCTCCGTTATTTGGAAGGCACGTTAATTCGTTGGTCCCGGCTGAGTTTTCAGTTGTTAATAACCTCCAATCCGCACTGGGCAAGCATGGAGGGCCATGGCCTATTATCCTTAACCATCCATTAGGAAGGCCTGTGCCCTGTGCCTTGTTAAAGCTTAACAAAAACGGTTGTAAGTGTCGAGTTGCGGAAAATGCCTGTCGATAAGAAGAAAAAGTCCGCAAAGGGCTGATGATAATGCTTATGAATACTTAAATGAAAAGACACACATACATAGTACAATTATAGTCGAATCTGGACCATAGAGATATACTCTCCCAAATAGAATCCAATGAAATTACTACATTTTTGCATATTTTATTTATGTTTACAGAAGTTATAGAAATAAAAGCTTAATTATATTATATTATAATTATTAAAGAAGAACTTTAACACTACTTAAGTTTATGAATAAACCAGGGTTCAGAGTGATAATTAGGCTTGATCATTATCATGATAATTATCTTGTTAACTATAGCTTGATAACTATTTTGATAGTAATAAAACACTACAAAAACTCTTTGTGTACTTTTAAGTCTTTAAAGAACTATCAAATGTAGGTTTTCTAAAAATTGTCTAGGATAGAATACAATTTTTTTTAAATTTTTTAATTAAAACGCCTCCTTTTTATTTAAAAAATATTTTGATTTCACCTATTGTTCAATGAGTATTCATAGTAAATGTTTGTTTATATTGGTTGTATAATTTTTATAGTTTAAAAAAATAATAAAAAATTAAATCAATTATGAACGTCTTTCAATTCAATATTTAATTATTTAAAAAATTGTCACTAGTAACTATGGATGATTATCTAAAAAAATAATTATCTTTATAATTAGGAACCCTGGAATAAACAATGTAAATAAAAAGTGACAAAGACAAAATCATGTTACTTCACATAAACATATGCAAAGTGATTTTGAATCGGCAAACATTTTTTCCTACTTCAATATGTTAAAGTCAAGATAGGAAAATAACATTAGCAATATAGAAATTATTCAATAATAAAATTGATTGTCCTCAATTATTATATAAATTTCTTCAATTAGTATACTTTTATCTCAGTTACTCATATATTCGTATTTTTTTTTTTTATAAATATTGCTCTTTTATTACATGATGTTTTAAGTATTTATTGCACTGGATTGTAAAACCCTAATTATACAATAATATACTAACCTGGACAGTCCACTTGGCCAATTTGCAGGAATTGTTCCTCAGCTCGTTGGCGAGCACGGCACCGCGTTGGGTGTCTAATTTCTGTCGCCATTCCACTCCATTCGCAAGTTTCGAGTCCCATTCATTGAGCGCTTTGATTGACAAGAACTGGGTCTCGCCTTGTGGCCCTTGCATTACTGCATCGTGTTCGCAACGTGCAACTAGTACCTAAAAATATAAATAATTTTACAGGGATTAATTATCTGGGTAAGATGCGGCGGATTAGGGAGGCATCAGGCCCAGACCTACAACTTTTTCCAACCGGTGCTGATAATTGATAATGCGTTTACATTTCTCCCCCTTGCTAAGACTACGAAAATGGACATAAGAAAGATAATTATGGTTTGATCAGGGGAACTTGCAGCCATTTGGAGCCACCCCAGAACGAGAGGCCTTGGGGCCCTTATTTGACAGTTCAAACAATAACAAATTATAAAATGTTGCATATGCAAACTTATACGAAAAAAATAGTAACCATGTAGTATTTTTGTTTTATAATAAATTATAAATATATTTATTTTTCTAAAATAACTTGCAATTTATGGGATTTCAAGAGCTCAAACTGGCGGTCATGACGGCACATCGTGTGACGTCACATTTAAGTAAATTCAAAGTTAATGTCTATGTTTTTGAAATGCGACGTCACGGTTCGAAAAGTCACGTGACTCCGACTTTTTGCGAGATGATTTTAATAAATAATTAATTAAAATATTTCTTTATTTTAATAAAAATAGGATTATTAGACACTATTAAAATACATTCCCAAAACATGCAATTAGCAAATTAAAGCCAATGTATTATGGAGTATCTGAAAAAACTAAGGTATTTTAAACCAAAGAAATATACACCTGACTAGTAATCCAACTCGGGACCCAAGAGATGGTGGTTTTGTACCAACAATAAATTTCTCTTATCAATGTTAGTGCCATAAAACATTTCGAATCTGGTTTAATCCATATTTCATGCAATAAATAAGGATAAGTTTTTGCTGTTGATTTTAATAATATAGGTAAAAAAATCTTCTATTAAATAAATAAACTTTAATAATATCTATACATATTAATTATAAAATGTTTTTGGGTACTTACAACACCATTGTTAAGGTTCCACTTGCGATAACGATATCCAACAGATGCCACTTCGCCTTCCTCTTCCTCAGACACAAACGGGTTTGATTCTGGGAACTTGTATTTAGGTTCTTTCTCTCCAGACTTCAACACCTAAGATAAACGTAAAAATAGGTATTTTATAATTGCAGTGACATTAGCAAGGATTGACTAAAAAGATATTTTGTAATGACTAAGAATAGGTTTAACTTATTACTAGGCTTATGTCATCATTAGCAAGAATTGACTATAGACTATAGAACTATACTATAGAATGAGATTAATACCTGCTGGCTGAAGTTGTGATTAATGAACGTGGCTTCGAGGGCCAAGTTGCGTGGAGAATTTATAGAATTGCCGTCGTCAGCGGGTGGCTCCACTGATGTCTCGTTTACAGTAAGCAAATCAAACTCGGTATTGTCACGCTTGTCTAAGAACAGCTTGTCACCTAATTGGATAAAATTTTGACGATAAAAACGGCTGCTATGAGGGGCACTTGATAAGACTCTGTACTAGCATGTGTTGGTACACAAACTCGAAAATTTCTTTGTTTACAGCAAAAGTTACTTCTCTCCAGTTGAGCGTAAAATATCGTACTTGAAAAAAGTCGAGCTCTTCATCTTACAAGTGCTGGTACTTGGCTGGTACAAATGCTTTAAAAATCCAAGCATTTTTCATTCAAGATAACTATTTTCTACTAATCTTGTAATTATATAAAAATTTTATTTGTACAATAAGTGTTTCCATTTGATAAATGTTACCCACAAAATGTGTGATATTTAAATTAATTGATTTATAGTTACTTTCATATGTGTTAAAAATTTTAACTCATTCGTTTCAGTTGTCTCATTCTCATTATGACAAAATCTTTCAATTATAACATTAAGTTATGTATTGATACATACCAATCTTTTCAATGACAATATCCCAAGAATAGTTAGAGCGAGTGCAGCACATGATTGTGGCCAAGATAGTATCAGTGGCATACACAGTGCCTGTCGTCTTACTCAGACGACGAATCACAGGATCATCAGTAGTAGTTACCTGAAGATTGAATAATATATTCATAAAAAGTATATTGATTTGTCATACAGTAAAAAAAGAAATGGTTTTGTAATATATTTAACTTTTAACTGTACATCTTCATAAACATGTTGTTGAAGTAACAAGTACTTACCGTATGGAAAATACGATCAATGCGCTGCAGGGGTTTCTCGTGTTTTACATTTACACGATCATAAGCTTTATCATAGTACTCAAGAGTACCACAGCATACAATGTCTTCACCTGAAATGAATTTTGAAACAAGATATTTTATCACATTCGTTACAGTAAACAAACAGACACATAAATGATTTGGTTAACATTTGATTCAATCAAAATTCATTAAATGATTAATAGTGGATTATTAGATATAGAACATTATATTCAATACATTGTGTTGCAGTTTTCTTAAAGTTAAATGTTCAAAACAATTGTTTTACAATAGCAAGTCTCTTGTATATTAAAAAAATATATATATTTAGAGGCTGCAAATAAAATAATTGTTGCATATACCTTCTTTGATGCCAGGTAAAGATAGCTTAGCCAAACGAGGAAAGTCCATGTCCTCAATGGTTACCCATGTTGGTCTAACAGTTACTGAGGCATCCCTGATTTTCATAGGGGCACCTCTTTGGCCCCATCTCTTTCCAAGTTTACGATCTCGTTGCTATGTGAAAAAAAAATACAGATTATATTTTACACATAAGCACTTGCAATAAATAGGTATGTGAGACTCAACTTTTTCACACATAATTATGTACTTAGATTTCAAATCTTCATGGAGATACTGTGAAATTGCTACAACCTAAATGAATTTTTGATGCATAGCACAGGCACTGAACAATAAGAATTTGTCTGTTGATCTTTGTGACTACTGATAGATATCATAACAGCATTGTTGACATACATTTTAGTTTCACCTCACTATGACAAAATTGGCTAGATGCATTTTCGCAAGTGCATCAGCAATATGTTCGCACACAAATGAAAGAGATATGTAATGCCAGGACATTGTATGAAAGTCAGAGAATGCAAACATTTACGCAATGAGGACAAAATAATGTTTATTTATATGATGATGAAATTATTTTTATTTTATGAATTATTATACAATCAAGAGGGGCAAATAGTATGAACATATGTTTTAAATTTTTGATAATTACCTAGAATTCTGTAGTAATTATATATGTATAGCTACTAAACACAATGTTATTAATAAATAAGGTTTAGCATTTAAGTAAATTTACACTGATATTGCACTTAGTATTAGTCAAAATTCATATTATTAAACAGAGACTTAGCAAAGGTTAACTTAGTATGAGGTTCAACAGGAGTAATACTTACTGCTAGAAGGTGGTAGATTTGCTTATTTTATGTATAATATGAATTTAGACTAATACTTATATTGCAATTTTAGCATAAATTTAGTATGATGCTACACCTTGTTTATAAATAGTACTGATAGATTTTATTTTCTTTACTATTAAACTGTTTAGATTTAAACAGAATTATAAAAAGTCATCATATTTCAAAACTCAATAAGAATTCGAATTTTCTTTTTAATTCTGAATATAGGATTACCTTGTTCAGAGTAGTCATTCCACCAGGCGTTCTAGCGCCTCTGGCGCCTCTACCACGCTGACCTCGAGCACGGCCGCGTTGGTAAGGTGGTTTCTGAATACGAGTCGTGTCCACCAAATGAAAAGTACTTTCATCTTCATCATGAAAGTATGCATATGACGAACCAGCACCAAATTGAGATGCATATTTATCTAAAATTAGTGTCGTTGATATGAATCATTGTAAAAAAATCATTTTGATATGTCATCAAAAATTGTTAGCATATTCAGTTTTTGATCTTACTAGAATTAATAAATCTAATCTTACTTAAACATACGATAGTTTGTAATCTAATGAGACAGATTATAAACTGACGATATAAAACTTTAAAGCGATATCTAAACTTATAAAAAGGTGATGTAGTGTAAGACAAAACAGGAATGTATCAGTCAGTCATCATAACCTCAAAGTGAATCGTAAAGTATTAGTGATTATAAAAGACAATTGTGGCTTATGTTCTTACTTTGGTACTTTTTGTCTTGTACCACAGTCCAATCGCTGATTTTGCCTAAACGATCGCCTTTACTAAAAGGTTGATAAGGCATGTCTCGAAACTGTTCGGGCATTTCGGCAGGTCCCCATCCTGTTGGATTGTCTTGTATTATTGGAGCTATGAATCGTATCGGCTCTTCGGCCGGTAGTATATGTTCTGACATTGCAAAATCACTAATAATTAGTGAGAAATTAGAGTAAATTTAACATTAAATTGAGCATCTACTGCCACACGACACTTTCACAGACCACTGAAAAAGAAAAGGTTTAGAATTATAATGTTGCCAAGCCGGTTTCTTTTATCCGTTCAAAAATCACTTATTACCGCATTATGACTACTTAATAGAAGCATAAAAATAATGAAATAAAGTAATTCAATTAAATTGATTAAAAAAGAATATTTAGGCCAGTCTTGAATACAATGAGTAGAGATTTTTTTAAACAGTATAATTTTAAGAGGTTATCGATGTTGACGATGGCCTCCTTCTAACGATTAATAAAAAATGTAATATGTATAAAGATATTTCTTCACAAGGCCATTTTAGTGTCTTATTAAAGTTATTTATTTATACAGTAACTTATTCACATTCGGTTTTTGTATACAGAAATAATTGCCAACTATTCAAACATTTACACGGCAAAGGGCAACACAGTTGATTTGACAATTTTCACAGATCAACATTATTTCATTTCTTTATTTTAAAGCAAAGGGATCTATCCCGTAGAGCTTTGGCGATTTATGTTGATTTTGTGTTTTCCTAGTGACAAAAACAAAATCCTTAGTTATGTCTACTTGCCTGTTAACTTTTTTTTCACTTATTTTGGATGAAGCAACCATTATCTTTTTGTGACATCCAGCACACAATTGAAACTTGTTAGGTAGACCTAGGGACGGATTAATAGCACCATTGGGTGATTTTCGAAACTTGAAGTTCCGGTTTGATACAGCCCTCATTAATACGATATCCGATTATATATAGGGTTTAAAATTAGAAAAATATCATTCCAGTTTCATTATTTTCATCTACAAGGGCGTGTGCCTTGTGCGTGCTCAAATAATTAAAATGTAAAGATACTCCCAAGAGATGCTTTTAAGAGAACACAAGCATTTCGTAAAATAACCGGTGAAGTCATGATTGATATTTAATCATTAACTGATATTTTTGCATTCACAATGTGGACAACGAACAAAGTAGTATTTATTCGTTTCTAGATACCTATCTCGGCAAAATAATACACAACTCGGTATATTCTCCAATATATTTTTTCCTGGAAAAAATAAAACGTTATGTTTTGTAAACAAAGAGTTAATAAAAATACAATAGGTATATAGATATTATAAGATAATAAGTAGGTAATAAATATATTTATTGAAACAATCTAATACATGTCCAAATATAGAAAACATATGCAAAGAATTTGGTTAATGAAGCTGCAATTAAAGAACAATTAAAATATTTAAGTACAAAATTTGCATGTCCTGTAAAGAGAAATGTATTTATAATGAAACTGCGATTTTATATGTCAATTTATTTAATATTTACCAATAATTGCATACTAATGTAAATTAAAAAAATATAATATTGATAAAATGTATTCAAACGAAAGTGTGAAAATGCACGGCGCGCCAAAAAAATTCAGAGGCTATTTATTACGAATGCGCGCTCTTGCATATCGGCGCGCGCAACGCGGGAATGGATAATGGTCATGGTCTTTATGAGTAAATTTTTAATAAAGATAATTATAATAGAACAAGATTAATATATTAATAATAATATATCATATTAATAAACGCAATAAAAAACTAAAGAATAACATATATATATTACAAAAATGTATAATGAAGTAATATAGGATAATAGCACTGAATTGTGAAGGAAAGGAAGTTATATTATATTATAGGTTGTAAATAATAAAATAGAAGATATAACAAAATGTAAAATAACGTCGTGTCAAATAAATTAAAGTAAGAAAGAAGCATGCAACGTTACATTAGGGATGACGGGGTAGAAAAAAAAAGAAATTCTATTTAGTCCGTCAGTCAGTTAACCTTTAAGCACCGACGTGCATTTTTTGTAACGTTAGTACCGACGTGAGGCCTGAGAGGCCGCTTATATTATGTATTGTTTTTTAAAGAAAGTTTTGTTTTAAATATTTGTCTCTGCAATATGATCGAAAATAAAGGTTTCTAAGAAACAATAAGTAAAGAAAGACAACGATCTTTATTATATTTTAAAATTTAACACTAGAATCATATTTGGCTTGAATTTGGGGGAAAATCCAACTAATAGCTATAAAAATCATAACACAAAAAATAATTTTCTTAGAATAACAAAAACTTGTATTAAGACTAATATAACTTTACGAAAAAAAAATATAATAGGAACATAAAACTTCTCTAAAAAAAAATGTCCGCAATCGAACTACATCTTAAATTCTAAGCACAGTCAGGGCACACTTGTTTCGCGCACTGTAAACAAATGTGCTTTTGTGTACATCAATAGGCCAATAAAAGCGTGCAACTCAATCATATCGGTATCTTTTAGCTCTAAGCGATCTTGCTTCCTATATTTACATCTATATTCAGCCAGCTTCTCATTGGTTCTTAGCAAAATCTCTGATAACATTTCGTCATTTATATATTGTTTCCATAAAGAATAAGGATCCTTTCTATCATTTTCGGTCAAATTGGATATAGGGAAATAATATTATATTGTGGTGTTCTAACAGATGATCTATTTGGAGGCGATTTAGACCACTTATATTTGTTCTTTCCTCTAAAACATCCCAGCCTTGAGAGAGGAACATCTTCATCTGATGACGATGATGGCGCGTCCAGTTGTTCAGGTTGAGTTTCTTCTGTAACAGAAATATCAGTGCTGGTATCCGTGTCATGGTCATTGTGCTCTGGACAAAAAACTTCGCCAACGTCGTCAACCTCAGATCCGCTGGAATCTTCATTCGTGATCCAGCTCTCAATCACTCGCGCATAATTTGGATTAGATGCATTTATACTTATACGAGGTCTTTTTGAGAGATGTAAATCTGTCGCAGAACTATTTCTTTTACTACCTGAAGTTCCTGGTCTATCCATAAAGTCAAAGTCAAAATAATCTTTATTCAAATAGACTTCTTAAAAGTACTTTTGAATCGTCCAACATTTTTTCCCTACCACTCGTTCAGGACGTCTTTTGGCTGATAAGTAGAACGAGCAAGAAACTCACCTGCTCTAATAAGAGTTATGACATTTACAAAAACCATGTCATTACCAGATCAATACATTTTAAACTAAACATAGTTTACACTATCTGTAAAAATAATAGTTTATTATAAAAGAGAAATAAAATTGAGAGTGAGTTCGCTACGTCACAGTTTTGCAGAAAATGTACAAAAGCGTGACGTCATGTGACATTTTTATTCGGTTTTACTTTTACCGAACCGGATATTCGGTTTACCATTTCATTGTTTTGCCGCGTAAACATCTTTAAAAAGAAATGTTGAATTGAAGTTTAATTGTTTTGTTTTATTCGCTTTATTGGACACATTCTTCTTTGACTTATAATACGTATAACATAAATTTTACAAAAGAAGTCTGGTCTTTTAGTTCTATACCGTATCGTGTAGCCAATAAAATAGAAGTACTCGAGTCGAATATATTCGCCACTAAAACCGAATAATTCGCCCGAATACAAAGAGTGAATAAGCCAAATACCGAATACAAAACGAATATTAGGCGCATCTTCATTGAGCTGATTAATTTACTAAGGTACGTTCTTTTCCGACTAATATACAGAGAAAAAATTTGATTGTTAATTCGAATCAGCTCCGATACTACTGGACCAATTTTAATAAGTAGACTATAGGTAATTTACGCAACCGAAGTAGCGGGAAAAGATCTAGTAAGTATAATAAGAATGATCATTATTAAGCAACTGCAAAATAAATATTTTCTTCTTTCAATGTGAACTTAAAATGTATGTCCTTATCTTATACTTTAAAGAAATGATAACAGAATCGCTGATTTGGATGTCTTTATAAGAGAAGCCTCTACAGACATAACTCTACTCTCAATGCATTAAGATTTAAAATCAAGCGAAGAAATTTGTCAGATTTGTATAATCTGACGTGCCATTGACTGTACTTAGTGCCTATAAAATTATACTGAGCCAAAGTTCCCTTCGCTAAATTTCGCTTTAACTTAATCAGCAGTATTCAATGCGTTCTGTGTGGTGATTACTCGGAAGCTTATCAACTTTTTGGTGATGGCATTAAAGGAATCGTGAATGCTAATCATTAAACACACCAATGAGCGTATCGGTCCTATTATTGATAACACGCTTTATTTGCAATTTTTTAACCGACTTCGAAAAAAGGAGGTTCTCAGTTTGACCTATAGTATGTATGTTTGTGCGCGATTATCTCGTGTTTGGTTGAACCGATTTTGATGCAGTTTTCAGCATAGCTCGATGGCGCAGTGGCTAGCGTGCTCAGCTTGCGATACGGTTGTTAAGCAACTTTTGAAATGGCCGGTCTTAGGGTGGGTGACCAACATTTTTTTATCTCGAACTCCTCCGTGCTTCGGAAGGTATGTTAAGCCGTTGCATCAGCAGTCGTTAATACCCACCAATCCGCACTGGGCCACGTGGTGGGTCATGGCCCATTCTCCCTATTAGATACGATTTCATCCATCGGGAAGGTCTGAGCCCCAGCAGTGGGGACAGTAATAAGCTGGTGATGATGAATTCAGCATAGTATTTGCCAGACCTAGCAGAAGGTTTTAGGTATATTAACCGACTAAATAAATGGAGATTCGCACTTTAACACGTGTTAATTGTAATGTCCGCGATTATCACGCGTTTGTCTGACAGGTAATAAACTTTTATATATTACCTATATATGAAGTCTATTCAAAAAGTGAAACTTAATAAAGGCTTATAAAACTGAGTAGACACTTTGATAATTTGCATTTTTCTTGAAATAATTAATTATAGTCGCTTATTCACAGTATTCCTACATAGTATAAGTGGTCTTATTGAATTTGGGGGTATTAACGTAGCGTTTATCAGATAATAAGCGATAGGTATAATCACAAATATTATAAACACTTTGCATGGTGAAAACAATAAAATTAGTATCATGTAAAAATACCTCTATGAAACCAGGGATTTTTTTTTTTACTTTTTTTTTCTAGGGTTTTCCCAGATTACTATTTTGTTACTTCGATATACGGTTCGATTGTATCTAGTTAATATTCATGCGATCTATAATTAATAAAACTTTGACGCATGTTCATATCATATATACCTATACTATACACTAGCTTTTGCCAGCGGCTTCGCCCGCGTGGGCCCTAGGGATATGTTTAGTGGGATAAAAAGTATTCTATTATCTAAGTCGGCTAATACCCTATCTGTATACTAAAATTCATCAAAATCCGTTCAGTAGTTTCGGCGTGATTGACTGACAAACATCCAAACATCTAAACATCTAAACAACTAAACATCCAAACATCCAAACATCCAAACAAAGAAACTTTCACATTTATAATATTAATTAAAATCGAAGCATACTTTCTATCATAGTGGTATAAGCCCCTTCAATTTCGTCCATTGGAAACTAGGATCCAATTTGTGTTCACCGGTCTTACCACATCGTTCTTCCACCGCATCAGCGGTTTTCCGACGAGTCTCTTTCGATCCTATGATCTCCATTACAGGCCCGTTCTGCACCATGAGTTGCTGACGATTTATAATCCGAAAAAAATCTAAAATACAAAAAATATGCAGATCTAGGATGCAAAAATTAAAATTCAATATATAATCGATTTCAGGATCGAGATGTAAATAAGCATAGAACAACAGAAATCATCATAACGTTGTCCTATACATTAAGTAACGTTTATAAATATGTACGGCTAATTTACAAAGGCATTGACTCGTTAAAATAAAATATTTTATCAGTAGATTCTTTTATTTCGGGCCCTTAATCAGTTTCGCTGTATATTTATGTATTTAAGTAAGGAGTATTTACGCACACTTCAATTTTATTGATAAACCAAACCGGTCACAAGTTCACAACACAATTCAGTCACACTAAAAGTGTGCCGCACTTTGGACGTGTTTAATCCACTCTTTAAACAGTATTCCAATTAAAAAGCAAAGTTTTCAATGAAAATGTAATTAATATAATTGTTTATATTCAAATTATGATTTATTGAAGTGTGTATATTTTTGTTTTGCAACAGAATTTACGCAGTTTGTAAGTATTATCCTGTTTTAATTTTCATTACAATGCAGAAAGCAATTCATTCTCTTGTGCGGAGGATAATTATAGTTTAGAACTTGATTGTCAATGTAATGGATGTGTTATAATGAAATAAATACATAGACACGAGAAGTTTTAACTATGAGTAGGTAAATCAGCTTTATATAAGTGAACTTTAGGTACTGCAAAAACATAACCTCAACGTTATGTTATGTAAACAAATGATGATATTTTGTAGAGAGTGTAAAAACCGAGAAACGGTTTCTTCAAAACGTAGTAGGATAGTCATATAATAACCTGAGCTATTTTATATTCGTTAGCATTTTTTTTTTACTGAAACACTCATACATAGTTGTTGATGGATGGTATAATAGTAAAATATAATCTGTTTATTATTTGTTTTGTTTTTGTCATTCTTGTTTTTTATATGTCATTCATACTAATAAAGGGATTACATGCATTTTTTATCACATTTTTCGGACTGTATAATTTGAATCTAAAAAAAATATTTTTTTTTTATAAATACAATACAAGTGATAAATTTAAAAAGAATAGATTAGGGCATTTCGAACTACATTCAAGTACAATAGTTGTCTCTATCATAATTGTATCACGAACAAAAGCTAATGATATACTCAACAAAAATATATATGTGAAAATTGGATAATAAGTTTAATGTTCTTAATGAAACATGCTTAGCATCTGAGGTAGGATTAAAACCCACGACCTCTCGCAATCCCGGCGACTGCTCTAGCTACCCAGGACCTAACAGGACTAGTGAAATCTTCAAGCACTTGTTACTTTTTCGTTACACTAGAGCCAGTGCCGAATTAAGCCACAGCGGCGCATGTAGCATTTTTTTTAATTTGGTCTAATTATTATGTTTGATCAATTTTCTGGAAACCATGCAAAATGTTTAAAAAATCCTCTTTAGTATAAGTACTATTGTAAATGTAAAATTTATCAAATATAGTAACTTTAATGTAAAAATATGTAAATGGGTACCAAGTTCAGTAGACAATCCTGAAATTATATAAGATCGTTTAACATATCTTAAGCAAACAACTTAAAATCTACAGCACCTCAAAGTTTGGCTTGGCTAGTTTTCAACACTCTTTGCTGACGCAGGGCACGTAACGGATTTACCTTAACTTCATATGAGTTTATATAGCACTCCACTCATTCACTCTTTATACGAGCAAAGAGAATTCGATGCGTGCCGATATCATTGAACGAATTAAGTACCTCCATGTACCATTAGACAGTCTACGGGATAATGTATAGTAGAGCTACTATAGGTATATTATTTCGCCGACTGTCAAGTGGTACTTCTATCAAAAAATTGAATTCAGTGGATGTGTGACTTTTGCAAATCCGTACAATCCGTTGCTTACCCGAGCGTTTATTGTGTGCAATGTGCATACGAATAGCTACAACAGCTGAGATTAGCATAATTTCTGCGTATCTGTTCCAATTCACGTTTCCAGTGGTATTTTTCCTTTTAAATAGTTATATGAAATATATTTCAATACTAATGGATCCAATTGATGAACATATGTATCTTTATTAACCGGATCATTAAATAAACATTATTTTGAAATTATGACAAGAGGATCAACATTTGTGTTGCTTTAATCTCGATATGGGTGTGAGAAATGATGTCAGTGTCTTCATAAGAAGCCCCTTCATAATATGTTGTGTAAAAGAAAAGAAAGCTTTTCGTTTTATTTTTTTAAGTTTAGATAGACAATAACAACCACCGATCGGCGCTAAGCCCCGTGGTAGGATATAGACTATTCTACCTATTCGATTAGTATAAATTTCATCCATAAGTAAGGCTAGCACCCAGCTGTGGGGACCTTAATACGCTGATCATGAAAATCGTTCAAAATTTTGGTGAAATAAAAAAATATTGAAACAGATGAGTACGTAAAAAGAAGTAAGTAAAAATATTAGGGTCAGGGCCCTATCTTCCTATTCGATTCCAACAATAGAGAAGGCCTGAGCCCCGGTAGTGGGGATATTAATAGGCTGGTGGTGAATTTTGAAAATCGTAAATATAAGTATACTACGTTTTAAATGCGGTGTCTAATATAAAGCAAAACATAAAATATTAAAAAATGTTATATGAAACAATAAACAGAACATAAAAACATTAAAACTGTTTTCGATTTTTCAGATACAATGGGGAAGCGTAGCAGAATAGTGCAGTATGTCGTGGCAGCAGCTGGTGAGTCCTTTAAGAATAGAACGGTAGTATGTTGGGATATTTGGATTTTATTTTTAGTATATGCTGAGTATATAAATAAATAAAGGAAAACACATCGCTCAGTTGCCAAATTAAAAATTATAAAATGAAAAGAAAATTAAGAAGTAGGCCTTATGGCTATACAGGTATACTTTATGCCTCCCAAATGTTGCGGGGGAGGTACCGCAGGAAACTTTCGGTGTTTTAGATTTTTCTTTATTATTCAAGATAACGTAGAAATAATTTAAAAACTAGCAATACAAATTGCGATAGATGATTTCTTTTGGTGCACTCAGAGATGGGCAAAATGTAATCATGATTAACGATTATATTTAGTAACATTCATCCAGGATTGCATATTAGACGTTGTAATCTAAAAAACATGGAGGATATTATACGTTGTAGTCCTGCGTTGACCCAACTTCTAGAGATTTCATTACTTTTTAGAGATAAACAAGCAGCTCCATTGAGATTTGGCTATTTTTTACAAAATGTTTTTAGTTGGATTTCACTTCTTTTTGCAGAAAATTGAAAAGACGTGTGCTGATTGACTTATTAGATTTTTTTAGTAAATACATTTTTTTCTTTTTAGGAGTACTTTCTTTATTTTACAAATCTTTCTTTTCTTTTAATTTCATATTAAAAGCAGTGTCCCACTACGCAGAAAATATTTTGCAAAGACAGTCGAACGATAGCGCTAATAGTTTGGGTATGCTCATACGATTTCTCATCAGCGTCACCAGGTAGTCCAGATCTTCCATGATCCTAGTTTTGATTGCTATTCCTCTATGTGGGCGTTAAACTCTACCTCTGTAACTAACTTCAGCGCTCAAGGTCAATGGGAACTACCAGTTCTATTTGATGATCAGTGTGTCAGTGTCGATAATGCGAAACTTTACTTTCGCTTAGCTTTGGAACTAAATGATGTACCAACTTGAAATTTTTATTATAAGTGTGTGATTATAGCTTACTAGATGACTAAAATTCCAGCGTTCTAGTCCCATCCAGAGTACGGCAGTGTTGCTTCTCTCTAGACATGGCGGGAGATTGCCGTATTTATTAATTAAATTTTAAATTTATCAAAAATTACTATTACTTTTTTGTAATCTTCAATCTTGGAAGAATGTTACTAAATGTAATCGTTAATCACGGAAACATTTTTCGCATCTTTGAGTCCACTTATGTAAGTATTACTAAAGAGCTATTAAAGACAGATTAATTAAAAAGCTTATTATGATTTTGAATAATAAAACTTTATATTTAAGACCCGTTTGCCTACAAACTTTTCAGCTGCATTGATTTTAGCGATTATTTTTTCTTATGTATGACAAAATAGGTTCGCGCGCATTTATGTGGCATTTCAATTAAATTTCAATTGTGCATGTCAATCATAATTGTATTCAGTTTGTAACTTTATTTTAATGTTGGTTTAATCGTAAACATACATTTTCACTGTTGATAGCTAAAATAACTGCACCAGACAAGTAATAAAATTTCAAAGTTGTCAATTGGGACATTAAAAGATGTCGAATTATTATTATGTTGTTTTGATGTATCATCATCTTGGAAAAAACTTAAGATAACATAACAAAAATAGCATTTCGTATTTATAACCGGTATTTTTTTTTCACCAAACCATGATATGCTGTTTTGGTGTTAATGTAAATTTTATTTATTAGGGTATATTTAGCTCATGCTGATATGCAATATATTTTCGTTTTCAATTAAGAGATAGTTTATTTAATAATATTATTGAAATAAACATCTAATATTATAACTAATTATTATTATTGCGCCTCGCAAATAAACAAATAGAGAGTGAAAAAAGGAAATGTTTTATTTATTTACTTATGTTTTTTATCAAGAAAATTTAAATATTTTTGTTGTTGATATAGAACGATATTAGATTAAGAGAACGAAATTAACATAGAAATTATTCTTAATTAAAAATGCTTAAATACCTCAGAGATAGGATAACCCATCCCAGAGTACCAGGGACAAAGTGTATTTTTCATTAAGAATATAGTAAAACACATGTTTATCTATGGAATTATGTACCAATAACTCATATACTTTTGTGGTTGATGTAGATTATAAGCGGGGCAAGGAGATCCTATTTTGTCATATGGTATTGTGGTAGTTGGTCATAATTAGTTTTTATTTTATTTTAGTGTCCTTGGCGTCAATGACCTTGGGAGTGATATCAGCATGGCCGACGCCTGTTATAGCGAAGTTCCATGCTAACGAAACGGGGACATATATTTCTGATGTAAGCTTATCAGTTTATTTGCGATGTATAGACTTCGAAGGAAATATTTGTTTTTATACATTTTGCATTCAAACCACAGAAATCAATCTAGTGAAACGCTCAGAAGGATTTTCTTATTGAAACACTCAAATTCGTATTTAAATTAACTTTACTTCACAGCATTGATATATTCTAGTCTTTTAACAATTCTCTCTTCTTAAAAATAAGTGCGGAATGAACATAAAAAAAATGACAGCTCGATTATCACATCGATTATTCATTGACAAAACTGTCGGTGAATAATCGATCATCGAATCAATTGATACATAAATCAAATCAAATACCTTTTATGTTTTTAATAAGGACTATTACTAAGTAATGATTATAAACTGATTGTTACAGTCGGCCATCCGACTCACAAACGAGTCCCTTCGTTTGTTTTCATTGCTTTATGTCATGTATCTATCTATAGTCAAACAAGTTGAGTTACTTCTTACTCTTTCACTACTAGCTTGTTTAACTGCATGTCATGTACATAACACTCTTGCTTGGCATCAATTCTGTACAAGCTCTGAGTTATGCGGACACCCTCACCTCTAAGATTTGTCATCGTTCTAAATTCAACTTAATATCTATGTGTAATCAGACAATATGAGTCACTTCAACGCTTTCAGTACAACCTTGTCTAACTGCGTATTGTGTACATAACATTCTTACTCGGCATCAACTCTACTCGCGCTCTGAGTTATGTAGACAACCCCAGTTCTTAATTTCCTTTTTTAAATTCAATCATTTTCATTAATCCTATTCAAATATCAAATGTGATTATAAATGTCAACAAAAGAATAATTAACTATAAACTTTTGCCATCCATATTTAAATTAATATCATCATAGGGTTTGTTAACTTTGTATTATAAATAGTACCGATTCCGATGTATTACTCTCCAAGTTTAACTCAGCACAAAATCTAGTGTTATTGTAACAAATTCAATAATTATTGTCAACTAATGATGTAGGTACATGATACGAGGTTATCACTATTTACTCTTTTTACACTAATTATTATGAACTAGAATTTTCGTCACTCGAGGAACAAGCAGATGCGTCAAAAGTCGTCCATGGGTAAATTTTATCTATTGAAACGACATTTTCATAAGTCTTACCTTTCCGGGTGAGAGGTGTATCTACTACCACAAACCTGTCGTTAGGTAATATTTTTTTAATGCGATATGGGCCCTGACATTTAGCTTCTAACTTTTTCGATTTTCCTGACCCCCCTGCTATTGCCCTCACTAATCTAACTCGGTCCCCTTCTCTATACTCGGTTGCAACCTTGCGGTGCTTGTCAAATCTTTGCTTATTTTTCTGTTGGTTTTTCTCTATGCGTTCACTAGCTTCTAACCTAATCTGTTCAATAGTTTTACCTTCTTGACCTACAACAATTTCATCTGAGAGATTATTTAAAATTCCCTGGGATGGGTTACCTACTTTATATCCAAATAGCATTTCTGTGGGTGTTTTTTTCGTTATGTCATGTACTGCAGTATTGATGCCTAGCTGCACATCCGGTAAGAACGAATCCCAAGTGTCACTATCTTTCCCATGCGTCAAGCTACCTAATGAAGCTAAGATCGTGCGGTTGTACCGTTCGATTTGACCGTTGGCACGTGGTGTCGCTACGGAATTCAATACATGTTTAGTGCCTACGGAGTGTATAAACGACTTAAACCTTTTACTTGTGAAACTTGTTCCTCTGTCTGTGATTAGCCGTGTTGGAGACCCAAAGAGACTAAAGAACGTTTTGAATACTCTAATACTAGCCTTTGATTTAGTGCTGCTTACCGCAGAAAGGTAGATAAATTTCGTGAAAGAATCTATAATCGCCAATATATATGTATTGCCTCTTTTGCTTCGAGGAAATGGGCCTAAATGATCAGCGTGTACTGTGTGAAATGGGACATCAACTTTTGGGATTGGATGTAATAATCCTTCTTTAGGTCCTGATGGGACTTTATGATGAGCACACTCTAAACATGCTGAAACATATTTTTTTATAAATTTGCGCATTTTCGGGAACCAAAACAAGGACTTAATTCTTTGAAGAGTTTTATCGAAGCCAAAATGACCAACATCATCGTGATTGGTTTTGAGAACCTGCCAGCGAACACCTCTTGGAACCATCCATCTTAGTTCCCCATCCTTAGTAACACGGAAAACCTTCCCATTTTTAAGCTGATATTCTTTATAAATTGCGGCTACTTTGGGGGTTGCTGGATCCTCCAAAACCGCTTTAATACGTTTAACATCCTCATCAGCTGATTGCACCGTGGATATCCAGTCATCTACTTTCACGGCAAGAATATCGATTATGTGCGCCGGTTCTTGTTCGTTTAAGTATGGACCTCTACTTAATGCATCGACGTGACTCATTTTCTCACCTGGACGATATTCTATGTCGCAGTCATATTCTAGGAATTGTATCCACCATCGTGATATTCGTGGGACTAAATCCCGTTTTGAAAATGTGGATCGCAACGCATTGCAATCGGATACTATAGTAAATCTTATCCCTAACAGGTACGTTCGGAATTTATTAAGTGCATTCACAACTGCTAATGTCTCAAGTTCAAATGAGTGAAGTTTTTGTTCGTCTAGGTTAGTCTGACGACTATAATAAGCAACTGGTCTCCATGGATTGTTTCCAGTTCTTTGTAATAAGATTCCTCCTACTCCGATCTTGCAAGCGTCAGTGTGCAACTGTGTCTCTGCGCCGTGGTCATAAATTGCGAGTACTGGTTTCTCCACAAGTGCCCTCTTAAGAGTTTCAAATGCACTCTGTTGTGATTCTGTCCATTGCCAGGTCGTGTCCTTTTTCAGTAGACCAGTCAAGGGTTTAGCGATAACTGCAAAATCCTTGACAAATCTTCTGAAAAATCCTGCTAAGCCTAAAAATCTTCTAACGTCGTTTTGATTTTGTGGTAGGGGAAATTTGGATACAGCCTGAGTTTTATTGTCCCCTGGACGAACTCCAAATTTATCTATTTCGAACCCCAAAAAAATGATATTTTCTTGAAAGAAGCTGCATTTTTCCATCTTTAGAGTCAACCCAGCTTCTTTTAATAACTGCAATACCTCCTCTAGCCGTTGTAATCCTTCCTGGAATGTTTTTGATGGAATAAGTATGTCATCCATATAAATTATTATGTAAGGAACTTTTGATTTAGTTAGGATTTTATGTATCGCCCGCTGGAAAATTGCAGGTGCGTTTGCCAACCCGAAGGGAATACGATTGTATTCGTATTGCCCGTCAGGTGTGACAAAAGCAGTAATTTCCTTACTTTCTTCGGCAATGGCGATCTGATGGTATCCAGACGCTAAATCTAGGGTAGTAAATAAGGATTGTCCCGAGAGTTCATCTAACAGATCTTCGATCCGTGGAAGTGGATAGTGATCGCGCTTTGTGCGCCGATTAAGTGCACGATAATCTACGCACAATCTCTTTTCACCCGACTTCTTTTGCACAAGTACAATTGGGCTTGCATAAGGTGAACTGGACTCACGTATAATCCCACTGATTAACATCTCATCAACCATCTCTTGGACATGCTTACGTTCCGGATGAGATAGCCTATATGGCCTATACACTATTGGAGTAGAATCTGCTAAATGGATTTTCATTTCAATAACGGTAGTAAATCCTAAATCATGTAAACCCGTTGAAAAGCAAGCTTTATTTTTCATCAATAACTCCCTACATATTTGTTTTTCAGAAACAGTTAGGCTTTCACCGAAATTAACCGTGTCCTTAGAACTTTTATCCAATCCTGTGTCCATAATAAGAATATTAGACACAGTTTTTGAATTTACAGGTCTAGCTCTGCAAATTAACGCACCCCGTTTAAAAACTAAAACCTGAGACCCTAAGTTTTGAATAAGTACGTGTCCGACTCCATTAGTCATTTCATACTCACCTGGCAGCAAGTAGAATTGCTCCCATGGTTTCCCTCTAACTGAACCCCCTACATAAATATTACCACTGTAATCACTATTTGCATTTACAAGAATCTTTTGTAGTTTATCTACTCCTAGTTTTACCTCATTACCCACTACGATGGCTAATTTCGAGATTTCGTTAGTGCAAAACCTTTCAAATTGTAAGTCCATCACATTTTTAATAATTCTTAAACCTGGCCTTTCAGTAAAACTATGACCAAGTAAAACTGGTATGTTAATAAGAGAATCATCAACTATGAACACCTCTACATGCTCTTCTCTTACTCCTTGTACTTCAATTGGTGTCAGACATTTACCGCTAGGTAAGTACGAACTGTTGCCTAACCCTCGAAGTATGGGGCCGTCTACCGATTCCCAATGGAGGTTAAACTTGCGCGCATCAGATTCGCGAATTAACGTGGCCTGGCTTCCTAAATCTACTAGGCAAGGAGTATCAACGTCGTTTACTTTGATGACTATATTATATTTGTTGTTACTGTTTTCCTCAATGGATACTTCAAGGACATTTTTAGGTTTGTTTAGCGTACTTTGAGAATTATTGTTATTAATATTTCCTTTTTTGGGACAGTTGCTTGAATTATGGCCTAAGAAATTACATTCAGAACATTTATTTATTGGTTTACGACATTGGTAGCTCATGTGCCCGGGTTCGTTACAGTTAAAACAATTAATACTTCCCCTTTGCCTAGCTTGTGAACTTTGTACTGACCTCTGCACTAAATTGGATGATGAAGTATTATTCAAGACGCGGGTACTTCTATTATAAATTTCTTTCCTAACATCAAATGTATCTTTAGACGGATTTTTGACACTCTTAAAAAATTCTAATGTCTCCTCTGGCTTATTAAATTTGCACGCTTGAGCGCTAAGACGGAGTCCTTTATCTTCTATGCCAAATATAATGCAATCCACTGCTTGTTTCCCGAATATTTTACAACGATTCAGTAGGTTAATCTTAAAGTAATAGTAAAGTTCTAATGAATCCCCAGGGCGTGCTCTTCTATT